ATTATTAACTAGTTTAATAAACTCAAACTTATTGAAACCGTCCCACGTTGCCTCTATTAATGAAAAAATTAAATCAGTTAATGTTATTAAAAATAATGGATTCCAAGATAATTCAATGGAATTGCAGGAGTGTTGTTCCAAAGAAACATGATTTGATATACTTGATAAATAAACATTCTCCCGTTGTTGTTGCGTTATCTGAAACGTGGTTGAAGCCAGGGTACCTATTAAGGATCCCAGGATATACCTGCTTGCGTGATGATAGATTTGATGGCCATGGTGGCGTAGCGTTACTTGTCAGGAACTCAATTAATTTTTCTGAAATAGCGTTTTCTTCATTAATCTCTAATGATGCCATTAATATTGTCGGCATAAAAATTGATAATATTTCTATAGTTTCCATTTACCTAGCTCGTTCCTCTTTTGTTATTCTCAATAGCGTTAATAATTTACTTTCTTCACTTAGTCGTCCATTCCTTCTATTGGGTGACTTTAACTCTCATCACCAAATGTTTGGTTGTGGCACTACTGACTCCAATGGTGTACGTTTAGTTGAAATATTAGATTTACATAATTTGTGTTTACTTAATACTGGCTCACCAACCAGACGTACAAAGCCTAATGAAAAGCTTAGCGCGGTTGACTTATCAATTTGTACTCCAGATCTTGCTTCTTCTCGTTCTTGGTACACTTCATCATCTACTTTTGGCAGTGATCATTTCCCGATTATCATATCCTCACCTATTAGACGCTCTCCTTATCAAAAACGACAACCTCGTGTGAAATATAAATTAAATAATGCTGATTGGCTTGCATTTAAAATCCTTGTCGAATCTAAAATAAATGATTTGCCTGAATTAGTTAGCGGTGGTGAGACCAATTCCTCTAAAGCTTTGGCTACATGTTTAATAGAATCTGCCGATCAGATTTTTTCTGTCAAACGAAATCCGTCTAATAAGATTCCTTTTCCTCCATGGTGGGATAGAGAATGTATGGTTGCTGTAAGCAGAAGAAAGCAAGCTGAGAGAGTCTATGCTAAGGACATGTCCAATGAAAATTTAGATATTCTCAATGAAGTTATTAGTACCACACGTAAATTCCTCAGAGATAAAAAGCAGGCAGGCTGGAAAATTTTTTGTACTTCTTTATCTCCTTCTACGTGCCCTTCAGAAGTTTGGACAAGTATTAAACGTTTTCGATCTGCTTTCAAAGAATCTTTATCATCGTCTTCACTTCCCCCTTTTTTAACAAATGCCTTTTTAGACAGATTAGCTCCTCCATCAGCTGCTGAATCGATCTACTTTCCTTTGGAATCGTCTTTGATAGATGACACTTCCTCTTTAAACTCTCCTTTTTCATTACATGAATTGAAAGGTGTGCTTTCACATGTTAAAGATTCATCTCCTGGTCAGGATGGTATTATGTACTCATTTTTATCTCATCTTGGTGATACTGCCTTAATGTATTTTTTAAATTTAATAAACTCCGTCATGGTCACAGGTAATATTCCTGAAACATGGAAGTCTCAAGAAGTTATAGCGATTAAAAAACCTAACAAACCTACCAATGATGTTGCCTCATATAGGCCTATTGCGTTGTCCTCCGTTTTAACTAAAATTGCTGAACATCTTGTGAAGAATCGTTTGGAATGGTTTATAGAAAACAATAATTTAATAGCCAATAGTCAATACGGTTTTCGGAAGTCAAAATCTACAATAGACAATTTAGCTATATTGACCACAGATATTCGCATAGCTTTTTCGCGTGATGAAGATATTGTTGCTGCCTTTTTGGACATCTCTGCCGCCTATGATAATGTGAACATTTCTATTCTACAACGCAAATTATTAGAGCTACAGGTTCCTACGTTATTAATACGTTTTATCATCTATTTACTATCATGCAGATACATATCATTAATCGTTCAGAAAGATGGTAATATTACCGAGTTAAAGCGTACAGTTTTTAAAGGCCTTCCCCAAGGTTCGGTACTAAGCCCACTTTTATATAATATTTACACGTATGATTTAGAATTATCTATAAATTCCCATATAAATGTGCTACAATATGCAGATGATCTTCTTTTTTATTCCGTTGATAAATCTGTGGTTAAGGCTTGCAATTCCATGTCTAGTTCACTTAATTGTCTTAATATCTGGTTAGTTAAAAATGACCTAGATCTATCAGTTTCCAAAAGTTCTATAGTCGTATTTTCCAAAAAACGCACAACTCCTATAATAAATGTGACCTTTAATGGTCAATCTTTGCCACTCCAAACAAAAATTAAATTTTTAGGAGTTATATTGGATTCAAAATTGTCTGGACTTGCCCATTATGAACATGTTGTTATGAAATGTGCACAGCTGCTTAACATCATGAAATGCCTTTCAGGTGTATGGTGGGGTGCTCATCCGTTTTCTATGAAACTTGTGTATAACGCTCTTATAAGATCTGTTTTAGATTATGGCACATTTCTCTTAGATGGAGGAAGTGTCTTGGGAAGTCAAAAACTTGATGTCATTCAGTCAAAAGCTTTGCGAATTGTGACAGGAGTAATGAAATCAAGCCCATCCAATGCTTTACAAGTAGAATGCTGCGATCCTCCTTTAAAATTAAGAAGGCAATTTTTAAGTGATCGATTCTTGTTCAAATCTATGCAGTTTTCTAACCACCCTCTACATGGAAGGCTGCATGAATTGAACAATATTATTTATACATCCCGTTACTGGCGTCACAAATCATTACCATGTCTAATAATAAGCTTTCGTAAATTTTTAACATTACACAGCCGCATTCATCGATCTCCATCATTACCCATATTTATGACACAATTCAATTCTTTAATTCTTGATCCGGATATAAGATATAATATAGGCGTCCGTAAGCAAGATATTCTGGAAACAAATATTCGTTTCATGAGTAGCGTTGAGGAACAAAATTGGGAAGGTTGGGATTATATTTTTACAGATGCCTCTAAAATCTCTGTTGATGATTGTGTTGGAGTTGGTCTAATTCATTGGCAACATAAAATAATTCAAAAGATTAAACTTCCTCCTGAATCCTCGGTTTTTACTGGAGAGTGTTTTGCTCTTTTAAAAGCTTTAGAACTAGTTATTTTATTAAAATCTAAAAGTACAATCATATTTTCAGACTCAAAAAGTGCACTACAATCTCTTGAAAAATTTCCTTTCCAAATGAAACTTTGTTATCCTATTATTTGCGAAATACGTGATAAGCTTTTAATATGTTCTCAAAGAAATTACACCGTTATCTTTGCATGGATTCCAAGTCACAGTGGAATTAAAGGAAACGAGAAAGCCGATGAGCTTGCTAAAGAAGCTATAAAGGATGGAGACATAGTCCCATACATTAATTATTGTCATGATTTAGCTGCTCTTCCGAAAACCCATCTTTGGGAGTCATGGAATGATGTTTGGTTGAGAAGCAGCAAGTTCAAAGGCAAACATTATGCTGAAATTCAACCCAGGATCCCCAGTAGACCATGGTTCTTTGAGGTTAAAAGTTCTAAAACTGTCACTTCTATCATTTCCAGAATGCGTTTAGGACATGTTTGTACACCTCATCATTTAGCAAGGCTTCGTATTGTTGATAGTAATATTTGTGAGTGTGGAGAAGATATTGGTGACCTTGACCATATTTTCTTTTCTTGTTCCCAATATGACTCACTTCATGTTCCGTTTCCGACTAAAATCTCCTGCCTTTTGCTTTATCCTTTATTGTATTATAATGTATTATCTTCTTTCATAATCTATAATAATATTAAGATGTAATATGTTTATGTACATATTTTATTTTTAACCAGCTTATCCCTTTATTTCCTTTTGATGTCTTTGTTTATTTTTTTTTTTCGCGTGTAGTTTCCCAACCTTTTCGTCTCATCTCAATCTCATCGTGAAAGTATCAAAAATGTTCGCTAATACGATTCTTTACTTTTTAACATATTTCCGTACTGGGATAGAGCACAATGACTTCGATCCCTTCGCTGTACACATGTAGTGTTGTCAACAAACAGAGTTGTATAATGTGGCGATTATTATTATTAATACATCGATTATGAATTCACAACAAGTGAGTTTTTGATTACTTTGTCAAAATGCGAACGAAAACCCCTTCTGTGACTGGCTTATCGATTGTTGCGCACGTAAAATATCTGAGAGTTCAAATACACGACAACGCGCAAACACTGTTATTTATGAAATTGTGTTTTAAGGTATGTTGAGTCCAGACCCTCCTTGTCCACTAATTCGTTTGACGCTTTTTCATCCGTTCTTTCAAATGGCGTTTTCTTTTAATTGATAAAACACCAACAATAGAAGTGGATGGACGCTCCGGAGGCATGCCAGTTACATAGACATAAACTGAAACGTCGTCACTCCAAACAGACTTCTCAACGAACCATTGCATTACAGAATTAAGTCAATATCTCAAATTCAGTCCTTATAAAAAATACTAGAATAGCTATTCTTAGCTATAATATGTTAGGTAAATTATCACAGATTTTAAAAATTATATGTTACTTCAATCTGTGCTTTATATGTAATCAAAGACAAAGTCACTTTAATTGTCTTTGATGTAACTGACCAAAATGTAATGATTGTCTTTGGATTACGCGGGATCTCCACATTTATATAGTATTTATATACACGCGAAACTATTATTTATTTAAGTCGATGTTTCGAGTGCCACAGCACACAAATAACAATTTAATATTTAAGCTCTAAATTTAGCTAACAAGTGAGATTGAGAAGAGATAATCACCTGCTCTACGTCCTTTAATAGGGAACTTGTAGTAAATATACATTTTATACATATTTTATTTTATACAAAATATTTAAATTTCGCGTTTATATCTTTTAAAGTAGTTCCACGTCAGTTTGTAAATCGATAACTTTTGGATTACTTTTGGACGCGGCAAACTGACTTGTATCCAAGGAATAAAAAAACATTGGAGGTCACTTAATATTTAATTTATTTTACGTTTATAAAAAATCAGTATCGGGTAACACAGAGATTTTTAATTTATAACTCGGCCAAGATATCGTATGGGGAATGGAAGGTGCTGTGGTTGCGTCTTGGTTTTCATCGTCATCAGTCTCAGAGTCCATTTCCGCTAAATTGGCGAGTGGAGCTACTTTTTTTGACATCTCCTCTGCTAGTTCCTTTGGTATAAGAATCTGAAAAAATGGGTATTATCTAGTAATTGTCTCATAATAAATTCTTGATTAAGATTAAGTTAAATCTTTTAATATTTCATATTCTTTGTTTAGGTAGACATTTACTATGTGTTCTATTGCCAGTAATGAGGGATCAATAAGCTGAGCACATCTCCAAGGATCCATCCATCTTTAAAAATATTTTATTATTAAACAGAGTAAATCATCTTTTTAATATCTATGGATTTGAATATTTGAATTTGGAATGTGAACATTGTTTCTCTATCACCAAGAACTCGAATATAATAGGAAAACATTACTGGCTATCAAAAGATAATTTGCGCTCGTGCCAAAAGCACATTTCCAAGGAACAGCTAAAATAATGTAATTAATTTTATTTTATTCACATCTACTCAAAAAGAATCTGCCCAGTAAACAGACTAAAATCTTTTTAATCTCTATGGATTTGAATTTGGAATGTGGGTTACAATATCACCATAGAACACGAATACAGTAGGAAAACATTAATGGCTAGGCTAGCAAAGGATAATCTGCGCTCGGAAAAAAAACTTTGTAAAAAAAAGTCCATTGGTGCATAGCCAGAGATCGAATCTACGACATCAGGGATGACAGCCAGAAAGACAGATTATTAATGTGAGTTATATGCGTTAAAACGCTAAAAATATTAAATAAACCAGTTCAGAAAAGTTATTTACAACTAGCTGGCCTGGCGAACATCGTACCGCCTAACAGTCGATTCTTTATTTATTTTTTTAATACTTATTCTGCTATTCGAAACACCGGTCTAGCTAGTAAGGTAAAAAAAAGGAAGTTGATAATACAACAAATACATTATGTCAAAAAATAAAAATTTACCTTCCCGGAACCCCTCCACTAACACTTGAACTTTATGATATGGTATTAAAGTTCAAATTGCCTTTAAATATTATTACGAATATTTTGTATGGGAATATAGAAAAGTGTTGTTTTTAGACTTTTCACTCAATTTTTTTAAATTTTTCTCCCCGTAAGAACCATCCTCGTACTTCAAAGAATATTATAAAAAAAGAATCCGACAAATCGGTCAAGCCGTTTTCATGTTATGTCGTGACAACGGAAAACGGGTTTAATTTTTATATATATAGATACAATGATTCGTCGGAAAGAAATCCAGAATTGACTCTATGTATGTGTCAAATGTCATGACAATTTGCATGTACTTGGTGTTGCCATAATCATAGTCAATTTAGCGACCACAGAGCAGGTTTTATATATTATTAATCGGACTAGAATAATATAGTGCTGGAGAGTTGCTCATTCTCCTCGTCCGTTCTACGCCCTCGATAATACTACTAACCTGAAGCCAAGAACCGCTGACAGCATACGGTCTTCTTGGTGTGACAAAAGCCCCGCCCACTGACGGCGGTAGAACTGTCACTGAACGAGCTCCTTGACGCCATGTGAAGTGCGATGAATGGCGCACGCGACCGCTAAAATTTGTGCATTTATAGATTTAAAATTCTTATGCCTTCCCTATGTAACATGCAAAAGAAACTTAAATGATAGGTTTTAGGAAGAAATCACTAGGAAATTGTTAATGAAATGTAAGTAAATTTTCAAAAAATATACTGAACTGAACAAATTGAAATGAAGAATTAAATTGCCGACCTGTGAGGCGTGGGACCCATATTGGGATACACTGGTCTACACCCTAAAGCGTTTATATAAAAGTAGGTTCTAAACGATTTTCTGCAATTTATATTAGGCATAAACTAACTTTTTAGGTTGTTCTGTGAATTTTTCTCTATATAAACCTGAGTTTGTAGAGGGGTGAAAGTTAAGGGTTGTATGTATTTTTAAATGCTGTATCATAAAAAAATAAAAAACAAATTTTGTCTAAATAATAAAATTAAAAATTTATGAAAATTAGATGTTGGCCGCACCCAAAATTGATACTATAATATTAGTCTATTTTAACATACACGGTAGCGTAATATAATGAAATTATTATTATTAATTTTTTTTTGGTCTTCATCTTCTGTGTTTTTAGACATACTATCTCTTAAGATAGTCTGAAGCTAGCCGCTAGCGTGCCTTATAAATGGCGCCATACATCAGGTTCCATATAAATACCTCTGACGCATAAAAGAATACTCACTCAATAGCAAGCGGTAGAAGACTAGCACCTTCACTATTCAACATGAGATGTACTCCCTCCAAATATTCTATGCTATCCTCCCGCCACGATTCCTGAAAGAAGAAACTACTTAAGTATATAACTAGGTAGCTTCCTGGCACCCTAGAACATAGACTAGAAAAAAAATGGGACAGATTATATAGAATAAAAATTTGTCCATTTATAATTTTTGTTTTTTAATGACGTAAATAAAAAACAGAGGCTGTGGCGAAAAGTATTACGAAGACCATAGACAAAGGTTAAAAAATGCACTAATAGACTTTCTATGTACGCATTTAACACTCGCTTGTACTGTGAAGAGAAATATCTAGAGGTAATGGCGTGCCATAGACTTAAAAAATGGACGGCGTTTTCAGTCACAAAAGGCTTTATAATTGCCTATTAGAAAAATGATCGCGAAACAGATATGAGGCCCAGACTTTAAAAGCTTGTACCACTGGTAATATTGGAACAGGGAGCGTTCAAGTATTACGTAACGAATTTGGGGGGGAGGTCATGAATCTCCAAAAATTGCGTTACGTAATACGTGAACACACAAGGAAAAATATATAGAATTTTATATGAAAATAATATATTTTTTAGAGGGCTCGCGAGTGCGTTTCCGGCCTTTTAATAATTGGTACATATATCTACCTACCTGAACTATATTTGGTATTTGTGGCAACGCTCGCTCCATACTCGACATTTCGAAGCTATCCGTCGACATATTGTGACCTGAAAAACGTTTTTTAGTATTAATTATTTTTTATAAATACTTGGTCATGGATTGTGGTACTTTTGTCAAGAGATGGCTCTGCTAATTCCATGACATATCCAAAACATTTAGTCTAAATTGATTTGAAGTGTAAAACCTTAGCGTCAAAGAAAATCACGATAGTATCACTAAGGGAGCGTTCAAGTATTACGTGACGCAATTTTTGGTGATTATTGACCCCCCATGTAACGCGCCGTAACGTTTCTCTGTACCCAATAGTAAAACGTTTCGTGACCACCCAGTGACTCTTTATACCTCTATACTTTATACCACAGGGACCAAACTCGTTAAATTTGTTCTCATTTAATAATTTTTATTATTACTTTGTAGGTTAAGAACATTTTAAAAACTTATATATAATTTTAAAAAAGGGTGCGTGTACTTATGTACGCGCGTAAGAAGTTATACTTCTTTGGCATTATTAAAAATAGTTTTTGATTGCATGCAAATAATTAATTACAATTAAATAATCAAAGACTGGAAAAGGAGTCATTATAGTCAATAAAGTTTAGTTTACATTTGAAAAATTAAATAAATAAATATTTATTATTCTCTGTCATTAAGTGTTTGTTATTATTCGATGTTGATTATTATTCGAATGTTGTTTTTAAATTATGTCCAATGCCGTAGCATCTTCCGTGGGCAACTTCATTCTGTTAATTTTGTGTCACGGTGCGCGCGCATCGTAAAATTTCACTCTCATCAATTTTTCATAACGCGCCTAAAGAATTATAACTTCAATAGCTAATATAATATATAGTATTCTTGATTGTTATCAATAAAATTATATCAATCCTTTCCAATCACAACGTTAGGTTTATTAAAATAAAAAAAAGTATTTTATTTTTATTCCTCTCTACTAAAAAATTATATTAATAATGTTTATATATAAATAAAAATATTACCTTCAGATCCTCTATCCGTCATTGAGGATAGTCCGCGTTGTAATGTCTCCTTTATCTGCCGCTCCACACTTGGGGACAAAGGCAGTTCTTCTTCGCTCTGAAAAGTTCAATGAAAGGGGCCTCATAGCCTAGCGGTCTTATTAAGTGGTAGCTAGGTGAGGGGTACCGGGTTCGATTCCCGGTTCGAGGGCAAGTTTTAATTTAATTTAAATTTGTTCTCGGCCTTTGGGAGGGTTGTGCGGTACCGGGCGAGTGCCTAAACCGTACATGGAGGACACGATCGAATTTCTAAATACAAGCACGAATTATAAAAAAATCCTATACTTGACGCTGGCTAATGCACAAATAGTGCCAGAGCCATAAAAAAAGTTCAATAAATATTCTTTCTAATTAAAACATTATTCAAATCTCGCCCACTTAACTGGCAGAAGTTAGAAGTACAGTTGCTTTAAGTAGCAAAATTGATTTAAAAAAGTGCGTGCGTACAAAGTACACATGTCAGAGGTGAAACTTCTTTGGCAAATAATTTAAAAGTCTTGTTCATATTTATACAAATCTACAACTTTAGATTTCCGAGACTTAGAGGGAGGGGAAAAGGAAGATATGTTAGGAATTTAATGAATTTAATTGTCATTAAAATATTAAAAGTGTCGAAAATTAATACAAATTATAAATTGATAAAAACAAGTGGCATTTTAATTTACAATTCGTAATTTGAGATTTCAATAAATTATTTTGCATAAAATCTAAAAATACTTATATTTAATTAATTCTCTTTACGAAATTTTAATTTTAAAAATAGAATTTCTAAAAGGTAATTCGCCCTTGTCATTCTCTTCCTTTTCTTCGACAAAAACGCTGCACATTTTCGTGACGTTCCCTAAAAAAAAAATCCCCCACAGTCTATCATATTTTGCTTACCATACAATACTTCTGCCAGTTAACCCTCGCAGACACTCCGGCCAAATGGACCAATTGACGATTACAAATGCCCAAACGCGCTGAACGTCTTCTTGATACGCGAGTCACGAGCCATTCACCACCACATCTAAAAGCAATCTTCTATTACCCTACTTCTAGAAAGGAACTGTTTTACCAGCGACGCCTAAACAGAACTAATCTCAAAACAAAGATATATATTGTGACGGTAGTTCCTCAACCAGTCTAGGAAGCGTTCAAGTATTACGTTACGAATTTGGGGGGGTCCATTTGTAAAACGTTACGATGCGGGGCGGGGATTGAATTACGCGTTATATATATATATATATAAAAATGAAACCCGTTTTCCGTTGTCACGACATAACATGAAAACGGCTTGACCGATTTGTCTGATTCTTTTTTATAATATTCCTTGAAGTACGAGGATGGTTCTTATGGAGAGAAAAATTAAAAAAAATTAGTGGAAAAATTCTAAAAACTACACTTTTCTATATTCACATACAAAGGCGATTTGAACTTTAATACCATAATATAAAGTTCAAATGTTAGTGGAGGGGTTCCGGGAAGGTAAATTTTTATTTTTTGACATAATGTATTTGTTGTCTTATCAACTTTCTTTTTTTTATCTTAGCTAGACCGGTGTCCCGAATAGCAGAATAAGTTTTAAAAAAAATAAAGAATCGACTGTTAGGCGGTACGATGTTCGCCAGGCCATCTAGTTGTTAATATTATTTTCGACTTTGCAGTACTTTACACCACATAATGGTAACTTTTTGGTATAAAGAGTCACTGGTCACTTAGTTTTACTATTGGGTACAGAAAAACGTTACGGCGCGCTACATGGGGGGGGGGGTGTAATCTCCAAAAGTTGCGTGACGTAATACTTGAACGCTCCCCTACCCACTGACTGGCTCAGGTCCTTTATATGTGCTCAGAAGGAAATACTTCATCACGTTTCCGGATATGACGTCATCGCGTTGATTTGTAAGCAGATACATTAGGAAGATTCGCTTCCTTCTAACTATATGTTACGCTCTTCTAATAGATGTTTATTGGAAATTCCATCCCACACTTCATCCTTCTTAGGCAATTCATTTACGATCTCCGCCATTAAGTTGTGAAATACGCTGCCCGACTCCGTACGATTGGCTACCTCACTGTCATCTTTTAAAACTCTTCTGTATAATCATTTCTTAACCTTATCCTATCCTCATCAATCGTGACTTGTATAATTCTTATGTTTCCTTTTACATCACTATTCGCTGTTCATGTATTTGTAAGATTAGCTTTTAAGTTTTTAGTTTGTTATCAATTTTTTTTTATTACTTTAGATTAAGGATTCTGCACTTCTCGCACGTATCATGTTTTTTTTTATAGTTTTTCTCTTAACTAGGGTTGCCTGGAAGAGATCGCTTATTAGCGATAAGGCCGCCCGTTGCATCCCTTATAATTTTTGAAGTGAAACTTCTTTATCGGGGTTGGAAAAAAATTTAGTGTAACATTTTTCGGTTACGCGTCACATGTTTCGGTTACGCGTCACATTTGACCGTTACGCGCGTCTTTTTCTCGTCCCTATCACGGTTGATTCGAAGAGATTCTAAACCATTAATAACAAAAATTTATAATAACTATAACAATGATACTAAAAATTATATTACAATTTATGAAATTCTGTAATAATCTTAGTGGTAATAAGGTAAAATGAAATAATTGTATTATTTGTATTCAAGTCTGTGATATTAAAAGCCTTTTGTTAAACTTTATCTAACTTAACTTTATTTAACCAATTTCTGTAAAGTTAGTTGCGTATAGATAATTTTTCGAAAAATAAGGTCATAAAGAAGTTTCACTTCTAACGTGTGTACACTAGTACACGCACATTTTTTTATGTATTGTGTTTCTTTTATTTGCAACGAAGTGAAAATAAATAAATAAAACTATTTAACTTAAGTTTTGTGTATTAAATTCATACATTGTGTCTTACCTGGGATCTTCGCTTATTAGCTTCAAAACTTCGAACCCGGAACCACGCTGCGCCGCTCTCAACTCTCTCGTTGTACATCCAACCATCTTTAAAAACCTTTTCTCTTAGAAATTAAACCAAAACCAAAAAAAATAAATAATAGTTTAAAAAACTAAAAAACACGCAAAGCACATCAAACTAAAATGTGAAAAATTATTCCTAATTTAGGCTGAAAATGTAATGAACAAAAAATACTGGTATTAGTGTGAAAAAGCGTGGGTTGCTCGATAGTTTAATTGTAGTACTAGTAGAATTATTTTTCACTTTTTAGTTTGATGTGCTTTAAAAGCGTGTTTTTTAGTTACATTTTTTTATTTTTTTCATTTTTTTCGGATTATTGCATTGTCATCGATCTTTGACAGGTGCGCAAAGTTTGAATTAAATCTGTCCGTTAAAAGTGGGTCAAAATCGAGACCGAAGGAGTCGGTTACATACATACATACAGATGAAGCTAATATAAAGCGTGTAAAAATACAATTTCGCACTCAAGTGCCAACTAGCCCTACAATCTTTTGAGGTCTGGGCCTCGGAATTCTGTATGTTCCGTGATCATTTTTCTGGTGATCAGCTTTTTACACACGCCAATATTTGTGTCTAAGACCGGTTTCCTCAAGATGTTTTCTTTCTTAGAGCGAATGTTAAAGGAACACAGAAACTCCATTGGTGCAACTAAAATTAAGAAATATTTATACTCTGATTTTTCATTCCGTAGAATTCTGACATTTTATAAGTGTTGCAAGTAAAAAAGTTCTCCACCAAAAAAGGGACAATTTTGAGGGCAATAAAAAAAACATGTTATATGTTTTACCTACAAAAAGGTAAATCTAAATATTTACTTACTCAAGCGACCTAATACAAAAATAACAAATATTTAAATATCACAAACAATATATCGAATTAACTTTAATTACTCCGTAGATTTCTGACATTTCATAAGTGAAAACCGAAAAAGGGACAAATTTGACTAACCTATTTGAGGGCAATAAAAAAAACAAGTTATATGTTCTACCTACCTATAAAAAGGAAAATCTAAATATTTACATACTCAAGTGACCTAATACAAAAATAACATATATTTTAATATCATAAACAATATTTCGAATTAACTTTAATTATTTTATTCTTTAGCTGGCATCACTGCCTACTATTTCCAGTACTCTTTTAAAAAAGCAAATCATCAATCGACACTTATTTTAAAACAAATATCGCAAATTAATTAGAAGTAGCCTGTCTAGCACTAGTCCCAGGCTCTTTTATCAACTAGATAATCGTTGACTTTATAGTAAGTCTTTTTACACAGCTTTTCTTTAATACGATTCTTTAATTTATTAAAAGGCAGAGATAAGAGCCTCTGGGATTTTATTAAAGAAGAGTATCCCTTTTCCCAAAAAAGAATTACAAACTTTAGATAGTCTAGTACGGGGAAATTGCAGCCTGCGTTTGTTCCGAGTATTAACATTGTGCGTATGTTCTATTCTAGAAAGTTCCGAAGGTCATCAGCGCTATTATTTATAGAACTATCGGGTTACATAGTTTGACGGCTCATTGGTCTAGTGGTTAGTACCCATGACTGCGAATCCATGGGTCCCGGGTTCGATCCCCGGCTGAGACAAACATCGATGTGATGAGCATTTGGTGTTGTGCTTGGGCCTTGGGTGTTTAAATATGTATTTTTGTCTATCTATCTATAATATGTATGTATATCCGTTGCCTAGTACCCATAACACAAGCTTCACCAGCTTAGCATGGGACTAGGTCAATTGATATGAATTGTCCAATAAGAAAAGGGTGCGTGTACTTATGTACGCGCGTAAGAAGTTATACTTCTTTGGCTTTCTTTATTTTTTATAAATATTAAATAATTAAAAATAAATATTTAACGTTAATAATTTAATAATATTTAGTATATTATTAATTAATAATAATAATTATTATTATTTATTATTTTATTATATTATTCATTCAATTTAATAACTAGGTTTCATAACCCTTTAACTAAGTAACAATAGGTCTTTGTGAAAATCTCCTTTATTTGTTTAAAAGGTACTACAAAGGTCATTATGGTCATTCAAAATTCTTAGCATACGAGTAGCTTGCTAACTTCACGCATATTCTATTTCTTTTTACTTGTAGATTGTCTTATTCCCATCTCGCTCGCGCACGCTCGGCGCCCGACTGGTTTCAAAAGAATTCGTTAGCGGGCAACTTCATACTGATAATTTTATGTCACGGTGCGCGCGCATCGTAAAATTTTACTCTGATAAATTTTTCATAACGCGCCTAAAGTATAACTTCAAAAAAAAAAACATAGTAAGGTCAGGCCAGTAGAAGGTACCTGTAGAAATATGACATCCCCATGTGGTGTGTTGACTGTGTGTAACTGTGGATCTTCAGCGACGAGCAAATGCCTGACCCGCGACTGTGACCCATCAAGCGCCGCGTGCCATGATATGTGATCGCCGGCGCAGAATTTGTTGCCTACAAATATACGAGATTATAACAGTATGTTCAGAGGAGTTCGGCCATACCTGCAGCTGAGTTTCATCATCGGACGTCAAGGCAAAATACCATCCGTATCACCTCGACGTCCGTTGTTCCACAACACAGCGTTTTCTAAAGCAGTTTTTGCCGCGCACCACCACTATGTGGAACCAGCTGCCCACAGAAGTATTTCCGAACCAATTCGACTTAGGGTCCTTCAAGAAAAGAGCGTACCAATTCTTGAAAGGCCGGCAACGCACTTGCGAGCCTTCTGGCATTGTGAGTGTCCATGGGCGGCGGTATCACTTAACATCAGGTGAGCCTCCTGCCCGTTTGCCTCCTATTACATATAAAAAAAGTATCTAATCGGTCCATTTGTACCAATCCAAGAGGGAAAACATTCATTTAGAAAAGCTACTGCTCTCTGACTATTATGAGTTGGGAAACGCCGCGGAAAAGTTTCTTTTCTCATCACTTATAATTTGAAGTAGTTTCATGTATGTTTTTAATTTGATTAAAATGATTAATTTCATGTTGTTCATTTCTTTTAAAATACTATGTTACTTAAGGGAGCGTTCAAGTATTACGTAACGAATTTTTTTGGTCATTTTGTAAAACGTTACGATGCGGGGCGGGGATTGAATTACACGTAATTGTTAATATTATTTTCGACTTACACCACATAATAGTAACTGAAGAGTCACTAGGTGGTCACGAAACGTTTTACTATACTTGGGTACTGAAAAACGTTACGGCGAGTTACATGGGGGAGGGGGGGTCAATAATCTCCAAAAATATCGTTACGTAATACTTGAACGCTCCCTAAGAAGGGTTATTAGTTTTTGGCTATTCTTTCTATTGTCATCATAAAAAAGGGTTTTTTACATTTCAGTTGGGACGATTCTCAGACGAGACAAGTAATTTTTAGAAAATCTTTGAATGCAGTATTACCAACTTAAAAATAACATAAAGTCTTCTTTCAGTAAAATACCCTATTTACGATATTTAAGGTACTTTCCCTTCATGTTCCATAACTTTGGGACGGCCCTGTATACAATTTGGACATTAAAAAATATCCAGTGACAACAGGCTTCAAATGAAACCAATATGAGGCTAAAAGAGATGGGCAAATAATTATACATAAAAAAAGGTTGCGTGTACTTACGTACGCGCGTAAGAAGTTATACTTCTTTGGCATTATTAAAAATAGTTTTTGATTGCATGCAAATAATTAATTACAATTAAATAATCAAAGACCGGAAAGGAAGTCAATAAAGTTCAGTTTACATTTCAAAATTAAATAAATAAATATTTATTATTATTCTCTTACATTAAGTGTAACATAAATTCTATTATTATTCGAATGTTGTTTTTAAATTATGTCCAATGCCGTAGCATCTTCCGTTAACTTCATTCTGTCAATTTTGTGTCACGGTGCGCGGGCATCGTAAAATTTCACACTCATCAATTTTTCATAACGCACCTAAAGAAGTATAACTTCAAAAAATTCTTATCCGCAATGAACCCTAAGCTAACAACTATATAAAATTCAATTCTATAATGAGTTAAAACTTACCAGTAGTAAATATATATCTAGCGAGTGCCTGTAGCAATGCAGCAGGCCAGACTGGAGGGGATTGACTTCTATCAGACGCCAACCTCAATGTTAACTCCAAGCCATAACCAGACCATTTGTCCCCTCGCTCTGGCATTGGATGGACACGACCATCTCCGTGAAGGTCAGAAACACCAAAACTGTAAAGATTTTTATTTAATGTAAAATTTTGATTGCATGTTACAAATTGTGATGTAACCGCTCGATTTTTAAAGAAAAACACTTGGTAAAGGACATGTCACTCTTTAGTCTATGTTTTATTATAGTTAATAAGTTCTCAATACAAAATACAACCGTTTACGACGACATCTGTTATAACAACATACCGATTATATTGACCAAAATCAGTTCCCAGCGGGTAAAAGTATAGGTACTTAATAACAATGCAATCGGCTGTTACACCTATCGGTTATTACGAATCTATTTTGAATAATGAAACATTAAACTTGACATTGACAAAGTAGCACAGCTCTAGTAACTGCCTGTTAATAGGTTGCCTGGAAGAAATTGCTTGTTAGTGATAAAGCCGCCCATTGTCTAATAACTTATGTAACCTGCTTTTTTAAATGTATGTCTTTGTATAAGCTAAAGAAGTGTAAATAATTTGCAAAAAAATATATTAAATGCAATGCATACTTTTTCTAATTCATTCAATCTATGATGATGGTTGAAATTCAGTGGTAAGGACTAACAATCAAAAACAAACTCAAAAAGTTGTCATCATAACTTGACACTTAAAGGAGCTAATTTTCCCTCCCATTAACTTCCATTTGTCAAAAAAGATGAGGATTTGACATACAAGAGTTATACTTAGTCTAATCTTGACTTTGAATCTTACCCAAGTCTGTCTCACCTTACATAATGCCAATGTGGAGGTATGCTTTCTTCTGGTATTCCTGGATTCCAGTACATGCTGATATAGTCAAGAGGATCTTGGCCACCAAGCCTGTTATCATAGATTATTATTATTTATATGTTAAATATTATACTAGCTAGATATTAGGGTAGTTTTAACAAAATATTTATTTATTCCAGCTAAATCAGATTTAGAGTATAATAATATTAGGAGAATTATGTCCCAATCTCTGTCATTGACATCTGAGAAAAACCATACGTATAACACTTACAACTTGTCTATAAATCTTACATTTACATGGATACAAAAATTTTGTCTTACCAGTATTTCAGTCTTGTTGTCACTTGCAATGGGTTTGGTTGATCTGGATATATCTTGGAGCATGCTTCATATAAGGCTTTTAAACCAGCTGGCATCAATCTATCTGTAAATTTATGTACATTATAGTATTTTTAAAATTTTTAAATCTTACTTCTTCTTGAATATTCTAAAAATTCAATCTGACCATTTTAAAAGTATTAAGCAGGTATGAAAACTTTAAAACTCTATTTTACCAAAATACTTATTTATCTAATGATGTCGCTACTACAAAACTGATTTACCTGACGGATCCATCTGATCCTGCGACCCTTGTGAACTGTTAGTTTGTGGCTGCGTAGGCGCAACAAAAGCTAGGGCACTGTTTCTCACAACCCCATCCACGTTTGTCCCACTTCCGGACATCTTTGCCAATGTTTTTTTTTAGATAACATTAAAATATCTCAACTATTTAACGGAACAATATAAACATACGTAGACAATACGCATATTTCGGATTTCCTAGCATTCGGCCATTTTCAAAATATGATTTCCAGTTCTCTGTTCTACTCTCTGTCAATGTCAACTTAAGAAATGACAACGTGTGTGAGTTTGAATATCACTGACATTTCTTATCAGTGACATATTCTGACTTTTCAAAAGCAAATTTTAACTTTCAAAATAATGTGGGTGTTTAACTGTTGACGGTTGAGTGCCGAATAGTTCCAAAGATATCGTTTTCTTTTCTCTATTTATAAATAAAAACAACTTCAGACGTTCCTGTGCTATTTATATCATTGCAAATCATCCTATATCATAATCCTGTGAACTATATATAATTTTGTGGCTCAAATAATGCGTTATATCTTCCTAACTACTATTTTCAGTGTTGTGTTTGCGTATGAAAAAGATATGACTTTTACTGTACAAGCCGGTAAACAAGACTGTTTTTATCAAAAAGTACTTCCTAATGAAATAATTGATATAGAATATCAGGTAATAAATAAACTTTTATCGTTAAACTAAAGTGTATACTACTGGGCCTAAATCGAATAAGACCGGCCAAATCTGAGGTCTGTTATCCTGTAACTACAGAGGCATTTAGTTATCACGCATTAGAGTCAGTTTCGATTATAACTTGCTTCCTATGTTGCGTACATAATTGAAAAAGAGAAACCAAGAGTTTCAAACCAAAACTATATTGGCTCTTGGATTTAATGCCACAATAGGTTAAGTAAAGAGTTATCTAACTAAGCTTAAAAGAGAAGACATAAAACTAAAGACACAAATAAAAAAATTGAATTAGCAACACTGATAAAATATTGTTTAATTAACTGTAATAATGACTACTGATAACAATGCTAATTCTATGTGTACTTGAAGTATTTTATTACTTGGCCATACAGTTATTATTTAAAATAATTTAAATTTCTCATAAAAATAGATATCTTATCATATTCTATATGTCATTTAATTTTTTTATGGCTATTTTAATTACTATCATTGTTTTATATATTTATGTCAGTCTGACACAAAATAAATTACCGTGCGATTTTAATTTACAGGTAATCGATGCGTCACATGGTGAGCTGGATATATCATTTCAGCTCACAGATCCTGTAGGAATGATTATTGTAGCTGATTATAAGAAGCCAGAGAACGCACACAGACATACATCTGTGCTGGAAGGGGATTATCGATTCTGCTTTGACAATACATTTAGTACTTTTAGTGAAAAGACTGTAAGTATTATTAGGAGAAGGAAAATACATTGTTAACAGGGACTTAAGAATTTATTAATGTTGGCCTGTACCTGTGCCTTTTCAGTGCACTTCGGCTGAGTTTTAAACACAGTTGAGATATATTAGGTAGGATTTCTTTTAACTATTCATTTAAATTGAATTATTTTTATTAGAAAGCAGGATAATGTTCCTGCATATAAAAAAAAAAACAATAGCGCTACAACCTTTTTAGGTCTTTGCCTCAGATTTCTGTATGTGTTTCATGATCATTTGGTCGTCGACTTTTTTGGGTCTAAGGCAAGCCGGTTTCCACACGATGTTTTCCTTCACTGTTCGAGCGAATGTTAAATGCGCACATAGAAAGAAAGTCCATTGGTGCACAGCCGGGGATCGAACCTACGACCTCAGGGATGACAGTCGCACGCAGAAGCCACTAGGCCAACACTGCTCACTATTCCTGCATATAACCAAAGGGTTAAATGCACTGTATTTTCACCTAAGCTTAGATGACTCCCGTATGTCACTCCAATACATTTTAATCTCCTTCAAGTCATACTTGGTGCTAAGAATCTCTTTCTTTCTCTCAAAAATATTAAAGAAATAAATCCTTTAATTTGGGCTAACTTTTCCCGCACTCAATTTGATTCCCATTAAAAGTATACATCCCTGGCAGATCACCTAGTCATGGTTCATATCCCTAGATATATGGTACACAATGTTCACAGTATATTTTAAACTGCTTAAAGATAGCAAAAATATTTTCAGGTATTTTTCGATTTAATGATAGATAATGAAGATTCACAAAGCAAAGATTACGATGATGACAAGGAAATGGAATTAGGTATGTAATTGTAGTTTATCTGTTTCATGATATTTTATTAAATATCATGAAAATTCTAATAGGCAGGTAGGTGATCAGCCTTCTGTGCCTGAGCATCATTTCCTCACAATAAAGTAAAACACTTCACTGTCCGAGCAAGTACTAAAAATACATAAAAGTTGACAGAAAAGTTGAGCCTTAGACCTCAGGGATGAGAGTTGTCTAGTCGCTGAAACCCTATACCAAATACTTTAAATCAGTTGTTTTAATTTATTTATCAAAAATACATAAACACTATTCTTACAGAAGCCATAGTAATATTAATTACAAAGCTTCAACTAATTGGACTATAGCATATTAAGCTAGTTGGCTGCAACATATATATGTTGCAGCCAACTAGCTTAATAAGCTGTTTAATCAACAGCCTAGCCTCTTAACTAAACAGCCCTGTTTAACTAGCGGCCTGAAAGATTTTCAGGCAGTTGATTAAACAGGATTGAACTTGGATCAATGTTTAATTACTTGCCTAGCCTATTGACTGTTAATGTCAACTAATTTAGTTTGACTTTCGGCCACTCTCAAACTCGAAACTAAACTCTTCAAACTGTCATTATGGCCTCGGCAAACCACAACTTTGATGGTGTTTTCCAAAGTTTAATGATGAACAAGTAAATATGAATTTAGCTGTAGCAATCTCTGTCACATGGTCACCCCTACGAATGGCTTAACTATTAGCCTGTTTATTAAAAGTTTTAACAAACGCTTAATATCAGGCCGCTAGTTAAACGGCGCTGTTTAGTGAAAAGGCTGTTAATTCAACGGCTAATTAAGCTAGTTGGCTGCGTGTATATTCTCCACCTTTCTATATATATTCTTTGCAGGTAATGCAGCTGAGACATATGTTATGCGTGTAAGAGATATATCAGAGTCGGTCACACGTGTAAAGGATAATGTGTCAGCTGCCAAACGGTTGCAAGAGTTGCTGTCAGCCCACGAGGCAAGAGATAGGAATCTTGCCGAAGATATGTGTGATCGGTATGTATTAGTTAGTTAGTTAGTTATTGAGAAGTATTTTTACTAAATATATAACTAAAACTAAACTTATCTAATATATAAAATTCTCTTGTCACAATGTTCATTCCCATACTCCTCCGAAACGGCTCGATCGATTCTTATGAAATTTTTATGCATATTCAGTAAGTCTGAGAATCGAACATCTATTTTTCAACCCCCTTAATGCTAAGGGTGGTTACACCCCTAAATTTCTATTTTTGAGACAAATTTTTTTCTCAATAGTCAACGCAACACATAAGATTTTATAGCTGGAAGCTATAATATATATAATATAAGAAAAATTCTATCAATCCATGATTATTATTTAAAAATGTGTTTAAATTCTAATTTCGAAAGTAGTCAGATGTTAAATGTGTCACTAAACGCGCGAAAATTTCATATAAGGCAACCCCAGCGTAACAGCGCACTTAGCTGTCTTTTTAGTAGTGAGAGATTATCATACCATAAAGGGTATGTTCCGATATACACTGCGAGTACTGTATAGTGCTCCCACTGTTCAAAAATTCGTTCCGCTATAGACTGCCAGTATACAGCCGCAGTCCTAGGGAAATATATGACGTCACAAATCCCCGCTATACTTCTACTGCGAGCACTGGCGTTTTCGAGGTAAGGTACTCGCAGTGCTTTGATCACGTGATCAATCAAAACCACTTGAATGCCTAACGGCTGATATAACTTACAGTTTAATAACAAACATTTAAAATTCTAACTTACTTTCTTTGTAGTATTAATTCAATTGACAGTTAATATTAATATAGATTTTTTTAATGCGATAATACTCCAATAATAGTTTTTCTTGTTGAATTGAAAAACTTTGATGCACTCATTTGAAAACTGTGTCGAAAAACGAAGCTGACTAGTATACTGGACTGCGTTCCGTTTTAAATTGTAACCAGTATAGCTGGCTATAGAGAAACGGTTTCACAGTATACTAAATTGACGGTACTCTGTACAGTGGTCGCAGTGTATATCGGAACATACCCAAAGTAATTACCATGAAACGATTACCGATATTTGAAAATCGATAACAGCTGTCACAACTACACTATGAAACCATAGAGCTCGCTTTCAACCTGTCATCTTGTATTCTTTCTCAAGTTAGTCATTCTTTTCAGGGTGCTGAAGTGGTCGCTAGTTCATATTGTTTTTATGTCACTCATCGGGGTTTTCCAGGTAAATTCTTAATAGTATAAGATCCCGCTATACAACGACCTTCACCGAGATGCTTATTTAATGAAACTTATTTTATATTTAATTTAATATGTCAATAAATATAATCCATATGGGTTGCCTAGCAAATTTCAGTCCAGAGTATGTTTAATTAATATTTAAAAAAAAAAAAAAATTTTATAATTTGCATGTAGTAAATTTTTTGAACTTTTTTCAATCAATATTTTTAATCAGGGTAGTATTACTATAGTGTATAGTGTTACATACAGTATAGTGATACATATAGGGGAAGATCGTTACCCTTCGTACGCGGGGCACATTCATACAGTCAAAATAAAACTTGAACGAAATAAAGTACAGTCTTGCTTTTGTATGTGTGCATGAGTCGAGGTACCAACTATACATCAACGAAGTTTCGTGAAATTCGCACCGATGAGAGTGAAGTTACAGGCATAGACGTGTTTTCGCGCTCGGTAAGTAATTTTTTGATCTATGTTTTTATCTCTTGTTACCGTAGATAAAATAAGTTTTCGTGTAGAGTATTCTATCAGTAACTAGCAAAATATACTTAAGATACGTCTCCAATACTTAATTTATGACGTTTTCCTATTAATATTAAAATAAGTTATATTTTGTTGTTATTCAGTTAGTGGGGTACATTCGGACAGCACTAGATGGGGCACATTTGTACGAATTGTACAACTAAATTTGTATAATAATTTGTCGACGCGAACTGTCTTTTTCATTCAAATTAAGTTTTCGACTTTCTACATATTACACTACTGTTAAGGCATCTTGACTAAGGTTGATTTTGATGCTTGTGAACCAGATGCTGTGAATAATTTACCAATCCATCAAATAGTAGTTCCTTCGAAGTCAGTTTTGACACCAGAGGCATTTCGACCCTATTCGCATTCTGTAAGAAGTAATAAAACAAGCAAAATGACGATGACGGCCAGGAAAACCACGAATTTATACTGCCACACCCGAAAATAAGAAGTTGTAATCCACACCAAAGAGTAAAAAATGTAATTCTAAATTTAAGATACCTAACTAATTAAATTTTGTTTTACATAAGAAAAGTATTTTATTTTTGTTTAATAGAAATTAAATCTTTATTTTTGTGTTTAATTTCATTGCTAATAAATGAATTTTGAACTACCCCACAGCGTAAGAAGGTACCCCAAACACTGTACGAAGGTGCCCCGTTGATGGGGCAGATTCGTACGTTTTCCAGATTTAGTTTAAATCATAATTATGGTTGAAACATCGGATGAAATCATTTGTCATTTTTTTATTTGAATCTCAGATAGTTAGACTATAAATTTAAGCTATCAGGTGATTGATTCATGGAAAAATAAAAAAATTAAAAAATAAAATGTGAAAACCGTACGAAGGGTCCCCACCTTCCCCTATATACTAATATATATATGTATCACTAAAACCTTCTTTTATACTAAAGATGTATATATACTTTAGTGTCACATAAAAAATAATACACATAAATAATTAATTGATTAAAAACAACCTAACGTTTGCATATTCTATGGGCTTCATACTTTCGATTGGTTTAGAATTTATCTAATAATCATACCGGTGAAATGTAAAAAAAATATTTTTTTTAAAATTAATTAAAAATACTCTGGACTGAAATTTGCTAGGCAACCCATATGGATTATATTTATTGACATATTAAATTATATATAAAATAAGTTTCATTAAATAAGCATCTCGGTGAAGGTCGTTGTATAGCGGGATCTTAGACCATAAATATCACTATATACTAAAAATCAATATGGAACCAGTTTCTAGAAGGAAATTGTATTAATACTTTTGAATTGTCATATCCTGTTATAGAGAAATCATCGTAAAAAAAGTCAATATTAAATCTAATCGAGGGCTGTCACATAATTTTCTCTGTGTTTGACATTTATTCTTAAAAGGCCGGAAACGCACTTGCGAGCCCTTTGGCAATGCGGATTTGTTACAAACACCTGTTGGTCATTTCCTTTGCAGGTTAAAAATAAAAAATATATAAATCAGTGGCGCTAAAACCTCTTTAGGTCTTAACCTCAGATTTCTGAATCTGTTTCATGATCATTTTTAAATCTAATAAGCAGTTAGGTGATCAGCCTCCAGTGCCTGACACACGCCATCGACTTTTTTTGAGTCTAAGAAATGTCGGTTTTCTCACGATGTTTTCCTTCACAGTTCGAGCAAATGTTAAATGCACATAGAGAGAAAGTCCATTGGTTCAACGGGGATCGAACCTACGACCTCAGGTATGAGAGTCGCACGGTCAACACTCCTTTGCGATTTAATGAACGAGAAAATTTATGGACAAAATTTTAACACTGGTGTTATTCTTTTTTTTAAGGTGTACTTCGTAAGAAGTCTGTTCGAAGATTCAAGCAGGAGTTATAAAAAATTTGTTCCTCACCTATAAATACCAAAGATTTTGTATTTATTATAACCGACTTTAGAGTCTGGCTAATGAAAGTTGATACTGAAAAACCGCGGCAAATTTAAAAAATATCAGTATGGCAGCGCTAAAGTAAAAGGAAAGTTGGAACAACTCATTTTGATACTTTGACATTCATTTTTATTTTACTAATGGATGCTTGCAATTTTTAAGCATATAGGTTTTGTGGACATAAGTTTCATCTAAGAAGATTATTGGCTTGCCTTCTGCACGTTTCGATGCAATGGCACAGCAAAAAGCAAAAAGCGATGTCTTGCAGCTATGTCATATCGTTCAATTGATAATGAACTTTCATTTTTGTTTTTCTTAAATTCATAACCGTTGGCTAATAATCTCAAGACTATCTGTAAAAGAACAATAGCATTATCTAAAGTAACTAAAACTAATATGTATTTATTTAAAATAAAAAATATCAAGACATTTTGACCGTCCTAACTTTAGTGTTGTCATATAAAAAGTTTGCAAAAAAAATCCAGTATCTACTTTCGTTAGCCAGACTCTAGTCTTTAGATTTATCATGGGTTTGGACAATTAAAACAGAGCTGTTGAGTTGGACACGAAGTTATGATATTACACGCTTACTTACAATTACAAAATTCTGCGTACCCCTAGATTATTTATACGAGTTTAATACTTTGTCTAAATCATAGAGCTATACATAAATAACCTGTCATTAAACAAAACAGCGATCACAGATAAAGCAACTCAATTGTCCATTAATGAATGTTACAGAAGATCGTCCAATGGCTCAATGTCGGTTTAGCAGTTATTTTAAAATATCCATTATGGGGCGTTCCCACGGAGCGTTAATCACGACAGTCAACTACGCTAGTCAACTGTCGTTCGTGACACTCACGAAAGTGTAAATTGATGAAACGTTCACATGGTTGGGGGATTTCGTGCCGTTCACGCTTCGTGTTTCGACTTAGTCATTATCGAAACATCGATCATGAATGATCTGGTTGTTGAAAGTTGTGCTGTTTTAAGTTCGGTTTTTGCTACTATCATAGCAAAAAAGATCATGACACAAGAAAACGAAAAAAAAGACGTTCATTCATGACTTATTCTCATAGCTGCGGCGGCACGTAAATCTCTATCACGGTATTCCTCCAAACTTGGATCATATAACACCTTTTCCATAGAATATAACTCCAAAAAACGCGTAGTTTCACTGTCGTTAAACTTAATTCCACGTTGTTGTGACGACATCTTGGCTTCACGAACGGTATATCACGACTGAAAATCAAACACGTTTGATCTATCCACGCTTGTGTCGTGCGCCGTTCCTCACGAAAGCAAGTTTAACGCCTATGCGTTCACACAGAAGTGTATTTCACGAAAGCGTGGTTGACTGTCGTGATTAACGCCTCGTGGGAACGCCCCATTATTGTGTCCCTAAATTCTGCTACATTTGCTATAACGAAATAAATTCAAGATTTGACGTAATATTTCGATAGATATATCGAAGATAACGTCAAATTGTCACCTAGTGATGTGATTATTTAAAATTAAAATCCAGTAAATAACATTTAATATATTCCTTATGTCAACCCAAAAATATACGAAATGGCGCGAATCGCGTTCCGTCAAATGCCATTTAACAGTTTGACGTCTTGTGTATGACAGATTATATCCGTCAAATTATACTGTGTTTTAGACTACATTACAGTGACACAATGGTATTTTTTGTGGTGTTAGAAATATTTGCTAAATACGTCAATTTTCCTAATAGTCCAAATAAATTAATTTAGTTTAGAAATGCCATTTTATAATTTTACAAGCCGAATGTCTGTCCTTGTTCCTACACATCACAGATAACATCCACAGGGCAGATGTTTGATTACATAGTTAATTATTGTCGTTTAAATACGTAAGTTATCTAAATGCACACAAAATATAGTTTAATTAGAAAAATTAAAAAAATTCTTTATTTTATGTAATTAAAACCGGTGAAAGGGTCAAGTCAAAGTCAAGTCAGGTCAAGACAGCGATGCTAAGCTCTCTGGATTCAAAGACAAGTTTAAGGACAGAGCTCTTTAAACGAACAATACGTAATTTCTAATAGGTAATATTTTTAAATATATGGAGTTCGCCCTTAAACTTACCTAAGAATTTCTAATCTGAGTAATTAAATCATAAAATCTATTAAAATACTTATAGATTTCGTTTTGTCTATGTAAATACTTGGTAATCACACGATCTTTATATTTTTAGTCGAATTAATGTATTACAGAGTATAAACAGATCGCCATTCTCATTATACATTATAAAACGCACTGTCTTGGCCATTTGAAGAACAATCATGTAAACTTTGAGAGAAACGAAGAATATTAGTGATATTAAAAAAATTTATAGTCTGTGCGTAAGAGCACTGGTATGGCAGTTATACGTATTAATGTAATTCTTGTTTGCTGCGTCACTGCGTCAAGCATTCACAATTTAATTTTAGGTATAGTCCTTTTCATGAAAGAAGTCCCCCAGACGCGGCGCTGCAATCGCATGACGTAATGTTGCCATTTATGAGTAAAAAATTTACCTATTTTATTTACATTTAGCAGATGTCATTTATCAAGTAATATTATTTTCTGCATACTTCGATGAAATAATATTTCTGTTATGTAAAAAGTATATTTTTATTTACTTATATTAGCGGTGTTCTACCTACTTACAGGGAAAAGTTGAGAAAATAGGATAAAGAAAAGCAATACAATTTTTTATTCAGAGTTTTACTGCATAATTGTTGGGTTACAATTTTTTTCGAAGTACACGCCGCTATTATACCTTCGTTTGTAATTCTTGTTACAGTTTTCTCTGACACACCTGCAATTAAGTTATGAACAATTAAAAATAATAATAACTTTAAGTTTATAATGCTTATGTAATATGTAATATATGTTTTAATTTCAGTTACCTAGTTTCATCACGTTATGTATTTGTTCAATTTTGTCGCAAAAACGAATTTATATCATAAAAGTCCCATCAATACAGCAAAAAAATATTAAATGGCAACTCTAAAAAGTACCTGTTATGGCGGCAATTCTCTTCCGAACATTGTTTAGTGGTATTAAAACACCTTGATTCTTATGTTCCGCTTCACAGAACTCTTTCACCGTTAATATCATTTCTCGAGCCGAACTTTTTACAACTTTTGGCATTGTAATTAATATTTAAAATGCACTAAGCTAGTTAAAAATTCACAAAAATCTACCACAACAAACGAACTTGATAACATCGACGAATGACAACATTGCCGACCTGTCAAATTTAGTTCCAAAAATCACCGCGGGACTTCTTTCATGAAAAGCACTATATCAAGATTATGATCGAGCTATAATGATGTAACAAAGTTGTCAACATAAAAAAAGGGTAGTATTGCAGCGACCTCCTATCCCACGACGGTACTCGTTCCGCACAGACTATAACATAAACCTTCGTATAGAGTATAGAGAGGGCGGGAAAATAGTATCTTTTCAAGATATTTGTTTTCGGGATAAATAAAACCTTGTAATGTGTAAGTTAACCTATACACTGATTTTTCATTCCGTAGAATTGTGACATTTCATAAGTGTTGCTACTAAAAATGTTCTCCACCGAATATGGGACAAATTTAACCCATTTGAGGGCAATAAAAAAATGATTCGTATTTTTTTATGTTTTACCTACAACAAGGTAAATCTTAATCAAGTTTTTTTACTCAAGTGGCCTAATACAAAAATAACAAATATTTCAATTTCATGAATATTATATCGAATTAACTTTAATTACTTTATTTTATTATTTAGCTGGCATCATTGCAATTCCATTATCTTTACTTTTGCGTTTTTTACTGTTTGTAATGAAAAGGGACGTAATTATCAGTCGCCGTAAAACCACTTTTAATGTGGAGCACCGCACTTAATAAAATGTTAATTTAATAATATAAAATTATTATACATATTAATAATAAACTTAATAAAATAAAATTCACTAACAATAAAATGTATGTATAGAGTCATATGTTCTGACTCGTACCCGGCCAAAAAGGTTTGTAATCTCTGACATGTCAAAAAATGATAAATGTCACACTTCTTCGGAATTTAAAATCAGAGTAGGTATATAACTAGTTATAAAACAATCGTTAATTTGACAGAATTGTTAATACAAAATGAAACTGAAATATAGCAGGGTGTTTTTGTTCGTAACACTTTAAAAAATATAGACTAGATTGATTGAGAAATCGGAGAAAATAGAATTGTTTTTTTATTAGATTGTTTAAAAATGAGGTTTTACTTCAAGTCTATGAGTCCTATATAGAAAAATATAACCAAAGTTTATTTCAATGATTTATTGTATGTCTTGGTAGGTTTTTACTTTTTTACTGTATGCCCAAACTCGACAGCGTCAGGTACGAAGGGATATCATTTATAGAAGAATTAATGAGGGAACAAATAAAAGAAAATTGTCATAAATTGTATATTAAAACTTAGCGCATAAAAATGTACAAAATAAAAATGAACAAAATATATGGTGTTTTCTTTTTTGTAATACTTAAATATAAATATCATAGCTATACAAATATGTAATACCCGCGGTTTCGTTTGCATGGATTTCCTAGGATCTCTTGATGTTGGAGTTTCTCAGGATATAAAATTTAAATGTTGATAACGTAATTCATGCTTAAATTTGTTTTAGAATATAAAAGTTATGTCAAATCTTCAGTTAAAATATATATATTTTCTTATAGTTAAATCTAACAATTTATCGGTGTTGTCTAGATGATGTGATTTACACAAAAATACGCAAAACATCGCTCGCGTAGTTAAGGATTGACTCAAGTTTAAGCACACTGTCAGCTGTCAGTGGTTATTGACATACGGATTTTGACAGTTTTTAATTTCGGTCAGGCTAGTCTTATCTTTAATTTTTTTTAAATCGATGTACTCTTCTAATTGTGATTAGATTACTGCGGGAGGCATGTCAAAATCCAGTACATTTCAAAGTATCACTTCTGAATTTTGCTCTGAAAGTCGGGACCTAGCCGTTAGTAAAAAATGTATTTAATTTGACATACGAAAGTTTACAACTATAGACTTAATATCACCCTGAATCTAATCTATAATCTCACAGAGTTAAAACATTTTGGCAAATGCAACTAGCCTGAACTTAGCTCACCAATTTTTGAATGAAGAGTTGAATCTCATTTTTGCTTTAAGAATCACAAACTCAAATATAACCTCCAAAAATGGTCTGTGATAAAAAGTGTTATTGAGCGTCAGCCATAGATTTGACAGCACCGTTAGTCAAATTGTCCATGCCTAGAGTAATGTTGGAACCAAATCGTTTAATCATTTCAAACGTCGCTAAATTATAATGTTTCATTAAACTATCATAAACATTGGCCACTTGCACCACTGAGGGGCTGTACATAGTTCCGGGTTTATTTTTTATGTAATAGCTTATATCCTGCATTGGGTCTTCGGGAATTCTGGATATGCCGTAATTTTCATAGTAAACCGAACGCTTTGCCAACCTTGGTTTTACCGCCTTCCGTATTATTTTGACAGCCATGCCGCCATGTTGCTTTTGAAAAAAATGGCGCTTAGGCTTTTCTACGTAAATCTTTTTCGCTTTTAAATTCCTTTTTTTCGTTGGTGGACGCAGTAGTATAGACTTTTTTGCGAAAACTTCACGCTTTTGTATTGATTTCGTATTAATTTCGTTTTTTACTTCGTAACTGTTGGATTTTATGTTGATGTCAGAGTTATCAGTATTCCACACTTTGTATTTTATGTAATTTTTAACAAAGTTCGTCATTTCATTGTCTACTGACCGTTTTTTTATATTATTAGTAAGTTTTGGCGCGCGTTTCGACAATGGCGGACCATTTTCCACAGTTTGCATAATTTCTAGAGAGATTGTTGTCTCTGGGATTGTAGTTGATGTCATTTCTTCCATTTGCATTGTACTCGATTCAGTGGATCTATCTATAAAATTAAATTAATAATTCAATAAGACTGTGGGACAAGGGACAAACACATTTCTGTCATAGCACTTTAAGAAATCATAAATTACTATAGCTTATTAACTCTATGTTAGACTACTTTCAATAATGCCACAGACAATGCAATTACAATTAGGAATTATCGCTAAGAACTAGCCCGCAATAAAATGAAAACCGATCTCGTTTGATACATTTTACCGATGTTTTTTTCTGTTCCGTACTTTCAGTATTTTTTAAATATAGAACTTACTAGGTTGATATTCGCTGGGATCAGGCATATAGCCAGTCAGCTGCGCCAGTTGATCCAAAAACCAGGCAAGCTTCATCAGAAGCTCCTCTTCCTCCTGCTGAGCTGTATCCTGAAAATTTGTTAATCTCTATTGAAACTGGCCATATTGTGCGTGTGGACTGTGGACCGAGATGTAAGTACACTCTGTATTCAATAACACTTAATTGTCTTTGATAATTCACACTTGGATATACGTCACGATCGCCGTAACACGAGAACAGGTAAGGGGGGGATCCAGTGGGGGTCATGAGGACATGGTTAAATTCTACTAATTTTTATTGCATAGCTGGCATGGGAGAGTATCTATCGCATTTACCATGGAGAGTGTTCAGAGGAGTTGTTCAGATTTATACCTGCAGCTGAGTTTCAGTATCGGACGTCAACGCAGAATACAAAATACGATCCGTATCACCTCGACGACCGCCGTTCCACGTGAGCGTTTTCTAAGGCAGTTTTTGCTGCGCACCACCGCTATGTGGAACCAGCTGCCCACTGAAGTATTTCCGAACCAATTCGACTTAGGGTCCTTCAAGTTAAGAGCGTACCAATTCTTGAAAGGCCGGCAACGCACTTTCGAGCCTTCTGGAAATGTGAGTGTCCATGGACGATACCACTTAACATCAGGTGAGCCCCCTGCCCGTTTACCTCCTATTGCATAAAAGAATATAGAAACATCGCTCACAAGGTCGGCAACGCACTTGCGAGCCTTCTGGCAATGTGAATGTCCATGGGCGTCGGGGCGTTATCACTTAACATTAGATGAGCCTTCTTCTTTGCATCCTATTACATAAAAAAATAATAATAACATCTCTTACTACCCTTAAATTTGCCTGAAAATCGCAATTGTATGTTTTTCTCCTCACCCAAGCTCAGCTCATCATCTGCAATAGACCAATGAGGCAATGCAAAATACCTTATCAGCAAACTTCCGTTCCCTCAGCTCATTGGTGGCCCAAAGCGCCAATTCGGACAACTTAGTGACCTGATCACTCGCTGCCATTATACTCCTGCAGAGGTCAGGTTCTGATGGTACATTTGGATCATTTTCTGGAAGCCAGGTTGATGATTGGGTCTGTAAATTAATATAAATGGAAACTTAGGAATTAATAATAATATACTTCCTTTGATTCCAAATGAAATGGAGATGGACGGGTCATAAACGGAGCTCCCATGAAAAGTGGAGCAAAATATTGACGGAATGGTACCCTAGAGACGGGAAACGAAGAAGAGGCCGACCACGCAAGCGATGGGAGGGCGAACTGAAACTAACAGCAGGCTACAACTGGAGAAGAGTCGCAGAAGATAGAGAACAGTGGAAAGGGTTAGAGGAGGCCTTTGCCAAGAGGCACACCGAACTCCGAGATATACTGGAGTGAAAATATATTAAAGTTCATATCTTAATATGTGTATATAAATTACGCGTCACGTTGTTTGTCCGCTATGGACTACTAAACTACTTAACCGATTTCAATCAAATTAGCACACCGTGTGCAGTTTGATCTAACTTAAAAGATAGGATAGATACCCGCATTATTATTTTATTGCAAATATTTGTTTATTATTTGATACAATTCTAACTGATGGCGCTGCGTTGACAGTACCAACGTTTCACATAAGCTACAATTTAATGGCATAACCGCCAAAAAAGCACGGTGTTCTCCTACCGTTTCCCTTGAATAGTTTACTACGATGTAATATAACAAAAACCTTAGCCACAGCAACGCTTGGCCGGTCTGCTAGTATGTATATAAAATTACAGTTTCGGAATTTAAAGGCTATATATCCTTTGATTCCACTCTTCTTGTTTACTTTTACAAAACAAGTCCTACACCGCGTCTATCATAAAGTACTGCCAAAATTGATTGCGGATTTCACCAATATTTAGAATGATTCATGATGAAGAAGGGCTATGAAGGCTTTGTTACTTAATACTCACTGTGGTAGGTACATTGGTACAGTTGTCGAGACTTTCTCGATAATGCGCCATCGCTTTCCGCAGCCCGTCCAAGTATATACTGCCATTGTTGAGAACTCCATGTATCTACAATGAAAATATGTAAAATTTTTGTTAAAAAAAGTGTGTACTCCATGTACACGTTTTAGAAGTTATACTTCTTAGGCGTAACAAGATAAAAATCTTTTTAAAAATTTTATCTTTCGCCTTATTCTAAGTTTGTAGAAAAAACACTAACAATAGAAAAAGGTATTTAATACATTGAAAGTTTTATTAGGTATAACGCATTATCTAGTTAAATAAAGTTTATTTAAATATCACAAAAAAATATTTCTACATAATTAAAGAAATGGACATTTTTCATTTTAAAATTTTGACTATCTAACTTCAGAGTTTCGGTCTTTTGTGACGGTCTGCGGGTGTCGGTTATTTGTGACGGTGTGCGAGCGCATTGTAAAAATTTACTCTCATAATTTTTCTTAACGCGCCAAAAGAAGTACAACTTCAAATACCCGTCACTTGGAGGATGGGACCGGATGCTACGTGTGTGGACATGTTAGTTCTGTCTCGCCTCTCTCGGACAAGCACAAAAGCTGCTGCGGCCGCAGAGTAGGAACGGAATAATGGGCAAAATATAAGTGTCTTTGAACTGGCAGCTAATTCCACAGAGTGGTGCGAGGCCTTAAAACTATCAGTTGTGGAACGAACGTCACGGTGATAGGGGTAGAATTTCGTATTCTACCTCGACCTCTTATGATGAATTCAGTTGCAAGTACCGAACCAAAGGAGTGGTTAATTAAACACTAATAATTTAAATATTGCGTGATTAATTAAATAGTTATAATTGTTATTCATGTGAGACGAATGTTCTGCTTACAAGTCAGCCTTCTATGCCAGAATGCCATTTGGGTCTAAGCATTCAAATGGCTTATTGGAAGGAAGACAATCAGATACTTATGAAAATATATCATAGAAAGCATATACACGTGAAAATGACATGAGAAGCACGCGCAACCAGAACCATGCAACTACCTCAATAGTACCCCGCAATATCGCACCACAACTTCCGAGGGGATTCTTTGTATTGAAGAAGTCGCATGGGTCCAGCATCTACAAATATATACTGTCTATATAGTTATGTAGGAATAAAAAAAAATTGCATACGAGTATAATAAACAGCAAAGTTTCAAAACGACTCGGCGAAAGGTCACTATGGAGTTGCTGAAAATAAATTCTGTTATTTTGTTATTATTTTTTTTATAGAAAAGCAAACGGGCAGGAGGCACACCTGATGTTAAGTGATACCGCCCATGGACACTCTCAATGCCAGAAGGCTCGCGAGTGCCGGCCTTTTAGGAATTGGTACGCTCTTGTCTTGAATTGGTTCGGAAATACTTCAGCGGGCAGCTGGTTCCACATAGCGGTGGTGCACGGCGAAAACTGCCTTAAAAACACTCAGTTGTGAAACGGACATCGAGGTGATACGGATGGTATTTTGCCTTGACTTGTTATTATTTAAACATAATAATTTACTTCCCCGTACAATTGAAGAAAGAAATAAAAATTTAGTCGTGATTCGAACACGGCCACGACCAACGCTTTAACTGCAGCCTTTTTACAACGGGTTTTTAGTAACATATTTGACATAAACACATTCATCCCCTATTCATTCCCAATCAGGTTTAAAATGAGCAGAATTTTCGTAATTCCGTCTGCAAAAACCAACCTAGGAGTTCAGGCACATCTCGTTGGAATTCTTCGCGATTATAACGGATTAAACAGTACTTAACCGGAGCTGGATATATTCGGTAGTGGGCTGATAACTTTTAAAGAAAGCATTGTTAAGTGCCTGTCTCATATCTAATCCGCTATTTTTTGCTTATTGGTTAGCTAAAATTGGAAGTGGAATAGTTTTTATTTTTTGTAACATTTATGATTACCATAATTGTCATATATATCATATCAAACTCAAATTAACTTAATTCATATAGGTAACCAAGTACACTTATGAACGTCAAAGAAGAAGTTAAATTAATTTTAAATTTATATTTACTACCGGTTCGCAAATCAAGGGCGTAGAGCGGGCAAGAAGAACTGACAAGAAACATTCCACCACTCTTTTTAATCGCTAAGTTTTGATACAATTTGTTTGAACTGGAGCAAATCAATCCCAAAGACTAGGATCATTTAAATATTCGTCAAATTTATAAAAAGCTTTATTGATTAATTCACGTTCGTTGCATTACGAGATCTATCAGATCTCTTGCAGGACTTTTGTATTGTGCGTTGAACATAATCGTGTTTTTTTCACTCCTTGCGGGAGGATGTAACTTGTTAAGTTCTTTAAGGATGTGCAGGACAAATATACATATTTGCTTCCTACTTAAAGCTGAATTCAAGGACTTTAAAAAATAAATGAGAGATGGATTAGGTCCCTAACGCACAGTACTATAATTGTTTTAATTCCTTGCGTTAGGAGATATGTCGGTACTCGTGAAATCGTACGCCTCGTAGACGCAAGAGATGGAGGATGGGATTTTTAGTGTTGTCCTAGAATCGACATTCGGGAAGTCGCGGGCACGTTTTGGAAATAACACTCGCGTATATACCAGCGTGTTGATTATTTTTGATAAACACTGAGTGATTAAGTTTAAAAGAAAAAAGTGTAAAAAATCTATTTTATTGGTGAGGTTTCTAACAAAAAATCAACGCCGGATTATACTGCTGCATCGTCCAGTAAAATATTTGTTTTGGAAAATGTTCAAATTTGCCCCCCATTGACTAATAATGACAGTGATTCTGATTATGAAATATTTAACGATAAACCTTTTTCATTGGAGCACACGCAGTTAAACAGCACTGACGCTTCTAAAAAAACTAAACGAATTGTTACCATTTGCGCGTAATGTGCAAGCAATCAATGTGCTTACCATGTTTTAATGAAAAACACTTTGCATAATTAATAAAACTTTTAGAATCGATAACTGAGATATTATTTTATTCCCATCACTACTTAGTACACATATTGAACTATCTTCGGGTGCGGTACGAGATACAATCGATATCTAATTTTTTTTTGGTATTTGTAGTTTATTCAAATGTCGTAACTGCGTGCGAACCTAGCAAAATATAAAGCAATTACCTATCTTTCACCCACAAAAAATTCAAAATATATGTCATTGTTTTTTTGGAAGATATAAATTATTTTCAAAAGTGTATATTTAGGAGACTGATTAGGTCTCAAACGCACCAGAGGATAGGCTTGTTACGAGATCTTTTAGGTCTCCAACGCACCAGCTGAAAGTTCTTTAAAATTGATGGCGCAGTGAACGTGTTAATTCACGTTTAACGAGGGTTTTGAATTTATTTAGTGATAATTCTTTATTCGCTTGAGAGTTTGTTGTAAAAACGAATAGGTACTATTTCCATATAAGGAGTGGTTTATCTTCTGGAGCCTGGTTGGTCGTACACTCAAATTAGTTCTGTTTCGCGTATTACACTGGTGATACTATATACTGTAGTTATAGCATTATGTATGATGTAGTGAAATTCAATAAATAAATAAAAGCTAACTAAAACCGCACTTTCTGCGCGCAATGTTTTAACCACTTTCTTAAAAACATAATTTTCACTAACGATTCATAACTTCCATACATTAACAGTCTATACTCAAAAAATTTGAACTATACATCCTTTTTATTATGTATAATATGTTTATAATGGTGTGTTCGAATTAGTTAAGAATAGGAGGAACACATGAATGGTTATGGAGATTAAATTCCGTTAAAAAAAAGAGTCTAAAGAAATTATTTAAATCTGCACGTTTTACAAAATTCGCTTTAAAAAGCGCGTAAATTAGACCATTATTTTTTATAATCGAATGATGTCAATTTGTGCAATAACATTATGTTTAAAACTTCGAGATTAATGGATTTGGTAAGTGAAAAAATAGAACCCAAGACCAGAGTGTCTTACCCTTAAAGTAGTGTTATTGGACCCTTTCTTATGTTAAATATCCTTTTTAATAGGTTAGAATTAAATTAATTATTAGTCTTAAGTTAGGCTGGATATTCCATGATGTCTCAGTAAACACGAATTTAAAAAAAAAGAGAATAATAGATTATAATTTATATTATTTAGCGAGAAGCGTTGGCCTAGTTGCTTCAGTGTGCGACTCTTATCCCTGAGGTCGTAGGTTCGAACCCTGGCTGTGCACCAATGGAGTTTCTTTCTATGTGCGCCTTTAACATTCGCTCGAACGTTGAAGGAAGTCGGTTTCGTTCGTAATGTAACCGACATGTCTAAGACCCAAAGCGTGTGTCAGGCACTGGCGGCTGATCACCTACTTGCCTATTAGATTGAAAAATTTTCATGAAACAGATTTAGAAAAAGCCCAGACCTAAATAGGCTGTAGCGCCACTGATTTATTTATTAATAGATTATTTTAGAACGAAATTAATAACCATAAAAAGGTTATTATGTATTAAAAATATTGATATATATTCTCTCCTTACGAGAAACAATCCCAACATACAAAATTTTAAGTATGTAATTATAAAATAACCCACCCGTTTCTCCATATAACTTTGATATTCAAGTTCGCTGCTTGTGTAGACGTCCTCCAAATCCCTCCCTAGATTTTCAGAACTCTGATCCGTCACTTCCGTTTCCAAATTCAACTCGTTCATTGCCGCCAAATCGACTGTCCAACATGACACTTGCACTGACAACACAAATGTCAAGGCCACGGAAATTTTGACAGATATCATTGCCGCCATTATTGGAGGCTGCGTAGAAGACGTTGCGTGGTACAAACACGCAAAGGTATACTGATGAGAAAACGAAATTAACACACAAACGGATATGTTTTTGTGTAATTAATAATTTCCCGCGCGTTCATTGTTCGAGGTGGTTAGGTGAGGTAAGATATCCGCATCCGTTAGGTTTAAATCTTTTTAGTACAAGGAAACGGAAGACTAAGTCAACTTTCTAATAACTAGGTTACTGTTTTAGTTATATTATTATATTTAGTGAATTTTTATTCGTCAAATACAACCCATAATAATATGGCTTTTTCTAGTTTGGAGGATCGGTGAACAGTTTTTTTAATTTAAAAGGACCTTGACCAGTCGATTGGCCTCTGACCCTGTTAGCCATTTATGAAGTGAAACTTCTTTAGGCGCATGAGGGTAAAATTTTCGGATGAAACGCAATAACAATAAGCGTCACGAAGATGTGCAACGTTTTTGTCGAAGAAAAGGGAGAGAGCGATTGAGAACGTAGCATGAAGCAAATAGCCATGGAGCGAGAGTAGGGAGCAAGCAAGTGGGAAAGATCGATTCGTTTAGTAGTTACATATTAGAACTTTTAATTTTCTTTATTGGTGAACATAGATATACAAATTTGTAGGTACATGGAGTGATCTGGTACATGATCATCTATTGGGGCTTTTACCATAGTAATAATTTACAAAGAAGTTTCACTTCTGATTTTCACGTATTTTGTACGCACGCACTTTTTTATGGTATCTCGCTGAAGAGCCTTGATGGGCTTTTCCCATGATTAGTACAAGGGCGTCTCTTGCGAGTCTCGAGCCGCGGCTTGGGCTGCAGTGGTGATGTCAGTTGGGTGATATACAAGACGGATGCTCTTTGGAGTTAGGGAAGAAACAAGGGACCTCACCATCCCTGGTGAAGGCATTTTTTGTCTTCTGAATACAATATTTATCGATAGCTATTGTGTTGGAATAATCCAGGTCCATTAAAATATGTGGGGGCCCCCTATGGGCCATTGTTGTCGGGAATGGGTCCCGTGGATGTGGAATGGAATTTCCCTTTTAGCCTTAAGAGCCCTCGGGTCCCGCGGGTTGGTTACGCTAAAGCGCACAACGGAACGAAATACGTAAAAGTCCACGCCTTTGGGAGCGTTCAAGTATTACGTTACGGAATTTTTGGAGATTATTGAGTATTGCGCCAACGTTTTTCTGTACCCAAGTATAGTAAGACGTTTCGTGACCACCTAGTGACTCTTTATACCTAAAGGTTACCATTATGTGGTGTAAAGTACTGGAAAGTCGAAAATAATATTAACAATAACGCGTCATTCATTCCCCGCCCCGCATCGTATTGTTTTCAAAGTCAAAATCAAATCTTTTATTTCAATTAGACCACCTAAAATGACACTTTTGAACGTCAAACAAAATACAAAGAAGATTCTACCTAGTTGCCCCTTCCAAAACGTAGTTTCGTGTGGAGAAGAATGGGCAAGAAACTCCACACTTACTCTTTTAAAATAGGTTTACAATATTTTGTTTACGTTTGTTAAATAATTATTTGTGAAGATAATGTACTGTTAGAATAAACTACTATACTAAAAAAGTTTAAAGTTAAAGAATTTACAAATATCGAAACCGTAGAATATTTACATTAAAGAGTAATTAAAATAATTAAACATCACAATAAAACAGTGTAAATTTTATTTAAAAAAAAAAAATAACAAAAATATGTTAAAGCAAAAAATCAGCAACCAATTTGATTTTGTCCAGGCTCTATGATTGTCCTATGGAGCAGGACCAGCATGTATCCAAGCATTCTTATCTTGAATATAATCCCCTAATTTGTAATATGCTTGTTTACAAAGTGTACTTTTAATAAAACAATAAATTTTCGTTCATTTAGTTTTAAAATGTCACAACGTATTTTATTGTAACATTTAACACAGTTTATGGGGTATAAATGAATTTTGAACTTTGGCTAATCTGAAATATGGTTGAGCTATTTTATCTTTATTTCTAGTACTAAAATTATGTCTATCATTTATTTTACTAAAAAGATGTAGAATACTAACATACATAATATTTTCATAAATGAATTGGCAAGGTGCTGTCATAATATAAATCTTTTTAAATAGTTCCCTGAGAGATTCGCAACACCGTAGATTATAAATGGCTCTGACAGCTCTCTTTTGCAAAATAAAAATGGATTCTACGTCAGCAGCCGGCCCCACAGTAAAATGCCGTAAGACATTATGCTATTTTATAAAAGAAAAAAATTCGTTACGTAATACTTGAACGATCTCTTTCCCGGTGAAGTCGGTTTTTTACCCTAAAATGGTTTTGATTTTGGTCAATGGCGCTCCCATGGCAGAAGCTTCATATATCCTTAGTAGTTAGGAATTACTTTGTCAGCGCGTTGCAGTATATGAGGTCATCGTTGTGATTGGAGCCGTAGTTGGAGGTGTAGCTACACTAACAAAACGCTAATTCTCTGTGGAGCTGCTCGTCGACGTATTTGGGAGCCAATGCGACTTAGCAGCGTTAACAAAGGTTTACTAAAAGGTCGGCGACGCATTGGCGGGCCTTCTTAACAATAATCTTAACCTAAACTTATCTCAATAGCTATACTAAGTTAGGAGCGTTAATTATTCCTGAATGTTAAGATTAATTTTTCGTTTATTTAGATTTAATTCGGTAAATTTATTATTTTTAGTGTTTTAATTTTATTTTTGTTAATTTAGTTGTGCACTTCTTGCACTTTAGACTTAGTATTTCTTTTATCCTTACTAGGGTTGCCGCATTGATATACAAAAACCCAAGATGCACAATCAACGTCTAAAAAACGTCCTCAAAAAATGAGCGCAACATTCTAAATTGTGCGCTCATTTCAAATAGTCTCGCGTCTATAAGTGGAGTCGATGTTATTTATTTGTGTTTTTTTTATAAATAAATTTATGTACTCTTGAACTTTTTTGTGTGTAGTTTTTGACAAATATATTTACGCTATATAAAGTGTGGGTCAGGAGGTAGCCAATTTAACATTTTTTTTTAATTTAAGGAAAAAACCTTTTTAACCGGATTAATGTTATGTATTATTATAAATTTACAACTATTTAACATCCAACACCTTTTGTCTTCAGTCACCGTGACCACTCACGCTGTAAAGCACCCGAAAAGTCGGATAAATTTAAAATTATGTTAAATAGTTGTAAATAAAAAAGTCATGTTCGACTCCACTCAATACCTTGTCCTACCGACCACGGTCGGTCGTAAAATTTTATTGCTTTAAGTACGTATACACTGCGTTGTAATAACAACTTTAAGCAATTCGCGTAAGGTTGATTTTGCAATAATATATGCTTGTAACATATACTGTTATGGACAGAAATAGTGTTTCGGGACACTTTCGAGCGTTACTTTTATTCGAGACTGTGCATCTTGGGTTTTTTGTATATCAATGGGTTGCCGGGAAGTGATGGCTTGTTAGCTATTATTAAAAGACTGGCGGAGAGTTTATTGCCAGTTCTTCGCTTCCGTTCTACGCCTTGACTTGAGAACTGGCAGTAGGGATGTGAAAAAATAATCGATTATTAAAAAAAACAATTTTTATATTTAAAATAATCGATTATTTTTATAATTGAAAATCAATCATAGTCGATTTTTTATCTGTCACCTCCCGACATTATGTCTGGTCTTTTATAACCCGGACCTCGAACTATTAGGGATATTCGATATACAACGATGTTTACAATGCGATACATTGAATCCGATTCCTTGAAGATGTATTGATATACTCGATGCATTGATGTTTTTTTGTAAAAAATCGAAAGGATGATAAAACCAGTGAATTTTACAAAAACTCAAAGTTTGAATGGAACACTATAATTTAAAAGTAAAATCAATTTATTCAGTAGCACAAGGTTACATACAATTAAAAAGACAACAAAAATACTGCAATGTGCTACTGAAAAGGCATACACTCAGCATTTATCAAATTTCACCTAAAATCTATCAAAACGAGATTAAGTTAATTTCGATTTTGATTATTCTTAAACGTTAATTTGTGTTTATAATTTCTATTGTTTATTTATAATTAAAAAAAACATGAACAATAAAATATTTAGGGTGATTATTTTGAAATTAATTCAAAAATTTGGAAAAAATCGATTTCTCATGCTAAAAAAATAATCGATAAATAAAAAATCGTTTTTTTTATGCAGAATGTCACATCCCTAACTGGCAGTAAATGTAAAATTGAAAGCATTTAATATATATTTCCTTTTTACGTTCATAAGTGTACATTATGTTACCTTAATGATTTTGATTTTTGACTTACCACATTGCCAGAAGCCTCGCAAGAGCGTTTCCGGTCTTTTTTGAAGGTTAAATAAAAGGAAAGTAGAAATAAAAATACAAATTGTTAATACTTTTATTTTATTACTAAAACTTAATACTAACTTTGTGAAAGCATTACATAAATAATCATTGTTAAAATGACAAACTGTCTAGCGAAAGAAACCTACGGAACATGGAACAATTATACCAGGAATTACATACAAATATAGTTATCCTCATATTATTGCTTCATATCATCTTATATGCCAATAAATGCATATAGTGGAGTAAGGCATTAGTTATTGTTGCCATGACAACCAACCCACGTTACCATGGTAACGAAGTGACGCCATTTTCGAAATGACTACGTTCTTAGCTTATGAAACTTTTTATATATAAAGAAACGTTTCCAGGAATTATATTTAGGACCTTGAACTTGATAAATTCGTTCTAAGGCATTAAGAAAACTTTTAAATTACCTATTCCAAATAGTTTAGAAAGCTCTCTGAGCCGGTGATAAAAAATTGTCAAAAAAAGGTATTTTAAAGTATTTATTTAAATTAAGAATTATAATTTTAATACAATTTTCTAAATCAAAAACATAGACAATGTTTCACATATTCATTATCGGAAAGGTTTTAAGATGTTTAATATTCGTTTATTTAAAGCTTAGTAAACGTTACCATGGCAACGTAAATACGCGCCATCTAGATCAATCCCACAACCATCTAGACTAATAATAACAAAGCGGGTTGTCATAGCAACGTCACCAGAAGATCACCATGGCAACCACCGTTACCATGGCAACGATACATTCTAGCCCATTCGCGGTCTTCCCATGCCCCTAGCACCAGCTGTTGGCATGTCCCCGCTGCTCTTAACGTTCTTGATGGTTTCATCTATAGACAAAATCTGAAAGAAGAAGAAAGGTTTGAGTTTTTTGTCTAAATAAAAACGAACCGTAGCAAAAACGTCTTGTACTTGATAGAAACCAGGCGTAAATTTCTTAAAATCACCTCATGTCTACTATCAAGAACCTCACGGTGTATAGGCATTGACCGTTTTTTATAATCATTGGTGACATTAAGCAAAAAAGAATGCAGTGTAAGAGTGCGGCCACACGATGCGGTAACGGTGCGGTGCGGCACCACACGGCAATTACTTCGAGCTATAGGGTGCCCCACGGGCGTTGCAGTGTGGCAATATATTTTACCCCTCCCCGCCTCGTCTCGCAGGTCACAGATCCGGCGCGCTTGCGGTGCGACGCGTCTTGTAGCATGGTATAGTTATATGTATGCAGGATGACGGTGCGGCACCGTACCGTGAGCGCGCTCTTAGTCTAGTTAAATAGTGTGAGACTCAACCTTAATAGGACGTGCGTTCGAACCTACAAAGTATTTGACCATGCCATGACAAACATCGACTTGTCAGGCTGAAGATAGAAGTAGAATACCCAACAAAGACTGACACAAAAGTTTAAAAAAATAACGCGATTTTCGCGTACCCCATAGAACGCGATTTCAGATGTTATATGAAGTGTTATTTCTCCCCTATAACGCCATTTTCGCCTTCATATAACGTGGTATTTCCGTCCCGCCTATAACCCAATTTCCGACCCCAGATGACGTGCTATTTCCTTTCACTCTATAACGCGATTTCCACCCCGAATATAACGCGGTATTTTCCCGCCCCTATAACGCGATATTTACCCTCTATGACGCAATCTCCATCCCCCATAAAACGTGGAGATTTCTCAAGTTATTAGTTAGTTATTTCTGTAGTGTGAAATTTATAATGATTTACAATAATACTCCTACAACGCGATATCCTATAATGCGGGCCAGGTCTACCGCGTTATAGGGGGGATTACTGTATATATTAGCTTTAGAATGTTTCATTTCCCCTTTTATTATTTAACTAATTTAAATCCCTTTATTGTAAAGTACAGTGTAAACAACTCTTTATAACGAATTTCAAGGGATCGAGCCTTTTTATTCGTTATAGTTAGGTAAGAATTAATGTATGGGTATTGGGTTATACTAAATAAATTTAAATCATTTTTACGTTATAGAGAGGTTTTGGTTATAGCGAATATGCTAGAAAGGGTTTACACTCTAAACACAGTGACATTATAAAGAATTTTCGTTATCACAAATGTTAACTTATATTATAACTTAACGTTATAAAGAATTTATACTATAATCACTATTATACGGTTTTATAGTATAAACTTTTAACCTGTGCTGCTGCCTCAAAAGCGGCGGTGATAGCGTTGATCTTGATGATAGCCGGTTCCCAAACACAACTAAGGAAATTGTCAGCAATATCTTCCTTCTGAATGTCCACGCCGTACCAGACTTCACCTACAAATTAAATAACAACTTACTTTTTGATCACAAAAAAATTAAATATTAAAAAAAAAAGAATATTATGAATAATTATTGTGTCATGATATTTCTTTAATAACGTATGATATGATAGAGTCTGGCTAATTAAAGATAATTGAATCATTTGAAAACTTTCGGATGGCAACACAGAATGCCATTGAATTTCTTAGGTTAGTATGATTTATTGTCTTAATACTTCATTCAAAAACTCATTTTTATTTCTATTGCTATTATATATTTTTTCCGAATAGTTAACAGGTATAATAGCCTAAACTTTGTTTTATTGATTTTTTTGGATTCTGATTTTGATTATTCCGAATAAACTTGTGTTTTATAATGAATATAGTTTTAGTTTTCCATGCAATGCTAATCATTTTAAGTATCAATATTAATTGACTAAATACGTATAGTATTTAATTTCATAGAAATACAGTTACTATCTATATAAAAAATAATAAAATAAAATCAAGTATCAAGTAAGTTTAATCCACAAAATATATCAAACTTTAAGGGATACCAAACTATTTTTTTTTTAATTAGCCGCGCTTTTTCTTAATCTTCTTTCATTAGCCAGACTCTATGATATGAATAAAATAGCAAGATTTAAATGCCACCTCATAAATTGTTTTGTCCTCACTGAAAAATCAGAAATTGGATCCGTGTTTATAATCATCGGTGACAACTATATTTTCATACTTTTATTCGAATGTCAATGTCATATACTATACTGTCAACTGTCAAGTTTGCTGACCCATCAGAGTCAACAATATGAGTAATGACACACTGAATCTTGATATATATATAATGCCTATGGGGGAATATTAAAAAAAAAACAAGAACGTAAGTATATATATTAAATTTGTCAATATATATTTCTTTTATATATATATTGTTAATTATCTGTTATATGTCAAAAGTGCAGTTTAATTTATTGTGAGTTTGTTACTCTGTGGGAAGAGGTGAGCTTTGGCTTGTCTTTCGAGTTTTTGTTACATTCGGATTTTAATTAAATGAATTGTTTTGAAGAACTTTTATGAAATAACAAACTCTTAATATTGTTTCTATAATTAATTCAGATAATTAATAAATAATTTATTACTTAACTTGTCTTCACATATATATGTATTTAGTTTTTGGTTAACTATTAGTTTTAAATGTTTTTTTAAAGGTTATAATAAATCTATAAATTTGGAGTTTCATTCATGATAAGTATATTATTGTAACGTCAAAAATGTATAAATTGACGTTCCACCGTCACATAAATAAGTGTCAACTGTCATCTGTCAACATCCACGTGTCAAATGGGTAAATAAGTAAATGATTTGTTACCTTGGTGATGCTTCTGCCTGAGTTTGTTCAGCAAATTGGTCGCATCAAAGCCTGCGTTGTCGCACAATTGCCTAGGTATAGCTTCGAAGGCTCTCGCTATAGCGCCAATTAAAAGTTGCTCCTTGCCCGCAATGTTCTTGGAATAATCACGCAGATGTTTTGACAGCTCCATGTCAATCGCGCCTCCACCTAGACATTTAAGAAAACACTATAGTCGGAAAGGTGGAATGATTAGTGTTGGCCTAGTGGCTTTAGCATGCGAACCCCAGGTATGCACCATCTATGTGCATTGCGAGGTTACCGATATACCTTAGGCCCAAAAAAAAAGTTGACGGCGTATATCGGACACAGACGGTTAATCACCTACTTGTCTATCAAAAAGAACAAATTAACATGAAACAGATACAGAGGTTTGAGGCCCAGAATTTAGACGTGAGGCGACATCATCCCCAGCGCATCTTCCCAATAGTTAGAGCGTACTATTATATATAAACCAATAAATGTATGTAAATAAAAAAAAATATATATTTCTAATATTATAACAGTATTTGTAACCGAACTCCATCGAAAGGGCTAGACCGATTTTTAATTTAAAAAATGTGTAAATTCTGTAGGATCTAAATATTCTATTAATTTTTATTTTAATGATTTAAGTTTAAAAATACCATAACACTTCATTTCAACTCATCTACCAACCCCCATTTTAATAGCGATATTAGTATTGTAATAATCTATTTATAGGAAAACTATATATCATCATATTTATATATAAATTCCTACATACCAATAATTTTAATTATTTTTCACATATATTTTTTGAAGTTATACCTACTTCTTTTGGCACATTAGGGAAAAATGATGAGTGTAAATTTTTACGATGCGCGCGCACACCGTCACAAAAAACCGACACCTGAAGTTAGGTATAGTCAACATTTTAGTTTTTATTATACATCTATTGATGCTGTATTTGTACGATATTTAGACAATATTTCTACAAGAATATTTGTATCATACTTTTGTAAATCACATGTCTACTGAACTCCAACCAATAGAGTGAATTAAATAGTACATGTATAAGTTGCATGCTAAATTAAAAAATGTATATTTCTTTACTTTGCAGAAATATTTTTTTTAAATTATTAAGTGAGCTACTCTGAACAAAGGTTATATAAATCCTAGCTTAAGTTAAGTTATAGAAATTCCTTACCAGCAACAACAGCATCATTCTTGATGGTCCTTCGAACAATCATGATAGCATCATGAAGAGATCTCTCCGTCTCTTCCAAAAATTGTTCAGCTCCGCCACGGAGGATCAATGTACAGGTCTTAGCTGCCGGACATCCTAAAAAAAACAAATAAATATCTATGGTTACTCAAATACTCTATAAAAAAGTGCGTGCGTACAAAGTACACATGTCAGAAGTGAAACTTCTTTGGCAAACGAATGTTTAAGTCTTGTTCATATTTATACAAATCTAAAACTTTAGATTTTCAAGTCTAGGAAAAAGGAAGATATGTTAGGAATTTAATGAATTTAATTGTCAGTAAAATATAAAAAGTGCCGAAACGCGACCAGTTAATTCAGTTTCGACTGTAATTCCGAGACGAACTTCCAATAGATAACAGTGCGCGTAATTGAAGTAATTAGTGAGTGCTTTGTGTATTTATTAGAGTATTTTCCGCATAATTTGTGTGTTTTAGTGATTTATTTAAAATAAACCCTTAAAGAGATTTACGGGTCCACACAATCCGCTAACCAAAATTAAATAGAGAAATTAATTAATTTGACAAATAAAAGAGTTCTTGTCTATAGCTACAACATACTGCAGTAACTACTGATAGTACATAATCTCTCTAATCAAAGTTCTGACACCATAAAAGCCATTCAATGGTGTAATTTAAATAATACTTAGCTACCTTTTAACCAACAATTTCAAATATATGATTTTTCTAACTATCGAAGCCATAAGGCAGACTTATTTTTTATAGTTTAATCTACTTGACTGAGTCTTACTGTTATTGTTGAGATAAATTAAGACTAATAATTAATGAATGAATATACGATACATATTAGAAAATCTCACCGTCCGGTGCACCATATTCATAACCTAAGAAAGAAATTGTATCACTAAATGAACCTTGGGGTACACCTCTCCTTTATAATTTGTTATCTGAACAAGATATGCCCGTTTCCAAATGATTTTGATAGACATAGTATCGTATGATATATTATGAATAGAGAGCGCTCTATTTATACTTTGTTACCTTATACAAAAACATACATATGAAAAAAATAAAAAAGCAGGTATATTACGAATTTGAAGGGGAGCTTGTGAAACGATGCGTACAGAATTTCTACGCTCTTTTCTTGAAGGACGACAGGCTAATATAACAATATTTAATGGCCGGCAACGTACTAGCGAGCCCTCTGGCATAGAGTGTCCATGGGCGGCGACATCACTTAAGGGAGCGTTCAAGTATTACGTAACGAATTTTTGGGGGGGTCGTTTTGTAAAACGTTACGAAGACTTTCCAATACTTTACACCACATAATGGTAACTTTTAGGTATAAAGAGTCACTGGGTGGTCAAGAAACGTTTTACTATTGGTTCCAGAAAAACGTTACGGCGCGTTACATGCCCCCCCCCCCCAAATTGCGTGACGTAATACTTAAACGCTCCCTAACATCAGTTGGTTCTATAAAAAGGCCGCCATTGCCTCCTTGTATGTTATCTGTATATGCAATTTAGTGTCAATAAACATACCAGTGAATAAGTTGTAGCGCTCCCCACCAATCTGTTTCTCGGTGAAGTGAGCGCAATGGCCCAAGGCATCAGGCTTCAAATCCCTGGTGGAGGAGAGCACAGCACCGCCGCACGCGCGTTGCGTGCGTTTAATGTCTTCATCGGGGACGCGGCCAGCGCAAAACATATCACTAAAACAAATATATTTGCTAATATTATAAAGCAGCCTTGCGATTCTGTAACTCACTTTTCGAACTCTCACAGCGGCGGTCGCGCTCAAATCAGTCGTGAAGCAGTCATTTTACGATTTGGCATTCTGATAAACAATAAACTACAAGCTCCCTCCATATCTGGAGAGGGGGCGCATTAGCGTCACGAAGATGTACAGCGTTTTTGTCGAAGAAACGAGAGAGAGCGACTGAGACCGATTGAGAGAGAGTGAGAAATGGCGAACGTAGCATCAAGGGCGAATTACCTTATATACATTCTATTTATAACATTAAATTTATAATTTGTATTAATTTTTGACACTATTAATATTTTAATGACAATGAAATTCATTAAATTCCTAACATATCTTCCTTTTTTCCTCCCTCTAACGCCTTTAGTACACCTACGCGTTCGTATGCGGCTGCGAGTCTTTGCGAAATAATTGCGGTAGCGAAATATCTGCGGAACGTTAGTACACTGCAGGTTTTTCGCAAGGAAATGTCATTGTAGCTTTATTTCTTACCATCTATCCCCGTCTTTTCTTGAATTTTCCTCCATGCCACCTCTTTTTTGTATGCATTTTTGTAATTAACATGCCCAACTAAATATAATTCGGGATAATTTCGAATCAAATTTAATAATAATTCAATATTTTCGGCTTCCATTGTGCGAAATTCTGTCCTCACTGACAGAACGCGTGGTGACGCATTGCGATGCGAAACTCCGCTAGCGAAACGGCTGCGTCTGTGTAACAGCCATTTCGCAGTTACTAGCGAAACAATACCGACAAGGACGCAACTATTTCATCTAGCTATATAATAGAGCGAGACAAAACACATGCGAAACTTTGCCATACAACTTACAGTTTTTTCGTCGTTTCGCTGCCGCATGCGATTGCGTAGGTGTACTAAAGGCGTAAGTCTCGGAAATCTAGTTTTGGATTCGTATAAATATGAACAAGAGTTAAAAAATAGTTTGCCAAAAAAGTTTCACTTTTGACATGGGTACTTTGTACGCACGCACTTGTTTTTACCAGTGCCGCTACAACCTTTTAAGGTCTGGGCCTCAGATTTCTGTATCTGTTTCATGATCATTTGTCATCTAATAGGCAAGTAGGTGATTAGCATCACAATTACGTATTAATAAAAAATACTAACCGGTCAGCGAAGTACTGTGTGGCGACATCTCCAATAGGCAACTTGCTCAATACTACATTAGCTCCACTGGCGTGCAAAGCCGCGAGCTTTTCATATAGGATCTGCCACTCTGCGTCAACCACTTTCTGGTATTCCTTCACATTGTTTACGCGAACCTAAAAATTTTATTCAAACTTAATGTCAAAATCTATTATAACGACGTTGTTATTTTATTTTTTTTAAAGACAATTCACACCAATTGACCTAGTCCCATGCTAAGCTTGTGAAGCTTGTGTTATGGGTACTAGGCAACGGATATACATACATATTATAGATAGATAGATATATAAATACATATTTAAACACCCAAGACCTAAGCACAACACCAAATGCTCATCACATCGATGTTCGTCTCAGCCGGGGATCGAACCCGGGACCCATGGTTTCGCAGTCAGGGGTACTAACCACTAGACCAATGAGTCGTCAATGTTATTAAGTTCCAAATACAGATAAATGGACGAAGAAAGTGACGGAATGGCTTCCTTACACAAAAGAAAGGAAAGACAAATAAAAAGATGGGAAGATGATGTGCGAAGAGTAGCTGGCCCTATGTGGCTACGTAAAGCTAGAATCAAAGAGTGGAAGCCCTTAGAGGAGGCCTATGTCCAAGGACAAGCTGTAGAACAGAAACCAACCAACCGATTAATTATTAGTATTTATATTTTTATTTTTAGTGTTAATTTTTTGTATTTCACATTTGTATGTACTCGTATAAGTAAATACAGCAATAAAGGCTTTTATTATTTTTATTATTATTATAATACATATAATTCAGCCAGGACCTTTGATTTTGACCAAAATCAAAGACATGTCAATAGCAAAAATGTTAATGACATATATTTCACAAAGTTTTAATTTTTTTAAATGCATTATTGATTTAGGGAGAGTTCAAGTATTACGTAACGAATTTAACTTGGGGGCTTTTGTAAAACGTTAAGCTCAGGTTTCCTAGAAAAGCGGTGCCGTTAACTAACGGCCGTCATTTTACGGTTGTTAATAACGGCCATCTTTACTTTTTAACGTAATGCAAAAAACATAATTTTCGCTCGTCCAAGTCAGGTTTCCACTCATTATATTAATTAAATATGCGCACCGCCACACGCGAAAAACGTTGAACTCATGTTTATCACCGCTATGACGGCCGTCATGCCAATGACAACACCGCTATTTGACGTTACGGTGACACTCAACGCTCTCTAAGAAATCTACTCCGATGTTATTTATAGACAACGTATGGGTGACGTCACCCAACGCTACATTACGGCCGTTAGATAACGGCACCGCTTTTCTAGGAAACCTAAGCTTTACGATGCGGGGCGGCGATTGAGTTACGCGTTATTGATAATATTATTTTCGACTTTCCACTACTTTACACCACATAATGGTAACTTTTAGGTATAAAGAGTCACTAGGTGGTCACGAAACGTTTTACTATACTTGGGTAAGGAAAAACGTTACGGCGCGTTACATGGGGGGGCAATAATCTCCAAAAAATGCGTGACGTAATACTTGAACGCTCCCTTAGTATCAGGTTCAGGTCCCGGTTGCAAAAACCGGCACGCATTTAAATCATAAGTCGATAATATGTCATAGGCTAACCACCTAGCCTGGACCTACCCAGGCCTCTGCCCCAATGACTTAGTAATTCTTGTCCCCTCATACAACATCAAATTCCTCACTGATAAATCAGAAATTGGATCCGTGTATTTATAATCATAGGGGACAAAAAAAACACAAATTTCTCAAAGCGTGACAACATATCACCGCCTCGATGTGTTGTGTTTTAACGTTTACGTCGCCTAATAATTAGTTTTAATTAAAATTAATGTAAACAAAAGTCTAATACATTTAGATAGCGAAAATCGATTTTACATATTATTGATTATAAAACTTTTTTAATTATTGTAGTTATTGTAGTTAAACCAAAATTTTAGGTTTCACTTCTAAGATTAAGAACTGCAGACATTGACAACGCTAAGATAAAGAGATATTAGTACTTTAGTTAACTGTTCATTCAGAGAAATTTTTCTATAACCATTTCTATCTACAAATTTTTATTACTTTTCAAAAACGATTTCTATATAATTTAAAAAAAAAGGGTGCGTGTACTTATGTGCGCGCGTAAGAAGTTATACTTCTTTGGCATTATTAAAAATAGTTTATGATTGCATGCAAATAATTAATTACAATTAAATAATCAAAGACTGGAAACGGAGTCATTATAGTCAATAAAGTTCAGTTTACATTTGAAAAATTAAATAAATAAATATTTATTATTATTCTCCTACATTGAGTGTAACATAAATTCTATTATTATTTGAATGTTGTTTTTAAATTATGTCCAATGCCGTAGCATCTTCCGTGGGCAACTTCATTCTGTTAATTTTGTGTCACGGCGCGCGCGCATCGTAAAATTTCACTCTCATAAATTTTTCATAACGCGCCTAAAGAAGTATAACTTAAAAAAAAAATATAAAACACCGAAATACCTCAGCATTATCCCTCTCAGCCTTCAGCTCCAGCTCGATGTTGAGAAGGGCAATCTTGCAGCTCTCATAGCTCTTCGGCTGCATCTCGAAGCCAGCGTAGGAGAACGCCTTTTTGAAAGCGACTCCAGCGACTAGGAACGAATCCTCAAGCGCTCCACCAGCTATTTTCTTGATACCTTAAAAGTAATATAGGAATCGTTCAAGTATTACGTAACGAATTTTGGGAGGAGGGGTCCTTTTGTAAAACGTTACGATGCAGGGCGGGGATTAAATTACGCGTTATTGTTAATATTAGTTTCGACTTTCCAGTACTTTACACTACATAATGGTTACTTTAGGTACACATAGTCACTAGGTGGTCACAAAACTTTTACTACACTTGGGTACAGAAAAACGTTACGGCGCGTTACATGGGGGGTGGGGGGTCCAAGATTTATGAGAAACTTTCATTGCCCTTTGATTTTTTTTGTCAAACCAAATGTGTTGAGTGTTGTTGCTGTGGCGTGAGTTGTCGTTATTTAAAATAAAGTTTTATATTTAATGAAAGGTTTTTAAATAAAAAGTAAATCTTTTTTTAGGAAACATTTGAAATATAAAATACACTAAAATAATAGAGGTAAAGTTTGTGAGGTTGTAGGATGTAATATCTGGATCTACTGAACTGATTTTGAAAATTCCTTCACCAATAACAACCCAATTTATTAGCCCGACTATTTCGTGGAAGTTGGATTTGCCAAGTAAGTCGGAGAAAAAACGGTTGAAACGGTAGGGGGACGGCTAAATCAAAGACCACCCGTCTTTGATTTTCTTATTGGGTGATAACGTCAACAGTAATTGTTTACTTTTTTCTATGCTTGAAAACGAAATGCATTTTCAAAGATTCCTACAAAAATTTAATACGTTTATGTACTATTATTTTCGAGATCTTTCCTTGCTTTTGCTGACAAGAGGAAGAAGGGGGGGATAAATTGCAGTAAACCGGCTTACGTAATACATGAACGGCCCCACGATCTAACGAAAACGTTTCTTACGAACTCTGCCATGACTATAAGAATATCTCTTATAGTCACGAATACGTTCTAAAGAAAAGTTGTAGACTTTAATACAAAAGTGACAGCATATTACTAATTTTTATATCATATGGCAATAGCAAGTCAATAACGGTTATCTAATATATAAAATCCTCGTGTCGCGGTGTTTGTGGTTAAACTCCTCCGAAACAGCTCGACCGACTCTCATGAAATTTTGTGTGCATATTGGGTATGTCTGAGAATAGGACAACATCTATTTTTCATCCCCCTAAATGTTAAGGGTCCACCCCTAAATATTTTTTTTTATTTTCAGATATTTTTTTATTTTTTTATTTTTTATGATAAAGCATTAAAAAATACATACAACCCCTAATTTTCACCCCTCTACGATCAACCCCAATTTTTTTTATTATAAACGATATACATGGCAAAACGACGTTTGCCCGGTCAGCTAGTTAGGTATATAATTTTTCAATGTTCTAATTATATACAATAATTGTGCATTTATAAAATTTTGTCACCTCATACAACATAAAATCCTCACTGATAATTCAGAAATTGGATCCGTGTTTATAATCATCGGTGATAAAATTGCAAAGAAATGTTTCCCTTAACTAAATTTATCATGTACCTTATGCTGAGATTAAATAATCAAATTTCAGTGATAATATAGTTCTTGCCACTCCGGCACTACATAAAAATATTTTGAAATTATTATAGAGTTTGTGCGACAACCGTAAGGCATACATGGCATGTAAGGTCGCTGCAGTGCTAACCTTTTGCGTTAGGGAGCCTTCAAGTAATACGTAACAAATTTTGTGGGGAGGGTTTTGTAAAACGTTACGTTACGGGGCGGGGATTGAATTACGCGTTATCGTTAATATTATTTTCGACTTCCCAGTACTTTACACCACATAATGGTAACTTTTAGGTATAAAGAGTCACTGGGTGGTCACGAAACGTTTTACAATTGGGTACAGAAAAACGTAACGGCGCGTTACATGGGTGGGGGAATGAATCTCCAAAAATTGGGTGACGTAATACTTGAACGCTCCCTTATGACGACACTGTTACATCATAGTTCGTGAATAATCTTGATATGTACGAAATAAGACATAATTGAAAAAAAAATGGATTTACATTGCAAATGAGAATTAAATTAGTTCCCATGTCAGTGTGTGTGTGTCCTCCGCACAGACTAACAAGGATTGATGAATAATGACAATTGTCATCAGCCAAAACATTTTCGGATGATATTTTATAAAAGAACCAGTATGTGCATGGTACATACATAATGCTTTATTAATATTTATACAAGTTTTTTACTCATTAACCTACATCCATTTTTAAACACTCAATATACATCTTGAAATGACAGTTGTAGAAGAAATATCTGTCAATAACGTGACATCTGTCAGATATTTCTTCTGACAACTGTCAACGAGATATTAAGTGTTAATGACTATTGAACGTTGTTCTGTACCAAAAGATAGATTGTAAATTGTCATAAATACACAACTTGACTTTTTTACTTCATAACTTTGACTACGTAATAAATACCAAATTGTATGGGACCATGCACCGTTGGGGGGTGGTTACTTATAAACTTGACTTAAATGTACCTTGAAAATTTGTGTTTTTTTATATAAAAAATCTAAAATAATTACCAATCATATCCAAGGGAAGCAACGGCGCATCCAACGACAGTACAGCATCAACAACCATCTTGGAGAAGTGGTCCTTTTGTTGGTTGATCAGTTTTGATGACATGGCTGTCACTGCACACTTTTGTAGTAAGTCACTGTAATATATCAAAATTTTTATTGAGATTACGCTATTTAAAAAAATCATTTTATGTAAGACCCCGACGAAGTAGAGTTACTTCAATAAAACCAAATTATCGTTTGACTTGTATGTATTCACAAATTTCTCAATAATCTTGTTTTCATCAAAACTGTTAATTGTTTATGAAATATCCATGCATTTCTAGACGGGTAACGTTCTCTAGGAAACCTACTCCGATGTTATTTATAGACAGCGTATGGGTGACGTCACCCAACGCTACGTTACGGCCGTTAGATAACGGCACGGCTTTTCTAGGAAACCTAAGCTTTAATTATGTGATCAAGTTTACAATTAATAATAAAATATTGTCACCTCATAAACCTTATTGTCCTCACTGATAAATCAGAAATTGGATCCGTGTTTTTAATCATTGGTGACAAAGTGTAAATTAAAACTTATGAAAAAGTTTTCTCATACTAAGAAATAAAAAATAACAATAAATTTTAGCACTAAATACCACTTCCATTTGTCAAAAACGTATGGAATTTTGACATACCGTTCTGAAACTTCCCCTAGTTCTCACTTCTCACGTTTTTTGTTTAGTGTAACAGGAGACAAACGGGTAGGAGGCTCATCTGATGTTAAGCCACCCATGGCTTTCGCATAGCCCGCAAGTGTGTTGCCGGCCAATTCAAGAATTGGCTCTTTTCATCAAGGACCCTTATTAATGGTGACTTTATTCTAGGTTCATAAATATAGGCACTTCACTCACCGTTGTTCCTCAGCTGATTTGCTTTCAACTCGCACTGCTAATTCCTTAACTTTGTCCACAGCAAGCTTCGAAGCGGTGCGCACAGCTCGCACAATTATTCGCGGGTGAACGCCTATTAAAAAATGGTTTTATTCATGTATTAAGAAAATATAAATAAAAATGAATCGAAAGTATATTGCTAAGCTCAAAGGGAGCGTTCAAGTATTACGTAACGTATTTTGGGAGGGGGATCCTTTTGTAAAAAGTTACGATGCGGGGCGGGGATTACATTACACGTTATTGTTAATATTATTGACTTTCCAGTACTTGACACCACATAATTGTAACTTTAAGGTATAAAGAGTCACTGGGTGGTCACGAAACGTTTTACTATTGGGTAAAGAAAAAGGTTACGGCGCGTTACACGGGGGGGTCAATAATCTCCAAAAATTGACGTAATACTTGAACACTCCCAAAACTCGAAGACGGATAGACTAATTCGAGTAGTTTTTATTTATTCCTTGAACTCTGAGAAAGATTTTAGTAGAGAAAATTATTCCATATGTTGGTATGTAGCTAAATAGGTGGGGGCTAAGTAAAATCATATCTAGGCAAAACGATGTTCGCGGGGGCAGCTTATAAAATAAAAAAATAAAATATGTTTATTATGGAACATAAGATACATGTATCACTTATTCCACGTCATTAAATTTGAATTTGGCATCCCTACTCATCGACAAAGACAGAGGGTGTAGGCCGAGAGAAAAAGCCGGCGTAAAAAACTATCGGTACTCTTTTAAAATAGTAAATCATCAAACAACACTTATTTTAAAACAAATATAAATAATCCTGTGTCGCTACAACCCTAAATGGGTCTTCTTGGATTCCATCTGTTTCTTTGAAATCATCTGACACATATATTTTTGATTTGAGACTATCTCTAACTTCACCTTAGAATTGAGTGTTAAGACATATAGACAGAAATTTGTGCACAGTCGGGGAAAGAACTAGGCCAACACTGCTTATAGATCATTTTTAAAAAATCCTGAAAAGTCCTAAATACCATAATAACACTTAGTTTACTAATTCCATTACTAGGAAGTTAATTAACATTTAATTAAATTGCATATACAGGCATGAGACTTCTTGTGCCGGTAAAATTTCAATACTTTTTGGTACCAGTGAATTAATTGTGTAAATTAAAAACAACAAATTTAACTGATGTTAACGAGTTAAAATTAACGAATGAGTTTACACTGTATATCTCAAAATAAAAAAGGTCAATATTTACTAACCTTCCTCCACAAATGGCTTCAGCCTTTTGAGCAGCTCTCCAGCTAAGATCACAACTGATGTTGTACCATCTCCAACCTGATGAAACACACTCATTTCCCTTAATTAATACAATCGCATATCATAAGATGAACATTGGACACAACATTCTTTAGTTAGCATATTTTTACTTTTTTTTAGTGTAAAACACTACCTAGTACTGATAAATATTAACCATATGGCTATCAATATATACATCTATAATATCAAATGAGTTTGTATGAGTAATACAAAAAAGATTTTCAAAATTCGTTTACCAATAGAAAATTGTTATTTTTCAGTGTCTGTATGTGGCTATATATTACCCTGAAAAATTTAAGTTCTGTTTGGGATAACTAAGATATAGCTCCACCAACTTATCTGTGAAATGGAGAAAATGGGAACTACGGCCGCCATGTTGAAATGTCATTCGATTGTCAGTATCTACTACATTCGGGTGTTCTGTGTTGTGTGTGTACATATGCAAAATTCAGAATTACTTTTTGAAGTTATACTTTTTTAGGCGCGTTATGAAAAATTTATGAGAGTGAAATTTTACAATGCGCGCGCACCCGTGACACAAAATTAGGAGTGTGATTATAGCGTGCGCGAGCGAGATAGGAATAAGACAATCTACAAGTAAAAAGAAATAGAATATGCGTGAAGTTCGTATGCCAACAATTTTGAATGACCATAATGACATTTGTCATTTACCTTTTAAACAAAAAAGGAGTTTTAATTATTTTTTCAAAGAAATTTAGCGATGCTTTTTGAATTATAATCAGAAGTGATTTAAATTGAATATTTAAACCAATACTAATTAATATTTGTGAAAAAACTGAACTCATCAACCTTCCTAAGTGCTTCAATACAATTGAGGTTAACTATCCGTATGTATTATTATTATTATCGAGTAATGTTTTGATTAAAAAATTAACCACATTGTTTAATCAAAACATGTAATTTTTCTGATTTTATCTAGCAAATATAAGGAAAAGAGACAAAAAACAATTGATGAATCAGTGTAACTGCACTAAATTGAATACATAAAAAGAGTTGTCATCTTATCGCTGTGAAACATCAAAAACTGGAGGTGGAACAAAGCCAAACTATTTTTAATAATGCCAAAGAAGTATAACTTCTTACGCGCCTACATAAGTACACGGACCCTTTTTTTTTAATATAACGTCCTAGAGTGGGACAAGGGCAAGAAGAAGTTTATTTGCAAGTTATTAAATTTCATTTGCCTACTTTGCTAAACATTTAGTTTGTAAGTGGGGTACCCACATTATATCGATTGAATGCCAGAGAAAAAGCTAATGTATGTATCTACCTACATTAATTTTCTTATTTTTGAAGACTATTTAGTACTTATATTACCATTTTATTATTATAAAACAATGTTAGGTATTGTTTCAAATAATAAAATTATGTTTATATGTTTACCTAGTTTCTTATCTGACATACCCAATCATGTGTAACTTTTTTTAATTTGCAACACTAAAGCGACGTTGGCACTACCACTCAGTTCACAGATAAGTTGGTGGGTCTGTACTACTGCACTATCGCAATCCCCATTATCTAGAATTATTTATGAATATAATTCTTCAACGTTTACGAGTCTCAGTTGCCCATGCAAAGCTATTTAAAGTTCAATTAACAATGCTACTTATAAGCTTATGTGCATTACAATAATTTATAATACAAATATGTACCTCAGCATCCTGTGACTTGGCAATATCCACCAACGTTTTTGCAGCTGGATGGATGATGTCCAAAAGCTGTAAAATAAAAGCAGATTTAGGCCCGGCATGTCATTACACTTATTCCCAGAGCTGTCAAACCATTTTGACTGTATGACGGTGGTAAAGACCATGGTGACTTGAGATAGCAATTAGAATATGGGTCTTATGCATTAACGATGACACTCAATTCTCAAGTAATATGTCCAAATATTTTAAATTATTTTAACTTAAGACTTTATAAATGATACCCAAGTAACACTACCATAGGTAAATCTAAAAAAAAATATTATACAGGTGGAAAAATATATAAAAAATTAATATCCATCCCTGCAAAGCTGGGGTGTATATTAATTATATCACTTAGTGATAGATATATATTACCAGTTGGGCCATGAAAGGGTAAAGGGTTCGACACTAGGGTATAGGCCAGACTTTTGGTATCTTCCCCACATGTCATTCTTTTTGCAAATGGGTGTCCCGCAATTGTATATTATTATTACCTTCATGATAGTGGCTCCATCATTGGATATGACAGCTTTTCCACCATGATCAACAATCAACTTGTCCATCCCACGAGGTCCCAAGGTAGTGCGCACCTGATGATCGTAAATACAAACTTATTAGTTACTATTGCCTGTACCAGACAGTCCATTTTGTTTCAGGTTTTTTATACCCAAAAAATACCAATGAACCAGGCCCACTCTAAAGGGGGTATGTTAGTATTAGTCTAGTGTAAGTGTAACAGTCCATATCAAGTCTATATACCGAGAAAAATCTATAATTTTAAGCTTTACCTAACATGTCTTAAAAGTAAAGTATTTTAAACTCATTCTATAGTTACAGCATATAAATACAAGTTTTAAGACACAACTAGTTTTTAACATCTTGTGATATGCCAGAATATTTAAATATATATATACTAGCAGACCAGCCAAGCATTGTTGTGACTAAGGTTTTTCTTAAATTACATAGTAGTAAACTTAAAACTATACAAGGGAAACGACAGGAGAACACGTCATGGAGACCGTTATGCCATTAAATTGGAGCTTATGTGAAACTTTCAACACAGCGTCATCTGTTAGAATTGTGACTATCAAATAATAAACAAATATTTTGCTATAAAATAATATTGCGGGTATAAATTGAGATGAAAGATATCCTATCTTTTAAGTTAGGTCAAACCGCACACGAAAACAACGAAATCGGTTCTGTAGTTTAGGAGTCCATAGCAGACAAACAATGTTACGTATAATTTATATATTAAGATATCAGTAATTTACTTACAGCATCCACAACTAGTTGACAAGCATTGATATTGGACACAAGTTGAGGTTTCCCTTGACTTTGGTCTGTCCCCTCTTTCAGTACTAATATTTGAGGTTGCTGAAATTATATAGTTCTTATTAATATTTAAAGATATATGTTCCAGTGTTATAAGGATACAAAAGCCAGGAACGCCTACAGCGCCTAATGAATAAAAATAATAAAGGGAGCGCTTAAACCCTAGAATGGATAAAAAATTAAAGTATTTGACCAAACCTGGTGACAAAAGTTTAAAATACATAATTAATTCCATAGCACCATCAAAAACGTCCTAACACAGACTTTACTCAAGGATGCAAATAACAAGTATTTAGTATTATTAAGACATTATCTATCTGAAATAATAAAATTTATTATATCGCCCAATAGCCTTCAAATAAATAAAAATATTTTTAATATGATAGTACGCTATTCCATTAATAAATATATGAACTATAACAAAATTTATCACATTTGCAATAATTTTTAATAGAATTCACTGGCTTTGCGTTTCGGATTTCAACGAAATTTTCAAATTTATTTACCATCTTGATAGAAATTCAAAAGCCTTTTAGCAATTCAAAACAATAGTCAATACTCTATTTGACATAAGACGAATTACGAATGGCAATTAACATGTGTATTTTAAGTTGCCAGGTTTATTTAAAAATATGATATAATATGACAGTGGATTTTTTTTTGTCCTTTATTTTCTGGAAATATTATTCTAGATAGTAGTTATTATTTAAACACTTCTCTCGTAAACATCTTGGTATGCACTATGCGATAACCGAAAAAACTATTACAAGCACACTACGTGCTCGTCGATTTGACTGTAAAAAAAAGATATAATCCTGACAGTTTTGTGTCACGTGACTGATGTATAATAATCAATATATAAATAAATTATTATTATATACAAGTCATATTACTTCATATTACGCTTTTTGAAGTCATGTTATATAAAGATTGCTTTCAATACTACTTTATTTCGTCATAGTGGCAAAAAACCTTTTCGTCAAATACATATTAATTAAAAAACTATCGCCGTATTGATTTGAACGCAACATGTTTTGCATTCCGTCATGCGTGCAGAAAGTGAAGCACAAGCGGCGGTGACCGGTGTGCACTTGTTGCTATTTAATAGTACGCATGGTTACTAATCTCGATCGTGGGTATACTGTACACATATAAGAAATCAATTATTATTTATTTCACCACAAAGCTAAGTTCCTCGAAATCTAGAGAATCACATCCAAAGTTATTAATATAATTGTATGTGATATACACACAATTATATGTTGAATTTTCTATTGTATTTATTCATTTTATCCTGTTATACTTTAATTTTTTTCTTTTTAATTTTATATTAATTAAATATTATTTAATGGATAACATCTACTTATCTAAGGCTTTCATCTATGGTAACCCGTAGCGGATAACGATCCCCGCCATCTGTCAAATGTCAGCAATTGGTCAACAGATAACACCCAGATTAATAATAAAATACGAATAAAAAAAAAACGTATACAAAATCGGAATTACATTATTTACGTGATTATTATTTTATTGGTATTAAGTAGTTTGTGTTTATATATTAAGTTGAAAGATGACTAGACAAATTGATATTAAAGCAATAATATCACATATCTTGTGCGGTGATGGATTAGATAAATGCCGTATTTGCATGGGTAGTACTCAAGAAGGTCAAGTTTTCTTGGGAGACACGGTCATGAAAGATGGAGGAAAATCAGTCACATTAGGAGAGATCCTTCTAAGCATAACGGGATTACAGGTATGTTCATAGTCTCTAGTCTTCGATTTTGTGATAAACGAAACGTTCCGTTTTTGACGCCTCAGATCAAAATGGCGGCAAATAACTAAAATAACATTATTATAATATAACAATTGTTAAATGTTACCGTTTAATGTATTAACATTTTCACGCGACTTCCATCCAAAATACTTGTATGATGAACACAATTAAATTTTAATTTCATTTGCACCTGGTCAAAGTAAATCTATTAGGTTTATGGATGTTATAAATGTTTTAAACAAATATGAGTTCCTTAGTAATTTTACTAAGGGACTAAGTAGTATACACATTTAATACTAAATAATGTAAGAGGCCTTGTGACTTAAAAAAGAACCTGACTTGTGTATGATAAAAAACACAAATTTCTTGATTGAAAATGAATGCCTGACTAGTATGTTAATACCAGATGTAGTTAGAGAAGGTTTTATCTACTGGAATATGCTCTACATATCTCCAAGCTGCTCTGAATGCTGTAGCCTTTCACATTGAATGCCTATAAGCTCAAAAAACATGAAGCATGCTTATAGAAGTCCTGAGTAGAAAAAAAAACTAAATCTCAACAATGCACTATTATAGATGATGATAAAATTTAAAACTTGATTTATAAAAAGCAACAATAAGGATGTATATTCTATATGTTGGAAATCAACATATACATGTCCAGATGGTGACAAAAATATTAAATTTTTTCAGTATTTATTTAATCCTCTGAAAAATTCAATAGCGGTCACCTGTGTGACCATCACACAATCATTTAAAGAGGATTAGGCCAGTTGTGTAACTATACCATCTGGGGCCCATGGAAATTGTTTTGATGGGGCCCTATAGTAAAAATCTTCACGTTGTACTCAGTTTAATTTTAGAGATTTTTAGAGAACTCAATTACACATTGTATATGTCCCACTAATGGCCATAGGCCTCCTCTGTTAAGTGAGAGGGAATGGTCTGTAGTCCCCACGCTAGCCCAATGCTATTGGAGACTTCTCATTCATCCATAGAACATAATATCTCTTGGGCAGGGCCCTCAAGGGTTGGGGGCCTGTGGCATTTTGTCAGCCCTGCCACCCTATTGTTACGCCACTGGATTAGGCAGTTTTTTGTTCAAAAAGGCAATGTTTTCTCGTCATATAATGAATTTTATAGCCATATTGCTAACTTAATGTCAGATAAAAGGGTTTGGTGAATTAATTGTGGTCAAACAAATTTAATGACATGGAATAAGTGATATAATCTTCCATTCAAATTCAAAAGCCTTTTATTGCCAACCTTAAATAACATTACTTTAGCTGTGTTAGTATTTAGTTTTCTTAATTTATTGTTAGTATTATATTTAATAGTATATTAAATAACTAATTGTTTATTTAGTTGGGTACCCGGTTATGGGTAAAGGCCTCCTCCATATTTTGCCATCTGTGTTGGTTCTGAGCGTCCCTTAAACATATTTTATTTTTAACTTTTTCTTATAAAGCGCTTTATACCTACATGTCCCTACATACAAACTGCGGTAAACAATTTCACAATGAAAAGTTTATTTATTATTATTACTATGTAGGTTAAGAATATTGTAAATACTGTATATTTGTATGTTTGAATTCTATAATTAAATAAAAATATAGTCTATGACTAGGACCTATCTATCTATCGATCTAGGACCAAATGGGCGTTTAAGTGCGAAAACTGATTCCACACTACATTTTAGTACTGACTTAGGTGCAAATAATGTTATAAATACTAGAAATAATATTTTAAATAAATTGTAAATGATTAAAGTATAATCTATACTTTTCTTAAATACTTAATTCATAATAGTCTGTAAATGTTTCAGATGCATTTCAACGAAGATGTATGCCCAAATGGTGTCTGCGCAGCCTGCACCAATCTAGCAATATCTGCTTTCCAATTTCGAATATTGGTGAGACACTCCCAAAATGCATGGAGCAATTGCTTCAATTCTATCAACTTTATTGACGGAGAACACTGCCCGCAGTCCACATATCTCATATTTAACGACAACCTTACATTGCAAAGCATAAAACACTTCAATGGTGACATGAAGAGTTACGTCAAACATTTCATAAATAAACCAAAGATATACCACGAGAAACCAGAGAAAAAAGAGAGGATATCCAGGAACGGCCCGAATTGCGTATGCAGCGATTGTGGGAAAGAGTTTCACAGTCCGTATTATTTAAATTTACATTTGAAAAACAGCAGTCTCAAGGAAGCGTGTTGGCTCTGTGCGAGGATGTTTGCGAGGGGCGGAGAGATGAAGTCACATTTGCTGCACGTACATAAGATCGAAATGATTGTGTGTAATGATTGCCCGTTGCTTTTCAAAAATGAGGCCGACGCAAAGGCTCACATTAGGAAATGCCACTCCGGGAATGCGTATACCTGTATTGACTGTGGGAGTACGTTCAGCAAACGCGCCTCCCTGGGCTATCATAGCCAGATGCACGCTGTACGGACATGCAGATTATGCGACGCACAGTTCGCCAATAGAGGCTGCTATAGATACCACAGATCCAAATGCGAACCGAACGCGAAACCTAACCTTAAAACCCTACCACGGAACAAACGCTCCAATGTTCGCGATCCAGCGAGGTTTATTTGCGATTACTGTAAGAAAGTCTACCCAACACGGCCTCAGCTACAGAATCACATAATTTGGATTCATATGGACAAAAGGCCGCATCAGTGCCAGTGGTGTGGTAAAAGGTTTTACACCTCCGCTCGTCTTTCGGAACACAGCGTCGTTCACACGCGGGAGAGGAAGTTCGCCTGTGACATTTGCGGCATGAAACTTGTGTCCAAGATGGCTGTGGTGTACCATAGACGACGGCATACGGGTGAGAAGCCGTACGAGTGCGAGGATTGTGGGGAGCGTTTTTTATCTTCGTCGAGAAGATCAGATCACGTTAAACGGAAGCATGGGAAGGGGTTGAAGCTGGAGTGTAGCTTTTGCAAGACTGCGTTCGTAAGGAATCATGACCTACAGAAGCATATTAAGAAAATGCACTGGTTGGATGAAAGTGATATGAAAAGTGATGCGAAAATACAGTCTTAGATATACAATTAAAAATTATTGATGTTTTTACCGACTTTAAAAACGAGAATTATTATTGGAAGTCCCCCGTAATAGCCCAGAGCCGTAAATTCACGATCCACCCATGAGTAAAATTTACGTGGCTCGTACATTTATCAAGGTTTTAAATAATACGCAAAATATAAATCACATTTTATTCTTAAAACTACGATCACAACATAATACCCAAACTATGAACTCACCCATCAACAGTGAAATAATAAAAAATTCGACTAGCAATACTTACATTGTGCGTGTAAAGGCAAAATTATATTTATTACATAGACTTATGTTTGGGGAGATTTAAGTCGTCAAATGTAAAAATTTACCACGCGTGTTTTGTCTCGTTCGTATAACATCAATGTGATAGAGACAAAGCGGTGTGTTTATTTTGGTAGAAATTCTTTGAATCGTGACGAACATTTGTTTATAAGAAATACTATAATAGAAATGTCATCCGAGTTCAATGTGATAAATAATACTTAGAATTCCAGTCTTATTTATAAAAAAATGTTAGTACTGCTAGCTGCATTGCAAACAATTCAATACTTTGTTGAACTCATGGCAGAAGTTGACTAAACATAAAGATGGCCATGCATCGCGTAACTTCAAAACAGCTTGGTGACAAATGACAGTTGACACTTGACGTTGACAGATGTTAGAGTTTCTTAACGTATAAGCATTCGACTAATGTAAAACGATTTCTTCTCTACTACCAAATGTCAATTGTCAAATTGAAAAATGATCATGGTGATGCATCCACCACAGAAAGCGATCCGAAAAGTTAAAACCAATTATTATAAAGAAAACTACGTTTTTATCTTAAATAATTTCAATATTATCAAGATCAGTTTTGTGCTCGTGTGCCCTAGACAAAAATGCCTTGCAATCGGCAATATATCAAAATCAATCAATGGCGCCTTTTTAGGTCTGGGCCTCAAATTTCTGTATCTGTTTCAAGATAATTTGTTAATCTAATAGGCAAGTAGTGATCGCCCTTCTGTACCTGACGCATAGGAAAAAGTCCATCGGTGCACAGCCCGGGATCGAACCTACGACCTAAGGGATGAGAGTCGCATGCTGAAGCCACTAGGCCAACACTGCTCTGTGTAATCTTAAAAGCTATTTTTAAAACAAACGACAACCAATTTCTTAAATCTTTAACAATTACTATAGCACTAGACTATTACCCAACCTAAACCAAACATGATGACTTACATAAAAATTAGATTTAACAATATTTTGGCATTCTATGCATTTACGAATTACGAGAATGTTTCCTCTCCGTTGCTTTGTAGACAGATAAAACATATAAATTAAAAAAAAAACACGCCTTTACTTGAACTAATAAGCTTAACAATTAAAAATCGGATTCTTTTTATCGTAATAAAATTATAAACATTTGTAAGTAGCTTAAACAAAATATTATTGTCAATATTCAAATTGGCGCGAACGGACGAAATTTAAATAATTGTCAATAATATTTACTTACTGGCAACATTCTGGAAATGTCAACTGTCAGCTAAGTTGATCACGAACTTGAATACCAACACGCAGCATTATATGGTGAGGTGACACCCGGACTTAACACATTTGAGAAATGATTGACAAGTATTTTATTTTTACATTGACACTGACGTCAAAAAGTTTCTTGTTGACGATGATTAAAGAAAAAAATTGCGTGACATTTGACATTCAACTATGGGCTAATACCGCTATTCTTTATCGGATACTGAGTTGGACCACAGACAACAAAATACTATGCAAATGTACCACAGTTAAAAAATGTATTCGAAAGTCATTTATGTACGACGTAGTTTTATAGAAAGATTGTTATAATGTATGTAGCCACTATTGAATACCTACATTTTTTCTACTCTAGACTGTAATACCTGTAGATTATCTATCTCTTTTATTATTATTTTCATTACCCGTACCTACAGTTCGTCTTTCGTCAGTCAATGAATATTAATGCCATTAAAACTCGATTTACAGGTCTTATGTTCGAAACTGTTTAGACTTTAACTATAGTTTAAAAATGTTATTTTGTTATCATTCTTACGTATAACTAAAATAACGAGATCAGTTCTTTAAATTCTAATTTGAACACCTTAGAAAAAAATAGTGTTACTATTATTTTATCCCGACTTTTCAAGTCTTAAATCTATTGGATTCCCCATTTCAGACATTTCGATACAATTAAGTTCTTTCGCATTCAAAGACTCGCAAATATCAGATTTTTAAGGAATCAAATTTAGCTTTAATATTTAATTACTGGTTCAAGTAGCTATCCATTATTATCATTACAATCATTTTTTAAATCGCTAAATTGTTTTAGATTTGCTATTACGTTACTAAAGTTTTCATAATCTTTAAAGTCTTTCTTACTCCATATTTGAGATCAAAATTTTCTTGATTAAATTCTTTTTTATCAAAAACGGTTTCGTCTTCAAAGCCTAGTCCTTCTTTTATATACTTTTATATTAGAATCAACATCTAATTATTCACTGGTTTCGTATTTGAATAACCTTATTTCGAATTGCTGTCATTACCGAAATCTTTCAAGCGTTTGACAACGTTAGTTGTTAAAATTTAATAAAGACATACTTAATATGACTTCAAATTCGTTATAAATATGACGTTTTCCATTTTCTAGATCAAATTCTCTACTTTTAAAATTAAAAGTATCGTTTGAACTTATTTTAGTATTTGATTCTAAGCCCGCGTTTTCTTTATCGTTAATTTCATTTAAGTTATTTTCATCTACGTTGCGTATGCGCTTTGAATTGTTATTTAAATTCTCTTTAAATGGTAATGTATGATTCGACGCGTGAATATTTGGAGTGTTTAGCCCGGGTTTGATTCCCTGCGTGGTGATACATGGTTCGTGACCCGCCTAGGCGAACAGTACTTGAGGACTGGCCTCGTGTATCTCACATAAGAATTGATCCTGCTCTATTGGTTTCTTCACCCACGTTCCCAGTTGAGCTTTCTCAAACGCCGTTACCAGACACTGTTTCGCCATCTGAAAGAAATTTACAAGAATCTTTAAGTTTATTTCGATAGGGTTTAGATATAAAAATCCAGTAATTTTCTTTTCAATTTCAGTTGAAGCGCGTTTGATTCCACCTGACTTTTTTCTGTAAAACTAGACCTAGATATATCTGTATGTACTGCTATCTGTGACCAATCGAAAAATATTGGATGAGTCTTTGAAAGATATTTAATATTTTGTAATTACCTAGCAAAAGCAGATATTAAAAAAGTTTGGAAAATCCAAAAGTGCACGCCTCATAGCGGTCATTCACATTAAAAAAAAATCATTCGTTTACATTTATTTATTTTTTTATTTTTACTTGTTACTACTTACTTAATATAATAAAAAAAAATATAGTGGCGCCATAACTCTAAGGTGAGGAAAAAATGTACTAAAATAAATGTATATATAGATATACAAATACACAGTCGTATTTTAGTTTTTTACAAATTATAATTAAACGACAGTACTTAGAACGCTAATATTAACTAGGAATCAGCCCAGGGTATAACTTTATATAATAAGAAAAAAAGTATTCTGGTACGATAAATTTTTCGACCAATTTCTCTGCCACATACATGGATCCATAAACACAGACTGACGGACGTCCAAGAATGATTGATTTTAATGTTATTATTTACTATGTTAAACAAAATAATTGTTCATAAAAAATACCATATGTGCTTGATAGATTATTTAACTCGATTTTAGTGCACTCATATTATCCTGTAAGTGTTATATTAGTGAGAAAAAAGTCATTCAAGTTTCGAAAGACTGGGTTTTTTGACATGCCGAGAGTAGAGCACTGCCGAGGCGTGCAAAAAATGCTAAAATCTCTAAATGGTACGTGATAGTTACCTGATAGCTAGTCGATAGCTGCTTTGCCTCAGCGTAGAGCAACTTCTCCGGGTCCTGAACCAATGGTCTCCCAACACCGTTCCCCTGTTAACATTGCACACACGTAGATATGTCTATTATGACGCCATAAACAAAATATTTGAATAATGCACTAAAAAGTATTTTTATTTGTCATGATTGACGTTAATAATTATCCAGATTGAGCATTCTGATAGGTCTGGATATCCGTAGCTCTCTCATACTTTGAAATAAATGTTCCTTTATATAATTTTAATATGTTATGTTAGCTCTATACATGGTGGCCAAAAAGTCGTCGTTCAAACGCAAGTAGGGGATAGATGAGGTCAAACTCAAACTATCTTTATTCAAGTGGGTAACCAAGTACACTTTTGAATCGTCAAGTTAAATTAATCATAAATTTACATTTACTACCAGTTCGCAAGTCAAGGGCGTAGAGCGGGTAAGAAGAACTGGCAAGAAACTTTCCGCCACTCTTTTTAATCGCCAAGTATTGTCATACAAATTGTTTGAACTGGAGCAATTCAATCCCAAGGATTAGGATCATTTAAGTAGTCCTCAAATTTATAAAAGGCTTTGTTGATTAATTTTCGTTTAACAAGGGCTTTGAATTTATTTAGTGATAATTCTCTAATTTCGCTTGGGAGTTTGTTGTAAAAACGAATACAATTTCCATATAAGGAGTGGTTTATCTTTTGGAGCCTGGTTGGTCGTACACTCAAATTAGTTCTATTTCGCGTATTATACTGGTGAAAGTCACCATTTGTTTTAAAATCGTTTATATTTTTTTGGACATACAACAAGGCTTCAAGAATATAATCATCATCAGCTACAAAAAAAAAATCTACGGGAGATATTAGAGCGACTCATGGCCATGTGTAATACCTTTTCAGAATCCCTATTTAATGCGCCAAACCTTGTAATACAGGGTCACTTTTCGGTAAGGTATTTTTATACTGATGGAATTTGTACGCATAAATACAATTATGTCAATTTTTAACGAACGAACGCTGCCGAACGCAGAGGCCAATTGTGCCTCTTTGTCGCTCGTTTCGCGCTCTCGCTTGCACTTCAAGCCTTAAATGGAACGCCTCAGAGCGAGGTAACACCGCATGCGTTATGTTTTCTCGTGCGTGCAGCCGACTCCTTCGAATTATAAGACATTGTCACGTCAAAAATAAGTACATAGGTGACGAGCGAGGAACTGAATCCAACCGAACGGTTCAGTGAAGTAAATAATGTAATAAAATTGCGTTAAAAGAGTCTGTGGAAAGAATCGTCGTGGGATTTGAGGTCGCTGCACTTGACAACGCTGCTACGTCATTATAGTTCGACAGTAGTCTTGATACGTAGCAAGAAAAGTGTCGTATAATCGCTAAGCGCGTTCTCATGCCAGACTCAATGTTTTTTACTTAAAATGTGAAGTACCCTACAACGAAAATAAATTGCCCACCCACATCTTGTTAAACCTTAAACATACCTGAGGTAAAGGCAGAAGTTGCTTTGTAAGATATATCCACCTCGCGAACATTGCTTGCTTACACAAAAGTGAGGGTAGTTCATTATCCAGTTTCCCTGTTACCGCGTTCACCACTTCTGGTGCCTGAAAAATTCAAATAATGTTGTACAATTTTTTTTATAGAGCCTAAGCGTAGAGAGGTAAACGATCTTACGGAACGCCCAAAATTGTCAGCCATCACACTCCATGAACACCCACGTGTGCGTTGCCGCCAAAAAGCTTCAGAGTGGGCTCTCATGCGCGTTTAAAAAAAGAGAAACCTCTCGACGAAGGAGGAGGCTTAGAGCTAAATCAAAGGCGTGATGGAAGTAAGGTATACCGATTTAGGGTTGTGAAAGAAGGAAACCAGTATGTCTCAGACCCAAATAGACAACGGCGTGTCTACACAGAAGGTTGCACCTACTTGCCTGTTAGCAAAATTATCACGAAACAGATACAGAAATCTAAGAAAGCGTAAAGTGCCAGCGAGTGGTTTTTAATTGAAGCACGTCAAATTTATATACCTGGAATGGCAGCTGATAAAATGCCTTAAAAGACGCTCAGTTGTGAAACACCAGACCGCAAGGCATTGATATACAAAAAACCCAAGATGCACAGTCTCGAATAAAAGTAACGCTCCAAAGTGTCCCGAAACACTATTTCTGTCCATAACAGTATATGTTACAAGCATATATTATTGCAAAATCAACCTTACGCGAATTGTTTAAAGTTGTTATTACAACGCAGTGTATACGTACTTAAAGCAATAAAATTTTACGACCGACCGTGGTCGGTAGGACAAGGTATTGAGTGGAGTCGAACATGACTTTTTTATTTACAACTATTTAACATAATTTTAAATTTATCCGACTTTTCGGGTGCTTTACAGCGTGAGTGGTCACGGTGACTGAAGACAAAAGGTGTTGGATGTTAAATAGTTGTAAATTTATAATAATACATAACATTAATCCGGTTAAAAAGTTTTTTCTTTAAATTAAAAAAAAAATGTTAAATTGGCTACCTCCTGACCCACACTTTATATAGCGTAAATATATTTGTCAAAAACTACACACAAAAAAGTTCAAGAGTACATAAATTTATTGATAAAAAAACACAAATAAATAACATCGATTCCACTTATAGACGCGAGACTATTTGAAATGAGCGCACAATTTAGAATGTTGCGCTCATTTTTTGAGGACGTTTTTTAGACGTTGATTGTGCATCTTGGGTTTTTGTATATCAATGCCGCAAGGTGGAATTGAGTCTTGACGTCCGAAGATGAAATTTAGCAGCAGGTATCATTCCGGAGAGTTCATCGAAACTGCCCATGATATGATACGACTACTTGTACAAACTCACCTGGGCAATAGCACACCAGCAAACAGAGAAAGAGGGCGCGCGCGCAGGCGATCTAGTCTCCGTACTTGCTGCGCGCGCTAATTTTGGCGCAACAAGATGGTACGGCGCCGGCAAACCTTGTATGAATCCTTCAATGCGTCCACATAGGGCTCTGAAACATAAAGGAAACTTATATAGATTAAAAACAATCAATCCTACATCACCCCTAAATTTAGGGGGAATCTAGGTGTCCTCGTTTTAAGGAGGTACATTTATTTAGATTACATACAAGATTTTTTGAAATTATACTTTTGGCGCGTTAGGGAGAAATGATGTGAGTAAATTTTTACGATGCGCGCGCTATAGTCAACATTTTAGTTTTTTTTTTTGTGATATTCAAATAAACTTTATTTAACTAGATAATGCATTATAGTAAAACTTTAAATGTATTAAATACCTTTTTTCTAGTCTTTATTATTAACGATTTAGTCAGACTGACGCGAATAAAAATGGCAACTTAAAAAATAGTGAATTTTCCTAATTGAATTATTTAATATTAATTTTAATTATTTTGTGTAGGTTTCGTAAGACGGATGGAGAGTAGACAGCTGGCGCGGCGTATTTAATGTAATATAAATTGTCATGTTTGTGTACCATATTGTATTCTGTACTTTTATACTGATAAAAGCAATTCGTGCAAAATTATTCCCTAACCATTCCAAAATATCAAAACTGCACAACGTTAATATTCAAGATTTCACTTCTGCCGGCACTCCCGGAGTGCAACTCGTGTTTTTTTTTTTAATTTTCAGAGGAACTTTGGGGAATTCGCATCACTGCAAACAGCCGTCACAATAAAGCATTTCATTGGCCACGTAGTAATGTAATAAATTAACCAAGCGTATAATAAATGTGGGTTAAATAATTCCACCGTTACATAATAATACCCCACCAGCAGGGAAGTATTGTGAATCGTGCGCACGCTCATCTATCAGTCTGATGTTAGATTTCGATCAATAATGCAAAACGTTTTACCAATCGCCTGCTTTCTGTCTGCAATACGTGAGTTTTTATGGTGATGGGATTTTGGTTTTAGTTTAAACATTTTTATTTACGACTAGTAGACTCGGCCAAGCGTTGCTGTGGCTAAGATTTTTGTTATATTACATAGTAGTAAACTATTCAAGAGAAACGGCAGGAGAACACCAATCCACCATGCTTTTTTGGTGGTTATGCCATTAAATTGTAGCTTATGTGAAACGTTGGTATTTATTTTGATAAGGATCAATACCTAGGTACGAATAAAGAGCCTTTTCTAGCGGTGGTATTTTAATTTAAAAAAAAATAATAAAAGGACGCTTATTGTGACGTAACTATAAAAGATAGAGACATGCTGTCGCGACATTTTTTATAGATAATGATGTGTCCTGAAAAATTGTAATACATCATTTTGTTCTATCATTAATAGTTTTCGCAGCTCACGCGATTGAAGGAAGTTTTTTGTTTATTTTTTTACACCTTGGGTTAGATTATTAAAGTTTTAGTAAGCATCCCTAATTTTTTTCAATCAAAAATGTATGAATAGAAAATTATTTGAGCAGTGTTGGCCTAGGGGCTTCAGCGCGCGACTTTCATCCGTGAAGTTCGATCCCATGTGCACCATGGATTTCATTCTATGTGCGCATTTAACATTCGCTCGAACGGTGAAGGAAAACATCGTGAGGAAACTGACATGTCTTAGATCCAAAAAGTCGTCGGCGTGTGTCAGGCACTGGAGGTCGATCACCTACTTGCCTATTAGATTGAAAAAAGATCATGAAACAGACACAGAAATCCAAGGCCTAAAGAGGTTGTAGCGCCACTAATTTTTTTTTTTTTTTTGTGTGGTTCGTTAACGAAAGCACCAGCCAACTTAAATCTTTGATTAGCACCTGTGCACGTGAACCCCACGGCCCAGAGTCTTTACTCCAAAGGGAACAAAATCAAAGTTGGAGGAAATAATTTTATATTTGAGCCATTTTCTAATGTGAGTTTTACATAATTGTATGTGTACTGTGGTGTTTACTAATATAAAACCACAAAGGTTTTTGATATATTCAGTTAACTTATAATTTTATTCAAAATAATTATCACCCTAACTTCGTACCTAGTGAGCTAAATACGTAACGTAAGTAAGAAATAAACTTTTCTAAAAATATACGTTTTCCTGTTAGACATTTCGTAGATTTAGTTCCTAATTAAAAAAAATATATTTAAAACGCTGTATGCTAATACTTAAGTGAACAATAAAATATTTAAATTTATTTTGAATTAATAAGTACTGGGCCAAGTTTATTAAAATATTGCAGTTAAATGTATTATGAATCTAATATAGAAGAAAAGATTTGTGTTCCTAACGAATAAACTGAAATACTCCTGGACCGGTTCAATCAAAATCCACCAAATGCTTCTGATGTAATATTATGTATTGCACGCCTCGCAGTGCTCTACTCTCGACATGTCAAAAAACCAAGTCTTTCGAAACTTGAATGTCTTTTTTTCTCACTAATATAACACTTACAGGATAATATGAGTGCACTAAAATCGAGTTAAATAATCTATCAAGCACATATGGTATTTTTTATGAACAATTATTTTGTTTAACATAGTAAATAATAACATTAAAATCAATCATTCTTGGACGTCCGTCAGTCTGTGTTTATGGATCCATGTATGTGGCAGAGAAATTGGTCGAAAAATTTATCGTACCAGAATACTTTTTTTCTTATTATATAAAGTTATACCCTGGGCTGATTCCTAGTTAATATTAGCGTTCTAAGTACTGTCGTTTAATTATAATTTGTAAAAAACTAAAATACGACTGTGTATTTGTATATCTATATATATACATTTATTTTAGTATTTTTTTTTCCTCACCTTAGAGTTATGGCGCCACTATTTTTGTTTTTGTTATTTTGTTTTAAAAAACTTGAGTTTTTGTTTTAGAATTTTTTTTTATGTGAATGACCGCAATGAGGCGTGCACTTTTGGATTTTCCAAACTTTATTTGTATATAGGCACGCAAAAAACCGTAAATTAAGAATGTATAGTTTAAAAACGTTTTAAGAGCTGTGTTGGCTTTGTGGTGTCAGCGTGCGAATCTCATTCCAGAGGTCGGAGGATCGATTCCCGGCTGTGTCAAACGCATTTAAGACTTGTTCATACTTGGAATCGTTATGAGGAAATTGGCTAAAAATCCGTCGGGCTCTACTGATCACCTACTTGACTTTTAGAAAGGACAAATGATCACGAAACATACAGTATCCCGTTTAAACTTGGCTTCGGCCTATTCAAATTCAGTCGAACAAATGGAGAGTGGGCATTTGTCTAGTGCAGTGGTGGGCAAACTTTTTTAATGGCGGGCCACAAAGTTTAAGAAATTCTAGAGGTGGGCCAAAATCATAAAAAAAATGCATTGTGAGTTCAAGCTTTTAATCATAATACATATTATTAAACAAAGTGAAATCTACTTTTTCTAATGAAACGTCAAAACGTAATTATAACGCGCCATATTGAAGATTGGAGGAGGCCTTTGCCACCTGGCAAACGGACAATCTACGGAAAAGAACAATCTACGAAAAATAAAGAAAAAAGACGTGTGTCACTCGGGAACTGCCGCGATAAAGCTATTGTAGTAGTGCCCGTCGGATTTTTAGCCAATTTCCTCTTGCGTTTGACACAGCCGGGAATCGATCCTCCGACCTATGGAATGAGATTAGCACGCTGACACCACAGCTCTTAAAACGTTTTTAAACTATACATTCTTAATTTACGGTTTTTTGCGTGCCTATATACAAATACATAATATATCAGAAGCATTTGGTAGATTTTTATTGTCGTAAGTCTTAACTTATATATTGCCAGGCTGTCTGCACTTTTATATTTTGTGGAAGTCTATTTACCGCAGCACTCCCCCAACGCTCAATGTTTTTTTACCGTAATTGGTTAAACTTAGGTACAATTAGATTGTGAGGGCGTCGTGAACTGCGCTTCTGAATTTGATTTATTTTAGTGAAAGTATTGTCAGTGTGTAAATAGTCATTTAGAATTTTGTAGATCAATAAGCTGGTATTGTATTGAAATAATTGTTTTATATTCATGAGTTTTGTTTCACTGTAGATTTTTTGTCTAGAAGTTAAAGATGTGGCTTGACCGAGCGATTCACCTTTCTGAATTAATTTAATACCTATAGACTTACTGTCTGCGCATTTAAGACTCGCTCGTACTGTTCACCGTACATGAGCACGATATAACGATAGGTTAAATTGGTTAATATGCCAGAGACCATACAATAAAACATTGGAAAAAAATGTTAATAGACCAGAGATAATTCAAACAAAAATTCGTAAAAAAATATTACAAATTAAATATCATGTCCATTGTCCGTCTAACTTAACTTAAATGTAATTGAGTTAGAAATAAAATTTAAAAAGAAACACCATCAATGGGCCAGAGACAATTCAATAAATAATATTGTTAAAAAAAGTTTCGATTAAAATTTACTATCAACGTCGCCTAACTTTACTTAAATGTAATTAAAATTAAAAAAAAAACACCGTCAATAGGCCAGAGGCAATTCAATTAAAAAAATGTTACGATTTAAATTAAATAAAAAAAGTCGTCTAAATTAACTTTAATGTAATTAAATTAGATATTAAAAAAACCGTTAATAGACCAGAGACAATTAAATTTAAAAATGTAGATAGGCCAGAAACAATTCAATAACAGATTTGGTAAAAAGAGGTTTATATACCAGAGACAATTAAATTAAAAAAAGGTTACCGATTCAAATTAAATAACAGTCGTCTAACTTAACTATAATGTAATTAAATTAGAATTAAAAAAAAACACCGTAAATAGGCCAGAGACTATTCAATAAAACATTGGAAAAAAAAAATTAATAGACCAGAGACAATTAAATTAAAAAAAAGTTACGATTCAAATTAAATATCCATGTCATCGGAATTATTCAGCTACATAACAGTTTCATCCACATATTGGATGAATAAACAAATTGCACCACGTTATGGCATAGAAAATTGGTAGCGCGAACAATGTTTTCGCAAGCGAATCGCGTGCACTGTCACGCAAACCGCATGCCGGTTTGTTCCCTTTGTGTCATATATCGACACTGATATCGGATATATCAGATATTCTTAAGGGTCTGTTTCACAATGTATGGATAAAGTACCAAATAGCTATGCAACACATTAATTATTTGGAAGATAAATTGTGCTATTTGACATTCATCGGACTTTATGTGACGTATAGCGCTATCTGACAGTCGTGAAACGCAACAATAGTGTTTATCCTACCAATAAGTAATGAATAGCTAATTTGGAACTATTTTTTTTGTTTTAATAGAACGGGGGCAAACGGGCAGGAGGCTCACCTGATGTTAAGTGATACCGTCGCCCATGAACACTCTCAATGCCAGAGGGCGCGCGAGTGCGTTGCCGGCTTTTTAAGAATTGGTACGCTCTTTTCTTGAAGGACCCTAAGTCGAATTGGTTCGGGAATACTTCAGTGGGCAGCTGGTTCCACATAGTGGTGGTGCGCGGCAAAAACTGCCTTGAAAAACGCTCAGTTGTGGAACGGCGGACGTCGAGGTGATACGGGTGGAATTTCATATTCTGCCTCGACATCCGATGATGAAACTCAGCTGCAGGTATTAATCCTACTAAGCACTGTAAAGACCCTTAGTAACGATACATGATATGTCCGTCAATAGACTTAATAGGAAAGGAATATCTTTAATTTAAGTTTCACACACGTATAATAGAAAACTGCGCCCGACACAGTTTACACACACACACAGCTGTCTCCAGCAACACTGATTTTCAATGGGCACTTGGAAAGACAGCTAAACACTAGACAAAACAAAAATGTTAACAATAAAAAAAAACTAATTAACATAAAACATGAGGTTTGACGTTTGACAACTGACATTTAAAAATACATTTGCATTTCATCTGACGTACTGCATTGGATGTCGTAGATTGAAAGAAGGTTGTTCCACCAAATAAATGCATTGTATGGAACACAGAAGACAGTTGAAACTACTATAATTTCAAGAGCTGTCAAACACATGACAGTTGACATATGACAGCACTCAAGAAATGAATTAGATGGACCTTAAATTGCTGATAAAAACGACTTGCAAGAATATAGTGGAAAATGCACTCGCGAGCCCTTAAAGAGTAAAGAGTGTCCATGGGTGGCGGTATCAATTATCAGGTGCTCCTTGTTATATAAATATCATATAGTACCAAAAGCTTCAAACTTTTACGAAAGGAAATAATAAATAAAAAATATGAATTAAACTAAACTAGAAATAGAATAGCTCTATTGTCTATAGTTTCCGCATCGTACGCGATTTAGGCATCTTCCTGTTGTTTTTCACACCTTCGGTTACACTATCATACTTTGAAACAGAACCCCAACTTTTTTGAAAATCTTCTGTAGTCTATGTTCATCAGGGATAACGTAGGGTTCTAATTTAGCAATTTTTTTTACGTTTATCTTATATGGTATATTTGTCTGAAGGTATTACAAAAAATACTACAAATTTACGGTACAAGTGGCATAAACCCGGACCTACCCTATTATAGAATATCCCTTCCGATTTCCACTTAACAATAGTTATTTATTTCCTTTATACCAATTAATACCAAATACGATGACTTCCTGGACTCGACTTAGCTGTCTCCTTTTAACACAGCGTAAACACAAATCTAATCATAATCATTTATTCATATCGGTAACACAATGTACACTTATGAACGTCAAAAAGAAATATATATGAAATGCTTCTAATACATTTACTGCCAGTTCTCAAATCAAGGGCGTAGAACGGAACAAAAGAACTGACAATAAACTCTCAGACACTGTTTTTAATCGCCAAGTTTTTTTTTGTAAGGAGCTGCAACCATTGTTCCACATGACATCTTAATTAATAGTTTAATTCATTATAATAAAATAAATAAAAAAAACAAAAAATTGTCCTATATCAGCAGGACGAATGGTGAAATAGAAGCACGCACTTACATTCTCGTGGGAACAACACGCAATTTGACAGAAACGAGTTCAAAGTTCTTCGGGGTAAAAGTAATATTTTTATTTATTTATAATAAACACAATCCTGTACTAACAAGTGACCCTAAACAAATAATAGAATTTGTCAGTTTACTCAACGGACTATATGTGCCCTTTTCAGAAGGTTAGTCCTAGTGGGGCACATGAAGTAACGGCGAACGACGCCATAATTCATAAAACTATAAAAGAAAATATGACATCACAAATTTTATACATACACATCAATTATATTAGAACAGAAGCAAGCTAGCAAGCGAAAGAATTCAACATGGAACCAAAAAATAATAACTAAAATTAAATAGAAACTTAAACCTCATTAAGAGCATGATAAAACAAAGTTACGTTAAGAGCGGCCAACCCGTCTATCTTTTCATACAAACGCTCGTACGTGATTATGGCGTTGTAACAGATATTTCTTTGAAACTTGAACTAATAGGCATCTTGTGCACTATATCTAGGTTTCTATCAAAACGCAAAATCAAAATTTTAAGAAACAAATTCAGTACAAACCTCCAAAAATCAGCCTTTTTGCACAAATTTTATATGAAGTTTGGGCGTTTATAATGTACTTATTAATGGTAACCGGAAATAAATATTTGCATAGAAGCCTTGCAAATATAATGGAGTTTCTAAATGTAAAACTTTTTTTTCATAATCTTGTAAGGCTTACGAAAAAACACGTATTTCTTGGAACAAGTTTTATGATATTTCCGCACACTATTTTTCTTTCAATGTTATCGCGTTCTCACTTGCTTGTTAACCATGTGGATGAAACAACAAGCTTTTTGGCCATGCTCGCGTTTCCGTTCGTCGGACGGGGAAGGGCGCTCTTAGTTGGAAGATTGTTGTAAAATATATCAATATTTTTATAGATGTTAGTAATCAAGTTGCAAGAGCCTAGCCTATTCACTGGACCGTTCAAAGTAGAAGATACGCGAGCAGTAGGTTCATATAGAAGACTTTTAGTTCTAGTAACTCTAGGATTACAAATCTTATGGCGTACCCATCAGGCACGTTGTAAGTATAGTAACTGCTTTTATAACGCGGAAGGAAATCGCGTTGTAGGAGTTATAGGACCGTTTTTTTGAACAATTCAAAAACTAGGAACACGAAGTTAATAAAGCTATTTTTAATTTAGTTTAATTTTATAACAAAGTCTCGAAACGAGGAAATTGATCTCAAAAAGACTCCGTCGTTTTAAATATACATAAACTGTTTTTCTTACTTGAATATAGTTTATTTTGATTTATTCAATACTAGCGACCCGCCCCGGCTTCGCACGGGTGCAATGCTGATACTAAATTCAAAGTGCTATAGGCACGCTCCCGCCGCCCCGGCCGGTCCCGAAATTTTTAAATCTGTAATATCTTCGAAAATATTCATTTAAATCATATGCTGTAAAGGGCCATATAGATCTATATTAAATCAACAATGTATTTAAGGTATTGAATTGGATAAGGATTAATGCTGTATTGGTTAAAATCACTTCGAAAATTAGCCATTATTTATGTGAAAAAGTAAAAAAAAAAAAAAATGACAAAAAATGTTATTGTGGTATATCCATAAGAGATAGACATATACCATCGCGGAGTTTTCTGTAGACCTTTTCAATGTGTGCAATACTTAGTACATTATTTTGATAAATCTCGTAGGGTTCGCAATGTAAGCGGAAAAATGTAATTATTTACGATTTACGACATCACATTAGAAACCTCAAAAATAACAGTATTTCTCCATCCATATTTAATGGAAGTTATTATACATTTACACCTTCCTCTTCAATCACACTCCGCATCAAAATCCGTTGCGTAGTTTTTAAGATTTAAGCATACATAGGGACAGAGAAAGCGACTTTGTTTGATACTATGTAGTGATATTGTACATTTACGAGAAAATAGATCTCAAAAAGACTCCGTCGATTTAAATACCTATACATAAACTGATTCTTATTATAGTAGGTACTTGAATATAGTTTATGTTGATTTATTTATTATATTGTAGATTTAAGATGCTGGACATTAGTACAATCGAAATTCACATCAAGAACACACTAAACTAAAATTTCAGGCAATACCAGCCACCAAATAACTTATTGAACCCGTCACTTCTTCGTCATCCTTTCACATGTATTTTAAACACATTGGTAAATCGGTAATCATAATAAATCATTACGTTCCGGGTTCGGTAACGTGTTACGATAATGAGCGGTTACAGTTAACCGCGAAATTCTATATAACTGTCATGCAATTTTGACATTTAACCATTTCAGTTAAACGAAAACTAATACTACGGCATCGCAATAAACGATGGCAAGCGGCCGGATGGGATGTCGTTGATCCCTTGGAAGATAGGACGGGCTTTGGTATGGGATGCTACTTGTGTGGCCACGTTTGCCCCGTTTCACCTCCTTCGCAATAAAGCTGGGGCGATCGCAGAGCAGGCTCAATTATAGGAGTCGTTCCTCCAACTTCGATTTTGTTCCCTTTGAAGTAGAGATTCCTGGGCAGTGGGGTTCAAGTGCACAGGAGCTAATTAAAGGTTTAAGTTTTCGCCTGGTAGATAGTACCGGTGACCTCAGAGCTGGTGCTCTTTTCAACGAATAAGTATCGCGAGTATATACAGCGAGGAAATGCTGCCAGCGTTAAAGGTACACTGCCACGGGTACCAAAGTTTATAAATTTGTTTTTATTAAATTGTTAGTTATGGTTACTAATAAAAATGATACTGAGACTTGAACTTTGTTTTAATCTTTATATTTCTATACCTGTCTTACACTCAAACCAAAAGTATACTTCTTGTAGTATATTTTCTGTTAACCTCGAAACCTTCGGTGGAGTATATAACATTTGCTCGAACGGTGAAGGAAAACATCGTGAGTAAAAATGCAATTCACACGTGGTAGAAGTGAAACCATCAAATTCTGTGACGAATGTTATTTTATTTTTCAAGTTCAATAATTAATTTTGATAAAGACTACAATGATTAAAGAAATTTTTTTAAATTGTAATAAGATTATAAAAACTTTTTGAAACTTCTTACTATACTTATTTAAAGTTTATATACTGTATAAAGCAGCTTTCTATCTCGTTTCCTCCCACTTTACAACTTATGAATTTATGTATCCGTCTCTTTTTGTGTCACTATAATTAGTCAAGTTGTCACTGTCAAGATAATTAGCCCTTCTCACTCTTTCTGAATCAGTCTCAATAGCTCTCTCACTTTTCTTCGAAAAAAACGCTGCACATCTTCGTGACGCTAATATTATTATTATTGCGTTTCATCCGTAAAAATTGTAACCTCGTGCGCCTAATAAGTTTCACTTCAAAAAATACATTATTTTCTAATCATTTCCTTATGTGCAGGTCCTCCAGGAGTTCAATTCGAGAATGGTCTACTCCAGATAACACCTGTGAATAAGGATAAGTGTCCCTTTGTGCGTGATAACAATGATGTCGCGTTTCTATTGTATACAAGGTATGTTTGAAATTCCTGGGTCCCCGTTACTAGTAACTTAGTAAGTTACTTTAGCCCTAGAGTCTGGCTAATGAAAGAAGATAATTGAATTATTTGAAACTTTCGGATGGCAACACAGAACGTCATTGAATTTCTTAGGTTAGTAAGATTTATTGACTTGATACAATCATGCAATTACTCATTTTTATTTCTATTATAATTATTTCCGAATATTTAACAGGTATAATAGCCTAAACTTTGTTTTATTGATGTTTTTTTATTCTGATTTTGATTATTTCGAATAAAGTTGTTTTATAATAAATATAGTTTTAGTTTTCCATGCAATGCTAGTCATTTTAAGTATCAATAGTAAAAGACTAAATACGTATAGTATTTAATTTCATAGAAATACAGTTACTATCAATGTAAAAAATAATAAAATAAAATCAAGTATCAAGTAAGTTTAAACCACAATATATATCAACTTTTAGAGATACCATACTATTTTTTTTTTTAATTTGCCGCACTTTTTCGTTATCTTCTTTCATTGGCCAGACTCTAGTTACTTTTACTCGGGAAACCTGTATGTCAACGCCATCTTGATTTGTCGAAAACGTTGTATATGTCGCAGCCAACTAGCTTAAGCCGTTCAATCAACAGCCTAGACAATTAACTAAACAGCGCCGTTTAACTAGCGGCCTGAAAGATATTCAGCCAGTTGATCAAACTGCTAGGAAAATGACTTGTATCGATGACGGTCCATTACTTGCCTAGTGAACTAATAATTTAAATTTAATTCCACTTCCTGCCACTCTCAAACTCGAAACGTTACTCTTCAAACTGTCAATATGGCGTCGGTAACCACAACTTTGATGGTAAGTTCCAAAGTTTAATAAAAACCAACAAGTATTACACGTCGGAAATATCTGCGAACCTCGCTGGAATGCGCTTCCCCGCACCCCGCCCCGTTTTCGCCTATCCAGTACCGTTGCCAACGCAATCGCCGACGCACGTGTATTATTCTTGCTTTCGTAATCGCATTTTAGTGTTTATTGTTTCTCTGTTTGGTGAAATATTACATAAACTACCTATTTAGTGCTGTATGTAAGATGGGTAGGACTATAATATATCAATAAAAATAAGTACACAAATAAAATATTTTTTATTTTTACATCTTCAATTTTTTTGCTATCTCTCCAGTTTGTATGACGTCATTAAGCCAGGTTCGCAGATATTTCCGACGACTTGTACAATGGAAGAGTGTAGTGACAATAATAATGTGAATTTAGCCGTGACTGACTCAAGCAATTTAAATCTTAAAGAAATACTTTATATCTCTGCCACATCAACACTCTATCGTACGAATGGCCTACGCAAATGATTTAATTTTGTTACAAACGCAACGGCTGAATAGGCAGGCCGCTAGTTAAACGGCGCTGTTAGATTAAGAGGCTAGGCTGTTAATTTAACAATTAATTAAGTTAGTTGGCTGCGAAATATTTAACCTAGCGAGGCGGCGCTTTCGCAAGCGTTACATGTAATAATATGTACATAAATTATTTTTTTATTGAGGTCAAGAGTAATTATTATTAAATATGCATTTTTCGGTACATCATTTGTATTACATTTACATTAATTATAATTTTACATTAATTGCAAAAGGTACTGATGTCTCTAGTAAGGTTGCCTCATTAGAAACTAAAAATTTTCACTTATAATACCACAAGAGCCAGATAATTTTGAAGCTCGTGTGGTATTCGGGGGATTATTTTTCCGACCCAAATGTCGGCCAATAGAATTGCACCATGAGACGAAATGTACAGTTAACAAATAAGAATTTCATAATGAATAAAACAACTACTTAATACTTTTCTTGAAGTAACTACCAGAGAAAATTTTCAAAAAATTATCAGTATAATACCATGTAGGTTGTACCACGTGACGTCGAATGGTGCAATTCTATTGGTCGATATTTGGGTCGGAAAAATAATCAACATTATTTGTAGATGGTGTGTTTTTAATTCAAATAATATAATATCCAACGATCAATGTTGACTTCGACGTGCACAAATTTAAGTTCGTAAGGTGAAGGAAACATCGAGAGGAAACCGGGATTCACTATGCCTACTGCTGATAGAGGACAAATCTTTGTTTTATTCATTATAAATTGCTTAAGATGTCATGTGGACATGGTGTAATGGTTGCAGCTCCTTACAAACAAAACAAAGAACTTGGCAATTAAAAAAAGTGGCGAAGAGTTTATTGCCAGCTCTTCTCTTCCGTTCTACGCCCTTGATTTGAGAACTGGCAGTAAATGTAAAATTAGAAGCATTAAATATGTATTTCTTTATTGACGTTGATAAGCGTACATTGTGTTACCTAAATGAATAAATGACTTTCACTTTTTTTTTCACTTAGACCTAAAAAGTTGACGGCGTGTATAATATATTGCGTATACTATAAAAAAAAGAGTGCGTGTACTTATGTACGCGCGTAAGAAGTTATACTTCTTTGGCATTATTAAAAATAGTTTGTGATTGCAAGCAAATAATTAATACAATTAAATAATCAAAGACTGGAAAAAGGAGTCATTATAGTCAATAAAGTTCAGTTTACATTTGAAAAATTAATTAAATAAATATTTATTATTATTCTCTTACATTAAGTGTAACATAAATTCTATTATTATTCGAATGTTGTTTTTTAATTATGTCCAATGCCGTAGCATCTTCCGTAGGCAACTTCATTCTGTAAATTTTGTGTCACGGTGGGCGCGCATTTTAAAATTTCACTCTCATAAATTTTTCATAACGCGCCTAAAGAAGTATAACTTCAAAAATCCATTTGTTTTTATTACTATAGGCGGCCGGAACTAAATTTTATAGAACTTTACAGACACAACCCTAACGAACCATACACCCTAACCATAGACGATGATGAGAGCTTATTCGCATCGAGCATAGACTTCAATGATGACACCGTGGTCTACTTCCACGCCTTTATGGAAACTTCAAATGACGGCAGCGCCCTCTTAGTTAGAGAAGGTATTATACCAGAATTCTAGAATAATATCACTATGAAAAATGACATGCTTAAAAGGAATATTAAGAATATTCATAGCGCTTCACCTGCATAATGAGCACACTCCACATACACACCCCCACTTTTACACACACACACACACACACACACACACACAGCAATTAGGATTTACTTAGTTAGATATATTTCATCATTTTTATTGTTTTTTCCTTTCGTAAATGAACCTTTTATATATTATTTATTCCATCTTTGGCTATGTTTGTTTTTTGTTGTATATATATGTGAGACATAGACATAACCTTTAACGAAAAACACTCACAGAAACACACTAAATAATAATAATAAAAAAAGAAAAATAACAAAAATATTATGGAACGAAAAAAAAGGAATAAGGTACATCTTAAGTGTGTAATGTTTGTGGTTGTAACTGGCCCTGGCTCAGCATTATGCTGTGGAGCAGACGTGTTCCACAGCGCTGGTCAATCTACCAGAGACCACAACAGTTACTTGGCGCCTCAATCGCAACAAAAGAAAAAGATGTTAGGATTACGAAATAAATATTTAGAATTTTAATATAGTATTTTAACTATTCCCAGCTTACATTCAGCGACAAGACACGAACGTCATAATGGTAGATGCGCAACACCTGGAGGCAGGACCTTGGTACTTTACAGCGGCTTCCAATACCTGGTACATCGGGAGGATTGCAGCTGAATTAGTAGACTATTTAGTGTCCAGGTATTATGAACACATTTTTCAATATATAGACCAAACAAGTTCAGTTCAGATGAGAAGATACTCAACGCTATGTATGTCAATTTGCATAAATCCAGCGCCTTTACGTAAGCAGATTAACCGCAATTTATAATCCCCCCCCACCCTCTTCTCTTGTCCGCAATCCTCGAAAATGCATTTCGTTTTCAAGCATAGACAGTGTGTGGGTAAAATGTTACTGTTGACGTAATCACCAAATAAGAAAATCAAAGACACCCCCCCATAGTGCTTACGGAATACTTGAACGGCCCCTTACACACAAACATTACACACTTAAAATTTACCTTATTGTTTTTGAAGTGAAACTTCTTTATCGAGGTTGGAAAAAATTTAGTGTAACATTTTTTCGTTACGCGTCACATTTTTCGGTTACGCGCCATGTTGCTTTTTGAAGTCAAACTTCTTTATCGGCGTTGGAATGAAACTTCTTTATCTACGTATGGGAGAAATTTTGTAGCAAATCGTCACGTTTTTCAATGATAGTAATAATTCTATTACAATTAATGAAATTCTATAATAATCTTCGTAGTAATAATGTAAAATGAAATATTTGTATTCATGTCTATGATAATAAAAGCCTTTTGTTAAACTTTATCTAATTTAACGAATTTCTGTGAAGTTGCATATAGTAGATCATTTTTCGAAAAATAAGATCATAAAGAAGGTTCACTTCTTACGTGTGTACACCTAGTACACGCACAATTTATTTTTTCTTTCCATATTTTTTTGTTATTTGTCCTTTTTGAGTATTATTATTTTGTATGTGTGTATCGTTAGTAATAAATTTTATGTCTAAAAATTACTTTCAGAGGTTTGAAATTGTCAAAGACACACTTCGTGGGTCACAGTTTGGGATCTCAGAGTGCCGGAGTCGCTGGATACAGCTTGAAATCAGGTATATTTCTTCAAATTAGATTATTAGATAGAGAGAAAATATAGCTATTCTTCACAGATTGATTATTTATGTCGTTGGGTTTACATAGTTCCGTAACAATAGGGTGGCAGGGCTGGCAAAATGCCACGGGCCCCCGACCCAAGAGATATTATGTTCTATGGAAGACAGTGAAGTATCCAATACGGATTGGGCTAGCGTGAAGACTACAGACCATTTCCTCTCGCCTAAGAGACCTATGGCCATTAGTGGGACATATACAACGTGTAATTGAGTACGCTGAAAATCTTGATGTTTATTCAAATTAAACTGAATACAACAAACTGAGATGGTATATTTACGCCACTGCATAGTTCCCCATAATTAGTAACACTACCACCTTTTGGCCTCAAATTCCAATGATCATTCTTAATAGACAAGCAGTCTACTTGTCGGACGCTGTCGACTAAGTCTAAGGGTGAGATCTATAGTGCGCACTTGGACTTTGCTCAGACTTACCTTACGAAAAACTTTGCTTAGTGTACACTAAGGTTAAACTATGATTTCGTATTTATAGACATTTTAACGGTGAGATTAAGCTAAGCCCAAGCTAAGACAGAAAATGTCAAAATACAAATTGATGTTTCATTTCATGCAATACTTTGTTTATTATCCTTTAAAAAAGTTAACAATAACAAATATTTAAAAATCTAAAACGGTACACATATATCTTCAATTTATTGTTATTTATGTATACATTTATTTTATTATTGCAATAACTAGAAATTCACGAGTAACCTTTAGAAAATGTATTAATTATTTAAAGATGACAATAATTTTATTACGTAGAACGGATCGCAATGTTTTGACAACAGCAACAGAGCACTTGTATCAACTATCAACAATTGAAAATTTTGAACCACTTTAATTTATTAAATTGATCTTTCTTCAAAACAACGACTGGCTTTGTGACTTGGACCTGGACCAATCTGGATCGTATACCTACTTAAGACCTACGCATTCCCGAAGCACTGTGACGTTTTGTGATTTGGCTTTGTTACATGGACCGCTTGGAAATATCAATATCGAAAGTGACATGATGGAGAGAGAGAGTTCTATCTTCAATAGAAAACATTGAAAGGGTAGGAACTGCAGCTGATATGAATCCACGAATGCCTAAAGTGTTGTATATGTTCGGAACTAATAAAACCAAAATCCTTCCATCCTGTACGGTGAGAATGAATTCAAAAGAAGGAACCGTATTTTGAAACACACGGTATTAAATGTGATCCTGACGCTGATCATTACAAACTTGCAACCTTATAACAACAGAGGATCGCCAAACCTACCGCAATTGCAAATACTTATTGCATTAAGGCATAAAAATGCAACTGGATGTTTTCAGGTAATATTGTGTTCATAAATATGTATGGTTTTTCAATTTGATATATTATACCTCTTCTCAAATGATTTTAAATAGTACATATGTTGAAGACTTTTGTCTTCTGACTTTCAGAAACATAACATATATGTGACTAATAATACTTTATTGACATTACAGATGGTGTGTGGTGATCTGAACAGCATAAGCCAATCTACAGTCTGTTTAATTATAAATAAGGTCTCTGCAGAGTTGAGTAAATTACTTCCTAGATTTGTAAATTTTCCAAGAAATATGAACACAGCCAAAACGAAGTTTGAAGAATTAGGAAGATCTAATACTCACCATGGCCTAAACAGTATAATCGGAGCTATTGACTGCACCCATATAAAAATTAATAGACCCAAAGGTATCGCTCACTCTGAAGCATACAGAAATAAAAAAGGGTATTTTTATGTAAATGTGCAAGCAATAATAGGGCCTGATATGGAAATATTTGCTATAGTGACTAGGTGGCCTGGCAGTTCACACGACAGCAGGATATTTAGAAAATGCCTGTTTTAGTAGGTGACAGCAGTTATCCAGCACTTAACTTCATGTTAACAACACTTTTAAATCCAATGACAAGAGCTGACAATATTTATAATTATTCTCAAATAAGAACTAGGCATATTTTTTAAAGGTTTTTCGGAGTGTGAAAAAGGAAATTTCCATGTTTACAGCTAGGACTACAGTCAAAATTGACAAATACTAGTTATATATAATTATAGCTTGTGCTGTATTGCATAATATAGGACACATAATATAATACAGAGAGGCGATGCTTATGATGATGGTGATCTTGCTGATAGCAGAAGTTGAGTAACACAGAAACAATGAAAGATCTCCTACAGGTCTAGCATTCCGGCAATCTGTGATTGCACAATTTAACTAGGTAATTTGTTTGGTAATAAAGAATATCAAAACAAAACTTGTTTCATTTTAATCATTTATTTTCTGATTCTTTTTTTAAGTGTAATACATATTTCTAATACTAATTTATATTTTTGTTGAAGAAATTCTATTTCTAACAGATTTTTTAATTTCATATGTTCCACTCCTATCTCAAATTTTTTAGGGTAGTCAGGTAATAGATGGTAGAAGATTCAGGGAAACGAAAATAACATGTGAAGCGAGAGATATCGGTAAGGTTATAGTTTGAATTTCGTTGTCACTATAATATGCCAGGGCTGCCAGGTGACATACAAAATCACACCAGTTATTTTTAAGATTTCTCAAAAATGGGGTTTGAACAATTACATAAATAATATAAATAAACAACAATAAATACCATAATAATGTGTAATTATTTTATTTCATGCATTTCATAGGTATTTATCAAGATCATTTATAATTTCTTTGAATTCAAATTCTATTTTTCCCAAAGTCTATGGAACTCCGATACAAAATGGCAACACCGTTCATTAAAAACCGACAAAAATAAAAAGTCCAGTAAAAGATATGATGGTAAAGCAAAATTTGGGCCATTATTTTTGTTAGGCTTATAGTCAAAGTTTTTGGTAAGTCGTCGATTTCGTGGACTTGAGATTAAGCTAAGCCAACACTAGGGAGAGATTCGCAGTTTGCTCTATAAATACCGACTGTGTCTTAGCTCGATAGTTAAGTCAGAGCAAAGTCTAAGTGCGCACTATAGATCTCACCCTAAGACCGAAGACAAGAGTGAAAGCAGCTAGTCTTACACAAGCATCTTAAGCTGAAGAGTAGAATGAAAAGAGAGCCACAACATTCGTTAACTATTTGCGGCTTAATTTACCCGGCGTTTTCTTCATTAGATGAATCTCGAAAAGCAACTAGAGTGTAAAAGAAAAGAGAGTCACATCATTCTTTAGCTAGATATGATTTAATACCTCGTTTTTACCTCGCGTGTCCTGTGTCAGTGATTTCTACCCAGCGTTCTCTTTATCCGACAAATACCTCTTGAATAGCAACCAGAGTGAGATAGAAAAGAGAATCACGTCTTCAACTAGTTGAGGTTTATGCATATTTACAATTTTTATCAGGTCGCGTGTCCCGCATAACGGGTTTGGATCCGGCATTTCCACTATTCGACAATGTGCCACTCGAACAGAGGTTGGACCCATCTGATGCTGAATTTGTGGACGTTATTCACACGGACGCTGGTATATTCGGTAAGTACAACTTTAAACATATCTCTATGCCACTTCAGGCACGTCGGGTAAACTACTATAATAATAATAATAAAATCCCTTTATTCACTGACCTTTTAACTTACATGCTACTCTTATTTAACAGTAGTATCTTAAATCTAATTTACATAGCGAAAATAATAATTTATTAGCAACCACTTTGGTCAGGTTGTCTGTCGACATAGGCATCCCCCAATTGTTTCCACGTCTCTCTATCCTTGGCAGACCTTCTCCATCCTTTTGGTAGATTGTCCTCCCATCTTCTAATTTTACCACCATTCTATGATCTTAGCGTTAAAGTCTAACATGATAATGATGTTCTTCTTTTGCATTAATTCTGTCATGTCTTTATAAAATGTCTTTCGTTAATTTTTCATTTTGTTCTGTGGGTGCATGTTCTTGAATAATGGACCATGGTTATTTAGATTCTGTTAATTGAATATGAGTACGGCGATTCTATCTGATCTCTACTAAGCCTGGATAAATGATGAAAAAGAGTTCACACAGACCCAAGGAGTCTTGATATATTTGACAGAGCTCAAACAGAGATGTGGTATTTTTGGATTAGTAATACAGAATTGCGTCCATGCGTCCGGTTGGCTCTCTCCCTATAATATGGCGAAGGGGCCGATGGCTGGCCATGCGTCATACTCGTGAACGGGTGCTACTTGTGGTGACTGGTCGTACTTGAATTCGTGTATGCGTTGATGTTAGCTATTTCGACTAAATACATAGTAGTAGCGTGTTGTTCCCACGTGAATGTAAGTACGTGTTTCTATTTCACCATGCCTCCTGCTGATAGAGGACAAATCTTTGTTTTAAATTTATTTCATTATTATATTTACTTAAGATGTCATGTGGAACATGGTGTAATGGTTGCAGCTTACAAACGTTGTTTAAAAAAAAACTTGGCGATTAAAAAGAGTGGCGGAGAGTTTATTGCCAGTTCTTCTCTTCCGTTCTACGCCCTTGATTTGAGAGCTGGCAGTAAATGTAAAATTAGAAGCATTTAATGTATATTTCTTTTTTGACGTTCATAAGTGTACATTGTGTTGATGTACACCTGCATGATTTTTGACTTTTGTCTTTTGATTACGAGTGTGCGCGGGACCAGTACCGGAAAATCTTCTTATATTTCCAAATAACTTTATAAGTATTGTAACGTATCTCACACTGGTCTTTTGCTTTTCAGGTTTCAACCGGCCCGTAGGCCACGTAGACTTCTTTCCCAATGGTGGCATGAGCCCACAACCTGGCTGCGAATTGGAGGTCGTCATACCGCAACAGGAATTGTTAAATAAATGTTCGTATATGATCACCTATGGAGGAAGTTCACTCAGATACATCTTAACTCTATATATTCCTTTAAAAATACCAACGAGCATGCATGGTGAATGTTAATGTACCGAGAGAAGTATGTCAGGAACGTACCAAGTGGCGATCCATGGTCTCTGACTACCCATTCGGGATAAAGTCGTAATAATATAAATAAATAACAAGAAAACTGCATCAATGGTTTTTGAACACATGGGCTTTTATCTCTGCATTAAAAAATAAATCAGTGGGGCTACAACCTTTTCAGGTCTGGGCCTCGGATTTCTGTTTCATGATAATTTTTCACGGTGATCAGCCTCCTGTGCCTGACACATGCCATCAACTTTTTGGGTCTAAGGCAAGCCGGTTACCTCACGATGTTTTCCTTCACCAGTCGATGGAATGATAAATGCGTACTTGGATAGAATGTCCATTGGTACATCCGAGAATCGACGACCTCAGCGATGAAAGTTGCACGCTGAAGCCACTTGGCCAACACTGCTCTTATTCATCTCTAGTAATCTCCCTACCGATTGGCTGGCTTTTTCTCATTTTCCTACAGCGAAAGAGAAAATGATATCCTTGCTCAGTCACTCTTACTAACAAAATATTTTTCTTAACCCCACAGATTTCTGCAGTCACTGGCGATCTTATAGGTTTTACAGCGAATCTGTGCTTCGTCCAAAAGCCTTTGTTGCGTCTGAGTGTAATTCGTGGAAGGAGTATAAGCATGGCAGATGTTCTAGCGCAAACAGAACAAATATGGGATACGGGGTGGATAGGACGTAAGGACTTTTGGGATATTGGGTCACTTATGGTTTTGAGGCTCACCTTTATATGAAATTTCGTGCTTTGTAAAATTCAGCTTTGTTTTAAACTCGCTACTTCACCATCTTTCCGCGATTTAACCCCCCCCACCATGTAACGCGCCGTAACGTTTCGTGACCACCTAGTGACTCTTTAAACCTAAAAGTTACCTTTTCTGGGTTTGTTCGACTTCTTCATAAATGTATTGATAAGCGTGTTCGTATTATGAAGGACTCCATCCAAGAGCAGCAGCAGCAGTTTATCCAATTACAAAATAAAAATTTAATGGAAATCCCAAGTTTTGAAGTTGTCATGTACAATGTACATTCATATACATCTTCTCGGGCTTAGCCTAACGGCCTATACCCGGCCTTCGAGCCGGCTAGACTTATCGAGGATCGAGAATGAACACTATAGGAATATATTATATATGAAGAACACTTTTCTTCCTCCATATACTAAGCTTGTATTACGTCTGATTTGGCAATAGCTCTGTATCTCTCTCTCTCTATCTGTGCTCTAGTATCGCAGAGATATGGAATACAGGGTATAATTGTTTTGTCAAGTACGTCTGACAAGTCTCAATGGATATTAGCCGCCGTTAAGTTCCAGCAGCTTATATGTGGTATGGGTAATCATGGTCCATCAAGGATTCCTAAAGATGAACAATAAGATGGTTTTTTTATAGTACAGGGGGGAAAACGGGCTGGAGGCTCCCCTGATCTATAAAAAAGCTCGCGAGTGCAGCTCTTTTCTCGAGGGACCCTAAGTCGAATAGGTTCGGAAATACTTTAGTGGGCAGCTGGTTCCACATAGTGGTGGTGCGCGGCGAAAACTTTCTTAAAAAACGCTCAGTTGTAGAACAACGAACAACAAGGTGATACGGGTGGAATTCCGTATTCTGCCACGTCATGAAACTCAACTGCAGGTATAATCCGAACAACTCCTCTGAACATTCTCCATGGAATCTCAATATCGGCAAGGGATCAAGCCGGTATTGGTCGTCGACGATTCGAATCGCTTTTCATTGAATACGATGTTAGAAGAGACTTATAGGATCTTCCTTATTTCTCAGAATCTGTTGTATTGGATTGGAATTGTTTCAGACATTAAGACTATTTAAGTTGTCCTATGTTTCAGAAGGTTTTGAATGTTTAGTAGCCTTTTTGGTATTCATACCACTCATATGCTTCTTGTATTGTGACACACTTGATCACGTATATTAGAAATTTGCACAAATATGCACCACGGTTAAGGAATGCACGTTTCTCATTTCAGGTAATAAAGCTCGGAGATTCGCCAAAACGAACCCATTTGTTGGAAGTTTACGTGGAACTAAACTCAACTTAAAAAGCTTTCTCAGTCCCTCTGCCCCCAAGAGATATCGTAGATCTCTTTCTCCTATTTTAAAGCTATTAGGAGTCTTTAAAAGTGAAATAAGAGAAATCAATACTTCAATAAAAACACCACAAGATTTGTATAATATTATGTTTAGGGATATTAATCCAAACCAACCCAGAAAATTTAGCTTCGAAGTTGGTAGGAATAATTTTTTCAGGAGTTTGTTTGGAAGGCGAGATTTTTTAACTATTAACAGTGAATAGGAATATCTTTAGACAATTAATTCATAATTTTATACCTGCGTTTAGCAAGTGTAAAAAATTATCCTTCTAAATTCAAAATAATGTTATTATGTCATTTTAAATATTGTACACAAGAAGTGTCTTCCTCTTAATGGAGACTGATAGTAGTGTAACTAGACACTAATGTTAAAAAATGTGTGCGTGTACTAGGTGTACACACGTAAGAAGTGAAACTTATATAAAACCTTTATTGTACGCAGAGCCATAATTGGTTTGTTTTAAGTTTAGAGGTCCGAAACTATTTTAAACACAGTAAATTTTGATACACTGCCTAGCATACAATTTACAAATTAATTGCTGCAAATTGCGATTAGTAAATTTCAAGTCGAAAATGTAATCCGTTGTCAAACTTCAAAGTCAAAAACATACTATATGTCATATTTTAACGCCGATAAAGAAGTTTGACTTCAATAAGCAACATGGCGCGTAATGGAAAAATGTGACGCGTAACGCAAAAATGTTACACAAAATTTTTTTCCAACCCCGATTAAGAAGTTTCACTTCAAAAATGTCTGTTTAGAATCATAAGACAGTATATTGGCTAATAGATTGCTATATTTTAAGTAGTGGTAACTCTATATCTGTATAAGGAGCCATTCAAGTATTACGTAAGCAGATTTACTGCAATGTATCCCCCCCCCAAAATTAAGCAAAGTTCTCATAAATAATAGTAGAATAATTTTATGTAGGAATCCTCGAAAATTTATTTCATTTTCAAGCATAGACAATGTGTGGGTAATATGTGTAAAAAAGTAAATAACTACCGTTAACCTAATCACCTAATAAGAAAATCAAAGAACCCCCCACTCCTCCCCCTATAGTACGAAATACTTGAACGACCCTTAATCAGAGAGAATCTTCGAATTTAGAGACTAAAATTATTAACAATTTCAGGGCCCGAGGAACCTATTACTTAATGACACATCGACAACCGCCATTTTCTATAGAATAATTAATATAGTTTAATAAATATAATTGACTAAAATTAGTCATTTTATTTACTGAAAATTTTCATGCCCTGCTTGTTCCTTTCGCAGAAACGTCCTAAGATACGTAACGCAAATAAACTGACCCGTTTTCTTGACAGTTTAGCAGAGCTATCTTTTCTTGATTTGACGAATGACATCACGTGTGAAGTGACAGTGACATTTGTAAAAATCAACGTCAATTGTAAAATGTCAGCTGTCATTTGTTAAAGTTAACTGCCAGTTGTCAAAAAATGCGGAGCATCATTGAGTTAGACGCGATGCGTAAGCTAATGGTATAAGGCTAAGTTCAGATGACCGCGCGTAGCCGCGCGTCGCCGCGCGGTTGGAGCATTCACATGACGGTATATGTACGCGCGGCAGTGTGGCTTCAACATTGATTGACAATGGACGTGGAGGAGGCAATTTGCTTATGAATTTTATATAGAAGACTGAGACGTCGCAGAAGAAGACAAAGACGATACTGGGTGCATCCAATTTTAAGTGACAGACTTCTTTCCAGCCTGTTTGTCACTTTGTATCCCGACTTGAGGTTACACAAAGATATTTTTTTTAACTATTTCCGGATGTCAGTTGCATCCTTTGATTTTTTATACGATTCTATTGAAAATGATTTAAAATCCAGTGAAGATGCTATACCCAACCAATGCACCAAATACTTAATACCATATCTACGGTACTAATTTTACATCGATCTATGTGTCTTTCCGTCTCAAGCCGCGCGGATCAACTGAACAGGTCGATACACGCTTGCAAAACTTGTGCCGCGCGCGGCCGCGTGGAAGCGCGCGGGACAAGATCTTGCGCGCGGGTCGGAGCGCGCCGCGCGTTGGCGCGCGGTACCGCGCGGTAATGTAGACGATAATTACCGTTTATATTGATCTTGTACCGCGCGGTTCGTAGTTCCGAGCGGTACCGCGCGGTCATCTGAACTTAGCCTAAATCTCTATCCGATCGCAAATTTGATTTTGCCTAACTGAAACATCTTTATATATATTATGATAACTAGCCGTTTCCCGCCCGCTTCGCTGGGCGAATTAAAGTAGGAAATAAATAAAATTTTATGTTTCATTATTATTATTTATTTCATATTTTTATTATTCTTCTTTTTAACTTCCCGCTAAAAAAATTGAAAATTCTCGAAAATCGAGTTTTTAACAGATGTTGACGATTTGAGGTTCTAGGAAGCCTCCCCGAATGTTTCCACGGTGAAGTCCGTGTGTATAAATTTTCATAAAAGTAAAACAGCAATAAAAAAACGTTGGAATTTAATTTAATTTAGCATCGAATGGCAGTAGTTTCATGTCGATACGATCAGTGGTTTAGGCGTGAAGGAGCCTCAAACGAAGACCATTTTTCTTATATATATATATATATATATATATATATATATATATATACGATAATACTTTAAGCTTATTTACTTGATATGTTAAAAAAAAAAACAACTTACCTATACATATGCTCCGTATGCAGCAAGGACCCAAGCACCAACGAATTGAGGTAAATAGGCTTGATGAGTTGCGATAAAAGTGCCCCCTGTAGGCCGGTGACACACCAGCGCGCCACTTTATCCGAGCACGACATTGTTAGGAGACGCTCGCCCTATAAAAATAACATTTGATATAAATTCCTTTTTAACAAAAAAAATAACCGATACCTAACTGCACTCACTAAAATGTACTTTAATATGATAGACTACACCAGCCTACGGAACATACATAAAAGGCAGTCACAGCCAATTGACATAGTATGAGTGCGTTGCCGGCCTTTATATTTATTGTTATTCTAATATAATAATCATGCAGTGGCGCTACAACCATCAGATCTTGCCCTCAGATTGCAAAGATCATCCATCTGTCTGACACATAAAAGGCTACGTGGGTGACTGACCTCGGCTGTCTGTCGCGCCTAGTCTGTCTGACACATTTGAGACATGCTGGTCCTTCGGTCCGGAGACATTCTTGTGAGGGTAAGATGCGCACAGAAAATTCAATGATGCACAGGCATCGATCGAACCTAATAAAGAATTACCTGTAAAACTCCATCCCAAGTTTGTATGAACGCAGACTTCTTCACTGGTATTGTCCCTTCACCGGACTCTATCTTGCTACGAAGCTGCCCTCGAGAGAATCTAAAATCACACATAAAATGATGGAGCTTATTTTATTCCGGTAAATGTATAAAATATATGGAACTAAGAACTCTGTCACATGTCTTCAAAACTGTCATAACGAACACATTTTTATTTTGACCCGAATTAGGTTTGGTCGCAGATGATATGTTCAGTTATTTGTTAAATGAAATGCTTTGCTTGAAGCTGGTAATAACTGACTTTAATGATTTAAAATATGAGCTTATATCTAAGATAAAATTAGGGGTAGTAGGATTGCGACGCTAACGAAAAATAATAAATTGTGCGTGTACTAGGTGTACACACGTAAGAAGTGAAACTTCTTTATGATCTTATTTTTCGAAAAATGATCTACTATATGCAACTTTACAGAAATTCGTTAAATTAGATAAAGTTTAACAAAAGGCTTTTATTATCATAGACATGAATACAAATATTTCATTTTACCTTATTACTACGAAGATTATTATAGAATTTCATTAATTGTAATAGAATTATTACTATCATTGAAAAACGTGACGATTTCCTACAAAATATCTCCCATACGTCGATAAAGAAGTTTCATTCCAACGCCGATAAAGATGTTTGACTTCAAAAAGCAACATGGCGCGTAACCGAAAAATGTGACGCGTAACGAAAAAATGTTACACTAAATTTTTTTCCAACCTCGATAAAGAAGTTTCACTTCAAAAACTTGACTTATCTAAGGGTTCATAAATCTAAGTGACACTTCAATAAAAGTCAGCCTTTTTAAACATTATCGGAAACAAGAATATAGTATTACAATGTATGTATGTACTGGCTTATTTTGGCTTTAAGTGTGTGATTTTTGTTTACGCTTCTAATTATTAACTAAATTGTTAAGTTACATGCATTGATATACAAAAAACCCAAGATGCACACTCAACGTCAAAAAAACGTCCTCAAAAAATGAGCGCAACATTCTAAATTGTGCGCTCATTTCAAATAGTCTCGCGTCTATAAGTGGAGTCGATGTTATTTATTTGTGTTTTTTTTATAAATAAATTTATGTACTCTTGAACTTTTTTGTGTGTAGTTTTTGACAAATATATTTACGCTATATAAAGTGTGGGTCAGGAGGTAGCCAATTTAACATTTTTTTTTTTAATTTAAAGAAAAAACTTTTTAACCGGATTAATGTTATGTATTATTATAAATTTACAACTATTTAACATCCAACACCTTTTGTCTTCAGTCACCGTGACCACTCACGCTGTAAAGCACCCGAAAAGTCGGATAAATTTAAAATTATGTTAAATAGTTGTAAATAAAAAAGTCATGTTCGACTCCACTCAATACCTTGTCCTACCGACCACGGTCGGTCGTAAAATTTTATTGCTTTAAGTACACTGCGTTGTAATAACAACTATAAGCAATTCGCGTAAGGTTGATTTTGCAATAATATATGCTTGTAACATATACTGTTATGGACAGAAATAGTGTTTCGGGACACTTTCGAGCGTTACTTTTATTCGAGACTGTGCATCTTGGGTTTTTTGTATATCAATGGTTACATGTTACTTAAACAATAAGTTACATAACTCCCCGGAAAACTTTATATCACAGAACTAATATAAAATTGAAGTGGCTTTTAATCATTCTTGAAATCACTAAAAATTTCCCAAAAAAATTGTATCTGGAGTAGGCCCTTAAAACTCTCGGGCATAGAAGGCTGAATATAACTATTAGTGTGACGGAATAATAGTGTACTGTTCCTTCACCCTCAAGGGAGGATTCTCGACCAGTCCGACTGGCTCAAAGGCCCCAGTGACTAAAGTTGAGAAGTTGTATCAAAAAAAAAAACCAAATCATTTATGAACGTCAAAAAGAAATATATATTTAATGCTTCTAATTTTACATTCACCGCCAGTTTTCAAATCAAGGGCGTAGAACGGAAGAGAAGAACTGACAATAAACTCTCCGCCACACTTTTTAGTAAATATCCTTAGCGGAATGACTTCTATTCCTCTATCACGAAACAGATACAGAAATCTGAAGGAAAAGAAATAGAATAAGCAAACAAACCTGTTTGGATGTTTATCCCTTTCCGACTGCGTCTCATGAGGGCTGAATATCCTTCCATCACCACACGGCGCTGTACTTATGTATAAATGGAGTTGTCTATTCTCTTTTAATCTATATCCACCTTCCGGCAAAGGTTCTAGATCCGATTCCTCTATTGGCATTCGGGGATCTGAAAAAAAAAACATGTGTGTACTTATGTACACGCGTTAGAAGTTATACTTCTTGGCGTAACAAGTTAAAAATCTTTTCAAAAATTTTATCTTTCGCCTTTTTACGTTTGTAGAAAAACCGACACTAAGAATGAAAAAAAATACTCTCATCATTTTTCCCTAACGCGCCAAAAGAAGTATAACTTCAAAAATATAGTATTTTTAATGATAGAATTATCGGTGTATGAATTAGTAATTCTGTGAAGAATTATGTGGAAAATAAATTTTATTATTCACTAAATACTTGTAACATGAAGCATTTTCTATATTTGTACTCTAATTGGCGCACTATGTTTAATGAAATTGAGAAATTGGCTTTAAGGAGTAACCCTGCTGAAGACCAGTAATAAAACTACTTACTTTTAGAACTTGCGTACATCAACAATTGATTGTACAGATATCGCTGTAGACAACGCCGCGCGGCCACCTAAAGAGGAAATAATGTAATTTTATACAAACTTAATTTTGATGGTACTTTCAAAAATTATGATTATACAGCTATTTCTAAGATTGCATCTTTTTCTTTGATCATTTCATAGACAAGTAGAACAGACTTCTCTCTGTCACATATCGATTCAGAGAATCCTTTCCTCGCGATGTTTTCCTTCACCGTTCGAGCGAATGTTAAAGGCGCACATAGACAGAAAGTCCATTAGTGCACAGCCTACGACCTCAGGGAAGCCTAGGCCAACACTACTTTTTACGTCAAAAAGCAATAAATATAGCAATACAGTTAACGAAGTATTAGATGTATATTGTTACGATAAAAACATGGCTGGGTTATTAAAATTTTCAAACTACCGCCATATTTTTTAAACAATGCCTGTACTCTGTAAAGACGCAACCAACAATATACTTTCAGGATTCGAAATAAAACACTGTATTTTTAAGTATGATTTTGAGTTTTTATCTGTTGGGCCAACTAAGGCAACCTTATATGCTACTGAGGCCCTTGCCAATAAGTCCCATCTTTTCCTCGTAGGGCACTCAGAGCTGTTATGATCTGTATTTTCCTGCTTGTAGTAGACTTCATATGTCTGTCTCCAAGACAACTATTATTCGTATTTTTTCTTTTTTATTGTCATCTTTTTTTTTAAACTAATTTTAACATGTACCACGAAATAATTGCTTTCTAGTTACCTACAACACAGGGCCTCCCTAGTGTGGGGACTAGCGATTTATGATTTCTGTCACAAACCCTTCTGTCATTAATAAAGTTTTTATTATTATTATTATAATATGTCACGGAGCTTTATTTCGTCGGAGACTGTTTTTTATCGATATATGTATTTAACAATGATAATTATCAATTATAATAATATTATTAATTATTAAAGTGAAACTTTTATTACAACGTCTCAAACTTCGTCTATGTGTAGCATGTCGCGTGACGGTCGGCTGCGGAGTAGGAATAAAGTGAAAGGCGCTCGTCATAGCAGCCAAGGCCAATATGACGGCGCCTATAGTTCGCAGCAGATGACCGTGTAGTGTATAGACTATTATTTAATATTTGTATATAACCTAAATAATTGTTAAGTATTATGTATGTCGTACTCTCTAAGAGACAGAGTTGGAGACTTAGTCTACTTTTATTATTTCCCATTTCATTCAAATTTGATAAAGAGATTTTTTGAGTTAAATGTCTATAATTATTTTTTTCCATACGCCAAAGAAGTATAACTTCTAACGCGTGTACATAAGTACACACACTCTTTTTTGCGTTAAAATATAATTTAAGTTAAATATTCAAAAGCCACAATAATAAAATAACAAATTATATAGGATATTTTAAATGGTAATCTTGTCAAATATTTATATTTTAATAATTACATAATTATTTCATCAAAAATGCGCCATCTATGTTAAACATCAGGTAACTTGATACATATCAACGCCATCTGTTTCCAAATATTGTAACTATGTAATTGTATACTAGGAAGACATGACAGTTACAGAGTAAAGCCGAATTTACATTACGAAACTAGTGTTATGCATGTTGGAATGAGTTTCATGAAAATAGTTGCAGCACGTGTGAAACTACTTTAACAAAAAATAATAGTGTCGTGAAATAAACAGTATCACCAACGACATGGCTCTGTCAACATCAAAGCTTCATTTTGCGATGCAGAACGTCGTGGTACAGATGTTAATATATAAAATTCGAAAATTATATTTTTATCAACTGACCAACGTTGGTTTGCCATTTTGGCGGTCATTTAGCTGCACGATGCACTCAAACACACACGTCTGCCCTGTGCAAATGCTTTCGCGACACTAGTTTCGTGTCGCGTTTTCATCGTGAAAGTAGTTGCGTGACATTAGTTTTACAAAAAATATGCGCATGGCACGAAATTTATCCAGTGTCGCGAAACCGATGCATGCATTATGAAACTGTAAATTTACACGTGAAATTGTTGATGAAATTTATGTCATAAAACTAATTCCGAGCCACTAGTTTCGTAATGTAAATTCGGCTTAAGGACACTAGACAACTGACCTCTGCGTGACAATCGTTGACAGCTCTTCCACTGACCGACATATATTCGCCCGAAACACATTTAGTCCCGGTAGATACTGCTATAATCTGAAAATATATGATTTGACAATTGACATTGTACATTGAAGAAGCTTACATTTAATTACGTTAATTACGTAACTCTAGTGTTTAACAAAAATGTCTGAATTAGAAACCAAAAATAATTTAGCCTACCAAAACAGTAATTTACATCTTAATATATATAAATTACGTGTCACGTTGTTTGTCCGCTATGGACTCCTAAACTACTGAACCGATATCAATCAAATTTGCACCGTGTGCAGTTTGATCTAACTTAAAAGATAGGGCAGCTTACATCTTCATTTATACCCGCAATATTATTTTATTGCAAAATATTTATTTATTATTTAATAGTCACAATTCTAACAGATGTGTTGAAAGTACCAACATTTCACATAAGCTACAATTTAATGGCATAACCACCAATAAAGCATGGTGGTCCCCATGACCTGTGTTCTCCTACCGTTTTCCATGAATAGTTTAGTACTATGTAATATAACAAAACCTTAGCCACAGCAACGCTTGGCCGGTCTGCTAGTTAAACAATATAATATATATTATATCGAATAATTCAAACAATATTACATATACAAACAAAAAATAATTGTTTGCATTTGGCTCTAAAACAGGACTGATTCATAAAATCACCATAAGAACAAATAAAAAATAGAAAACTAATACTAGATAGGTGAATTACTGTAATTAATGTAAAAAATAAATATCGTTTCTACTTATATAATTGTTTTTCACTGTCCGAATCACGTGAAATGGTGGTGAAAATTTAATTTTCCTTACCTTCGACTTTTCGATACCTTCGCCTACGGTCATGACAATTCCAGCCAAGACTTTTCGCTTGGAATGCGCCGGATCATTCCGCATAAGTTCGGTGAATTTCTCATTTATCAATCTGAAATTACAAAATAATTTTGATAAACGGATTTAAATTGGATTCTTTCCTAAAATAGAAGAAGGGTGCGTGTACTTATGTACGCGCGTAAGAAGTTATACTTCTTTGGCATTATTAAAAATAGTTTTTGATTGCATGCAAATAATTAATTACAATTAAATAATCAAAGTCTGGAAAAGGAGTCATTATAGTCAATAAAGTTCAGTTTACATTTGAAAAATTAAATAAATAAATATTTATTATTATTTTCTTACATTAAGTGTAACATAAATTCTATTATTATTCGAATGTTGTTTTTAAACTATGTCCAATGCCGTAGCATCTTCCGTGGGCAACTTCATTCTGTTAATTTTGTGTCACGGTGCGCGCGCATCGTAAAATTTCATTCTCATCAATTTTTCATAACGCGCCTAAAGAAGTATAACTTCAATAATATTTATAAATTATCTTCGGAGCCGACAGACGAACTGTACACGTCTTAAATATAAATTATTGTAAATCTAAACCCAAAAGAAATTTCATCAAAATCAGTCCAACCGTTTAGGAGTATAAACACACGCACAACAGATTTATATATAAGAACTAGCAACCGGCAAACCTTGTTTTGCCATGTATATTATTTCTAGGAAACATTTTTTTAGTTCAATAAAAATAAATGTCTACTATAATAAAAAATAGGGGTTGATCGAAGAGGGGTGAAAATTTAGGGTTGTATGTATTTTTAGTGCCACATAAAAAAAATATCCAAAAAATTAAAAAAAAAATTGGGGTTTTTTTTTTCGATTTCGATTCTCAGACTTACTGAATATGCATAAAAATCTCATAAGAATCGGTAGAGCCGTTTCCGAGGAGTATGGGAACATTGTGACACGAGAATTTTATATATTAAAAGATTACACAACTTCAACTTTGACAGCTCTTCCACTGATCGACATATATTTGCCTGAAATACTCACGGTAGATACTGCTATAATCTTAAAGTATTTAAGATTATAAATATTCTTAATAATTTGACAATTTACATTGTCACATAAATACATACAACCCTTAATTTTTACCTCTCAATCAGCCCCTATTTTTTTTTATATATTAAAAACTATTGACTTGAACTCTGAGGTTTATATAGAGAAAAATTCACAGAAAAACCTAAAAAGTTTTCATTCCAGAAAACCGAACAGTCTGTGGGGTAGCATAACAAAATGTTCCATGATGGTATGTACTAAAAAGGTAGGCTAAGTAAAATCACATTAAGGAGAAACGAAATTCGCGGGGGCAGCTAGTATATTGTAAAATTAGAAGCATTCAATATATTCTTATTTTTAGTATTCATATTCATAAGTGTACATTGAGGGGCCTCATAGCCTAGCGGTCTTATTAAGTGGCAGCTAGGTGAGGGGTACCGGGTTCGATTCCCGGTTCGAGGGCAAGTTTTAATTTAATTTAAATTTGTTCTCGGCCTTTGGGTGGGTTGTGCGGTACCGGGCGAGTGTTAAACCGTACATGGAGGACACGGTCGAATTTCTAAAGACAAGCACGAATTATAAAAAGTCCTATACTTGACGCTGGCTAATGCACAAATCGTGCCAGAGCCATTAAAAAAAAAAAGTGTACATTGTGTTACCCCTATGAATAAATGATTTTGATGTTTTTATTGCGGCCGACTTAGGGTTGTTGAAAGAAGGAAACCAGCATGACTTAGACCCAAAAAAGTCTGATCACCTACTTGCCTATTAGGGAGCGTTCAAGTATTACGTAACGCAATTTTTGGAGATTATTGACCCCCCTCTCCCCCATGTAACTCGCCGTAACGTTTTTCAGTACCCAAGTATAGTAAAACGTTTCGTGACTACCTAGTGACTCTTTAGATACTATTATGTGGTGTAAGTCGAAAAAAATATTAACAATAACGCGTAATTTAATCCCCGCCCCGCATCGTAACTTTTACAAAAGGACCTTAGAACAATGATACATAAATCTGTGGCCCAAGCCCCAAAAGCTTCTAGCTTCTTCTAAAGAAGATTACTTACTTAGAAACATGATCGGCGATATATTGTGGGAGCGTATTGCAATACGTGGTCGGCGTTGTTATTTGCTCCGTCGGTGTTCCCAGGAGACTGGCCAACGCTGATCTCGAAGCTGCCAGCTTAGATTGCTTTTTACTAGAACCTGTGTTGTAAACACAAAATATTAAAAAAAGCTGTGTACTTATGTACGCGTTAGAAGTTATACTTCTTTGGCGTAACAAGATAAAAATCTTTTCAATATTTTATCCTACGTTTGTAGAAAAAACGACACTAACAATAGAAAGAAGGTATTTAATACATTGAAAGTTTTATTATAACGCATTATCCAGTTAAATACAGTTTATTTAAATATAACAAAAACAAATTACATAATTGAACGGACATTTTTGAAGTGAAACTTCTTTATCGAGGTTGGAAAAAAATTTAGTGTAACATTTTTTCGTTACGCGTCACATTTTTCGGTTACGCGCCATGTTGCTTTTTGAAGTCAAACTTCTTTATCGGCGTTGGAATGAAACTTCTTTATCGACGTATGGGAGAAATTTTGTAGCAAATCGTCACGTTTTTCAATGATAGTAATAATTCTATTACAATTAATGAAATTCTATAATAATCTTCGTAGTAATAAGGTAAAATGAAATATTTGTATTCATGTCTATGATAATAAAAGCCTTTTGTTAAACTTTATCTAATTTAACGAATTTCTGTAAAGTTGCATATAGTAGATCATTTTTCGAAAAATAAGATCATAAAGAAATTTCACTTCTTACATGTGTACACCTACCTAGTACACGCACAATTTATTTTATTTTAAAATGTTGACTATGCTAACTTCAGAGAGTTTGTGTTTTGTGACGGTGCGCGCGCGCATCGTAAAAATTTACTCTCATAACGCCCCAAAGGTATAACTTCAAAAGACCTTTTAGTAATAATTGTGTTCAGTTAATTTGCTGTTTAGTATCTATCTATAATATGAAATGCATATCGCACAATATATTGGTCAGTAACTTGAAGACGGCTGTACCAATTCGAGAAATTATTTATTCCTTGAACTCAAATAAAGGTTTTTCGTAGAGAGAAATTTAAGGACTATAGGAAAACCGAAAACCCAGTTATTTTACGTAGTCTAATAAAAAAATATGTTTATAGTTTTCAAATAAAAAAGTGCTTAATTTATAGAAATATTATTTATAAGACGTGTAGTGAATTGTCATTTTAAAGGCAGGCAACACACTTGCAACCCTCCCGGCAATTTCAAAGTCCATGGGCGGTATTTAACACTAGATGGGCCTCCTGCCCATTTGCTTGTTACTTTAAAAAATACTACATTATCGACTAGTCACCATTTTGTGTCAAGTGACTGAAATAAAAACATTTTGATAAATTATCTTACTCCATAACGCCATTTTCTTTGACTTTGCATAGGACTATAGACGAACAAAAATTATTTTCTATACATACCATATCCTTCGAAAATTTGCTCTTTGATCTTGCAGACTGTCTTGAAACGCATGCTATGACTTATTTGTGCTGGAACTGGAATTAAAAAAATTAATAGGCCTCATATTAGATTCAGACCTCTCGAGGTGACGGGGTTTTTGCGCTCCTATCTATTATGCATCATATTGGTAACCTATCGTGGAATATGCATAAAAGGTGTATTAAGAATATACTCTCCACATACACACCATACACACACACAACACAACATTAGGTATTACTTAGTTAAACGTATTTAATACAAATAAATAAATCAGTGACACTACAAACTTTTTAGGTCCGGGCCTCAAATATCTGTATATGTTTCATGATCATATCAATCTAATAAGCTAATAATCTAATAAGTGATCAGCCTCCTGCCCTGCGATTCTGTAACTCACTTTTCGAACTCACACAGCGGTTTTCGCATCGGCGGTCGCTCTCAAATCAGTCGTGAAGCAGTCATTTTATGATTTAGCATTCTGAAAAGGTAGCATGTAGTTTATTGTTTATTAGAATGCCAAATCATAAAATGACTGCTTCACGACTGATTTCAGAGCGACCGCCGATGCGAAAATCGCTGTGTGAGTTCGAAAAGTGAGTTACAGAATCGCAGGGCTGTGCCTGACACACGCCGACTTTTTAAGTCTAAGGCAAGCCGGTTTCCTCGCGATTTTTTCGTTCAACGTTCGAGTGAATGTTAATGCGCACATAGTAAAGTTCATTGGTGTAGCCGGGATCGAACCTACGACCTCAGGGATGAGAGTCGCACGCTGAAGCCACTAAGCTAAAAATTAACACTTTTTTATTGATTTTTCATTTCGTAAATGTTTGAAACTTTTTGTATATAGGTAATCTTTGGCTATATTTTAAGAATAATTGTTTTTTTTATATATAATAGTAGACTCGGCCAAACGTTGCTGTGGCTAAGATTTTTGTTATATTACATAGTAGTAAACTATTCAAGAGAAACGGTAGGAGAACACCAATCCACCATGCTTTTTTGGTGGTTATGCCATTAAATTGTAGCTTATGTACTTTGGTACCTTCAACACAGCGCCATCTGTTAGAATTGGACTATCAAATAATAAACAATTATTTTGCAATAAAAATATTACGGGTATAAATTGAGATGTAAGCCATCCTATCTTTTAAGTTGGATCAAACTACACACGGTGTGCAAATTTGATTGATATCGGTTTGGCAGTTTAGGATTCCATAGCGGACAAACCACGTGACACGTAATTTGTATATATTAAGATTTCGAAATAAATAAACACCACTTAATGGAACCATCTGCCAATCCAAGTATTTCCGAACCGTTACTTACGGACCTTAAAGACCGTACCTAAAAGGCAACGCAAATCACGTGGTGTTGGGCGGTTCGTATTCCACCTATCCCATAATGCTGACAATTCTGAAATCACTCACCAGTCTCCGAATCGAGTGGTGATCCGTCACCCAGAGTTGTACTAAATACAACTCCCGGGAAAGTCTCATACACAATATTCACGGGACTTTTGTGTGATGGAAGACTGTACACTGGTGTGAACAATGGGGGTGGTTCATTCACATCTGCGAATATATTTATTTATACATAAAACCCTGGAACAGGATTGCAATGGAATAAATGCATAGGTGCAATTCACACGTGGTAGAAGTGAAACCTTCAAAAATTTTGGTTTATTTTTAAATTTAATATCAATTATTAATTTGATACTTGTTTTGGCGCGTTAGGGCAAAATGATGAGAATAAATTTATACGATGCGCGCGCACACCGTCACAAAAAAAGTGTGTGTGTGTCAGCTACGACGCACGATTGGAGTTTACTCCTTACGAACGATAAAATGGCGATAATGTTCTGTGGCTGTCGACCATATACATCATCTATGCCCAAATAGGATTTTCTTTCTGTGACCAAAGTTATTTTTATAGTAAGGGAAGAATTTAATTTCACTGACCATTACTATTGACAAAACTCTATGGCACGCTAGACAATCTACTTTTATTTTTTACACCTGTCAACACTGACAATGTTGTAACGTGGCTGTCAAAACGTGAATTCAAATTAGAAAAGTCTGTGTAATGTATTCCATCTCATTCTTTTACACGTTCAATCCATTTGTCTCTTTCTACATAACGCCTCAACTTTTCGTGTTACACTTGATTTTACTCCTCATAAAATTTCCGTACCGGGCCTTATAACTCAAATCGTTTCTTAAGGAGTAAACTCCAAAAACCGACACCCTGAAGTTAGCTATAGTCAGTTTTGAAAAGATTTTTATCTTGTTACGCCAAAGAAGAATAACTTCTAACGCGTGTACATAAGTAGATACACACGTTTTGTTTTTTTTTATTTTTAAGTTTAATATTTATAAAAAGTAAAATAATTAAAGTTTGAAAGTCCATGAAACGAACAAGCGACAATGAAAAGAGACAGGCACAACTAATTTAAGTTTAAATTAGTGTAGTAAGTAGTTTTCACTTTAAATAGTTTTTATAATTATAAATGGTATGTATATAAAACTGATAAACTGCATCTAATTGTATAATTTGCAAATGTTTTTTTTAAATTTATAAAATGATCAAATACACACTAATTTAAACTTTATACACTGTATAATGCTTTAAATCTTATGAATTAATGTGGTTGTCTCATTTTACTATCGCTTTCTCGTTTTATCAACTTTCAAATCACAACGATGCTAAAGAAGTTTCCAACTAAAAAAGGGTGCGTGTACTTATGTACGCGCGTAAGAAGTTATACTTCTTTGGCATTATTAAAAATAGTTTTTGATTGCATGCAAATAATTAATTACAATTAAATAATCAAAGACTGGGAAAGGAGTCATTATAGTCAATAAAGTTCAGTTTACATTTGAAAAATTAAATAAATAAATATTTATTATTATTCTCTTACATTAAGTGTAACATAAATTCTATTATTATTCGAATGTTGTTTTTAAATTATGTCCAATGCCGTAGCATCTTCCGTGGGCAACTTCATTCTGTTAATTTTGTGTGACGGTGCGCGCGCATCGTAAAATTTCACTCTCATCAATTTTCATAACGCGCCTAAAGAAGTATAACTTCAATCCTATCAGCTTTCATTGCCTAACGCACGCCGTCGACTTCATGGGTCTAATGCATGCCGGTTTCCTTACGATGTTTTCCTTCACACTATCGATTATAATAATAATAATTTATTTATTGCAAGAATATGTTACTAAAATGTATGGATAACTCCATTAGTGAACAGTAACACTTCATTTGGGGCTCCATCATTCTTAATTATCCTTATATTTCGTTTAAGGCTGCAACCTGTAAAATATGAACTTACCATGGGTTTCCTTAACCGGCAATGGTACCAGTGTCTCCTGCAAAACGCTTGTCTCCGCAACTTTGCTGGGTTTTAGTGGGAGCTGGAATTTTGGCACTGAAATTAAAGAAACAAAAGTTATAAAGCGGCTTGACGGCTCATTGGTCTAGTGGTTAGTACCACTGACTGCGAATCCATGGGTCCCGGGTTCGATCCCCGGCTGAGACAAACATCGATGTGATGAGCATTTGGTGTTGTGCTTAGGTCTTGGGTGTTTAAATATGTATTTATATGTCTATCTATCTATAATATGAATGTATATCCGTTGCCTATTACCCATAACACAAGCTTCACCAGCTTAGCATGGGACTAGGTCAATTGGTATGAATTGTCCAATAAAAAAAATAAAAATAAAAAACAAAATCAAAAAGTTATCTATTTTAATCAATTATTTATCAACGCGACACACGTAGATACGTCCACCAACGTATACGCAACGCACATGTATCGCGGCCTCTATCTAATGAGGCATTCCTTTCCGAGAATAAGTGATCTCTTCTCGATAAAAAAAGCCCGTTAGAGGCTTCGACACGTATTAACGGATCCAGATTTAATAACATTTGCTAACGACAACTATAACTTCTAAAAAACCTGCCAGCCTGCCTAATGGCCAGCTCTTGAGGTCTCTAGAGGGCCACCAGCTGATTAGCGATTATCAGTACGGCGTCGTGGTGGTTCAGCTGGTGGGCTTCTTGTATACCTTATACATAGGTGGGCAAAGGCAATTGAGGCCAAGGGGGAAGTGCTAGCGGTTAGTTTGGATATAGCGAAAGCTTTCGATCGGGTGTGGCATAAAGCTTCTATCGAAGTCTTCAGCCTACATATTTTTAAGTCGAATGTAGAAGTTGAAGTAAGAAGTAGACATGGGAAGAATTTGGCTGTGCCAAAAATCAATCTGGAACTGTTTCGGAAAAACAGCTTTTATATGGCAATTAAAGTCTACAATAAATTACCAAAAGAATTAAAAGATCTTCCGTCTAGATTCTTTAAAAAGCGACTTAGTGAATTGCTTTTGGATAAAGTTTACTATTCAATAAATGATTATTTGCATGAAACACCGTAAATGATATAAAGTTAATGATGAAATGTATATAATATAATAGGCTGGATAATATAGGAATTGGCTTTGAATAATATTGTAAAATTCTTTGGGACGAATTTGCGCGCCATCGTGTGTGGCAGAATATGCGAACGATTTATGATTGTATCACCTTAGCATTTGTACCATATTCTTGCAATAAATAAATTATTATTATTATTATTATTACGGACTTTCCGAGAAATTATGCGATTAGATCTCCAGCTCCCGATCGGAGCATTAAGGTCGTCATCGATGGAGTATGTTCCGACCTTAAACCCGTGAACGCTGGGGTCCCACAAGGCTGTGTCCTATCCCCAGCTCTGTTTCTTCTGCATATCAATGATATGTTGCATCTTATCAATAATTAGTGCTTCATTGAAAAAAAAAAAACTTAAAAAATGCCTCAAAAACTCACCAGCTGCGTGTACAACTTGATCATTGCTAAAATCAATATCATTATTTTTCGGCATTATCTGTCCGGCATTCGCCAGCAGTGTATTAAGACAGACCTTTGCCGCATTGGCTCTTGCGTCTCGCTTGCTTGTGCCGTGGCCTTTAAATGTCATATCAGCCGCCTAGAATATAAAACCTTTCTTAAAAAAATTCTAATTTGCCTCTGCAATTAAACTTTCTTAGAAGTGTGGCCTTTAAACGCCATATAAGCCGTCCAGAATATAAAACCTCTCTTAAAAAATGTCTAATTTGCCCTTGCAAGGTAAACTTTCATAGAAATGTGGTCTTTAAATGTCATATCAGCCGCCTAGGATATAAAACCTCTCTTAATAATGTCTAATCTTTGGCCCTGCTTAACTTACTTAGAACTGGGGTCCTTAAATGTCATAGCCGTCTCAAATACGAAATTTACAAAGATTTTGTATTTGACATTATTTAATACAAAACCTCTCTAGAAATCACAAAAAATATTAGCCCCAAAGGAGACATTGTAAAAGTTTACAGTACAATGTAAACCTTCTTAAAACAGAGCCCTTTAAATGTCATAGCTGTTTCAAATAAAAAATCTTGAAGGAGGAAATCTAAAAACTCTCATGTGCCCCTATAATGTGAACATTATTAAATACAAAATCTAGAAATGTCTATGCAGTACACATATAGATTGTAATGTTATAGTATACTAGCTGAAGGAGCATCAAGTATTACGTCACGCAATGTTTGGACATTATTGACCCCCCCATGTAACGCACCGTAACGCTTTTGTGCACCCAATAGTAAAACGTTTCGTGACCAACCAGTGACTCTTTATACCTAAAAGTTACCATTATGTGGTATTAAGTACTGGAAAGTCGAAAATAATATTAACAATAACGCGTAATTCAATCGCCGCCGCGCATCGTAACCTTTTACAAATAGACCCCCCCACCCCACCCCACTTCCCAAAATTCGTTACGTAATACTTGAATGCTCCCTGACCTGGCAAACGTTTGTTTTGCCATGTATATTATTTCTTGTAAACATTGTTTTAGTTCAATAAAAATAACTATCTACAATAATAAAAAATTGGGGTTGATCGTAGAGGAGTGAGAATTAGGGATTGTATGTATTTTTTGTATGCTGTTTCATAAAAAAATTAAAATTAAAATTTGGGGTGGACACCCCTTATCACTTAGGGGTTTGAAGTATAGATACGAGCCGATTCTCAGACCTACTGAATATGCATATAAAATTTGATAAAAATCGGTCAAGCCGTTTCGGAGGAGTATGGTATCTAGCATTGTGACACGAGAATTTTATATATAAGATATAGAGATAGAGTTTATCCAATTTTAATGTTATCTGTTGAAAATAAAAATATCTTTAAAATTTCTTAAAGTGACATAAAAATATCTTATCAGGCATTGAAATCTCTCTTAATAACGAGAAGCAGACAGAATACCTGTGTTTAGGTAAGTTTATAAGTTATTACTTGTCATTAATAATAAGATTAACTTGATTTTGTTCTGTATTATCTAAATTATTATTATCAATAACGCCAGCGATTGCAATTTGTTTTTGAAGTGAAACTTCTTTAGGCGCGTGAGGGTAATTTTTTTACGGGTGATACGCAATAATAAAAATATTAGCGTCACGAAGATGTGCAGCGTTTTTGTCGAAGAAAAGGGAGAGAGCGATTGAAAGAGAGGGAGAAGGGCGAATTACATTATAGAAATTATATTTTTAAAATTAAAATTTCGTAAAGGGAATTTATGAAATATTAGTATTTTATATTTTATGCAAAATAATTTATTGAAATCTCAAATGACGTGTTTTTATTATCGAAGAAAAAAAATAAAAAAAATAAAATTTATAATTTGTATTAATTTTCGACACTTAATATTTTAATGACAATACAATTCATTAAATTCCTAACATATCTTCCGTTTTCCCTCCCTCTAAGTCTCGGAAATCTAAAGTTGTAGATTTGTATAAATATGAACAAGACTTAAAAAATATTTTGCCAAAGAAGTTTCACTTCTGAAATTTATTTTGTACACACGAACTTTTTTATTAATTAATTGGAAATTTAGTTGCATTGTCTCATATTTTATGTTCTATGTTAGTTTCTGTTACAAATGTTTTTTTTTTAATTCTTTTTTTTTAATAGTTATTTTTTCTTTTGGTTCAGTGTATATAGCCGCCAATACAAGAAAGAAGTGGACCCACACTTATAGCTGAATTGGGCCTGTGTAAGTGATTGTGTTTGTTTCTTTTATATGTGTGAGTGTGCTTTAATTAAAAAAACGCTTTTTTTTTAATTTTCTTAATTCCTGTGTCTTATTGCTATAAAGACATGACATTTTAAAACCACTGAAACATTTGAAGTCTTTAAACGTTAATTTTTTTTTCCTTTATGGCTCTGGCACGGTTTGTGCATTAGCCAGCGTCAAGTAGGTATAAGATTTTTATAAGTCGCTGTTTTAATTATTTACAGTTCATGAATAATAAAAAACGAAGGAAACTAATCGCGACATAACATAGATGATTGAAAACGCATTAAATTTACAACAAAATCAGAATAGTTACATGAGGGGAAAAATAAATCAAAATTATAGTTTAATGTTATTATTTACAATAAATATACTTATAATACTATATACAAGGGGATTTAAATCTCGAAGAAGTAAAGAAATATTGGTAGGAAGGGGAACAGAGAGAGATACTAAAGAAGTGTATAAGGAAGAATGGTCATATTTAGGACAAGAAAAGAAAACATGATTCAGGTCAGAATAGCTCTCGCCACTCTCACAGATAAAACGTTACTTGTGCAGAGACAATTAAATGTCAAAATCTCTAGTCTATGCTTGTTACCATAATACTTACAGTAACTGCCACAGTAAAGCTGGGACAGTGCGGTGGGCCTCTATAGTCGAGCACAGTGTATGTTACTTTGATACCCAGCTCATTGAGGGCTGATACAGGTGACTTCGCACCTGATGACACAGATTCCGCTGCTCTCGTTAACACCTGCAAATAATTATCGATTAATTAAACATTCATAGGGATTTAAAAAAAAATGTGGCCTTCTATAACAGGCGTTCAAGTCAAATCGAGTGTACTCCTCCCTCCAAGGCCGGCAACGCACCCACTAAAAATGGGTGTCTATGGGCGGCGAAGACTGCCAACTGCCTCAAGAATATCCAAAATTTGCGTTGCGTAATACTTGAACGCTCCCTTTTTAGAGTAATTTAAATTATAAGGACAACGATTTTTTTTTAGTGGAGGCAAACTGGCAGGAGGATCACTTTATGTTAAGTGATGGACACTCACATTGCCTGAAGGCTCGCAAGTGCGTTGCCGGCCTTTTAAGAATTGGTACGCTCTTTTCTTGAAGGACCCTAAGTCGTATTAGTTCGGAAATACTTCAGTTTTACGCCTTAAGATTCAAGAACAAATACTGAAATGTAATGTATGAAAGTTTCTTACTTGGTAATTAATAGTAAAGCCAACTTGTATCCTCTTAGCTGGAGGTCCTTCACTGCCATCTCCATATCCTGAAAGTAAAAAAATTGCACAGAAACATTTATATATAGCAACTAGCTGACCGGGCAAACCGGGCGTTTTGCCATGTATATCATTTATAATAAAAAAATAGGGGTTGATCGTAGAGGGGTGAAAGTTAGGGGTTGTATGTATTTTTTAATGCTGTATCATAAAATATCTAAAAATAAAAAATAAATATTTAGGTGTGGACTACCCTTAACATTTAGGAGGATGAAAAATAGATGTTGTCCGATTCTCAGACATATCCAATATGCACACAAAATTTCATGAGAATCGGTCAAGCCGTTTCGGAGGAGTTTAACTACAAACACCGCGACATGAGAATTTTATATATTAGATTTTCCTTGCACCGACTATTAGCAGTTACACAATGCAAAAAACTAAGAAATAACAACTATGAATAAATAGAAGTCATTTAACAAATAACTTATAAAGTCTACCTTAAAGTAATTCAAACCTCTTTGGTCAAAACACAATTATACATAACAAGCTATAATTAGCAGGCTTAATCACAGGAATACATGATAAGACCCCTTATAACTCCTGATGGAGAAATGGTCCAGTATTCTGTCAGAATGGTGGCGTGGTAAAGGACCACCACATAAGCCAAGGAATAACATTTACAATCATAATGGGAAATTTATAGCTGCGGGCAATAAATGTGAATGGAGTGGGGGATGTCTTTGATAAGTAAGAAACAACCGCTTTTAACTTCACCGAGATAAGGAGAAAGTGTTTAGTAATTTGAAAGAATGGTGTCCTACAGAAAAGGTGGTAGAGGATGACCACATAAGCCAAGGAATGACATTAACAAACAAAGCCAATTGACACAATGATATAATTAATTTTAATACTTAAGTAAATATTGTATTCGAATAAAATACTTTTATTATTATTTAAAGAAACAACCATATTGTTTAACTAAATGAATGGGTTCTATAAAACCTTGGCAAATACAGGAATCCAAGCAGGCCAATCTCCGGGCTAAGCAAATTTTAAACAAAACTATGGATTAGTATAAATATTTACCATTGGCCATGTTGTCAGGATGTTATAATCCAATTCTATATAATATAGTGTGAGAATCCACAAACACAAATTCAATGTCCACACCAGTAACACGACTTGTTCCAATGTGTGATTAAGACAACTGACGTATGTAGTTTTTAAAACTACCCTCATTATAAAAAATTCTTAATTCAAATTTTTATAATGCACACACGTTTTTACGAAACTTAAAAATAAAGCATCTGTTCTCTTTGATTTTTCACTAGACAATATACGTCCTGTAATTGCAAGTAATTTTTTTTTTTTTCATACAAGTTACAAGTACAAAATTGTCACTCCATATACTAAGATTAAATACCAGCCATAGCTCATTCTTTATGTATAAATAGACTTTCAACTTTAATAAATAGGTACTCACTATTCCTCTCCCGTTTTGTGGTTCTCTTCATATCTGGTGATGGTTTACCATTTATCTAAAAAAATAAAAACAAATTTAATCCAGGTCGCATCAATTCCCAGCAAAAGCATTGTTTTAGATTAAACAGTACAAGAGGCCGATCACCTACTTAATTATCCAATTAATTAATTATCTAATTATATGTCAGGTTATAGGAATTTAGAAGTTTTTTATGGCATTTTGAATGTAAAAGAAAAGGCGAACCAATATAATCCAATTGTTATTTATTTATATAGGTGTTTATTATGGAACATAAGATACATGTATCACTTATGCCAGTCAGGAATAAAAAGTCATGCTTCAAAATTAATTATATATATCCCCAGGTCTACATGGAAATTGTAAGGAACTGCAACCATTTTATTATATTCCTCATCATATGTTAGAGAAAGCCAAACTTTCATCTCTATTAGTAAGGCACAAATATGAGCATGTCATGGGAATAACACGCAAACACATTGTATCAAGGCACCCGTGCACGTGTAGGAGTCATAGTCAGCTATCCGCCCCTCGCCATATTGTAAGGAGAGAGACAACAATGATGCATGTAAAATTATTTAAGTAGTCTTGGTGTCCCACTGGATTTTTTAATTTTATACATATTATATATGAGTTCTCATAGCAATTAATATATTTACTTACGTTGCTGATAGGACCTTTGCTGGAACACACGATAATCATATTAGAAAACTTTAATATACCATTAAAACAACTTTCTAAATTTAGCAGGATAGTTGATTATACATCATTGGAAAATCAATAGAATGCTTTGGCAGAAAGTGTATTTTATCAAATTCCGATTATGCACCTGCGTATACAGACATAGTCATTCAAAGAAAGACATATCTGTGCCCTATATAATTTCTATATTTATTAAGAGTGATAAGGATATATTATTCTTTTGAACTATGCATGAAATAAATCTAAGAATAAATTATGTTAATTTTTTATTTTTTATAAATTCCCTTTTCTTCTTCTGTAACTTCAGGATTGAAGATCTACATTTACCTTAAACAAAATAAAAGAATAGAGTACCTATCTCACATTTTAATTTAAGACATATTGTGGTGAAGGGACATAAGATAAAATCATGGAAAAACAATATTGTTTTGCCATAATGCGGCTTTTTAGGTAGTGCCCATAGGTTATAATAAGATTATAACTGCTTAAAAACGTTCTATGTATTAAAGTAATTTAATTTTAATTGATAAACTATACCAAAACTATTTCTATACTTACTCTTAATTATTTCAAATCACTAGTCAGTAGTCACTACTACTTGATTTTATCAGTATAACACCCGTGATGTAAACAATTAATAACACAGGTTAACAACAGCTGTGGCAATAAACACAACCACAGCTCAAAAATTATACCTACCAAAACTGACGCATTCTTGTTGGCTAACTTGTTGTTCACAAGTTCACAACCTGAAGCCAGGCAGTTATCGTAAAATTATCGTATATGTATGTGATCCATATACGATAAATTATCGTACAGTCAGGAAAATGGCTAAAAATACTTTAAATCATATGAAACGTGAAAATAAAATGTTGCAAACGATTATTAGTTTAAATCTTGTAAACTTGTGTTTTTCAAATTGAAAAAAATTATAATAATTAAATTTAAATGTTCGAATGGCACAGACCCGAGCTGGGCCCTCGTCCACTTCGAGTGTGATTAAGGCGCCAACATTTCAAATTTATAAAGAACAAAATAATGTTAAAGGATAGAGACACATGAAAACAAGCATATTTTTAAAAGTTTAACTGAATATATTTGCGAGAACAGAATACACAAATATTAATAAAACTTAACGTTTTATATACAACTTTAAATCTCTTCCGTCAAAGAGGAACAAAAATACGCAATATTTTCTCGTTTAACAATATGGTGTTCGCTCTAAGTGATATACCTATTGTCCGTAAACATCGTATATTATTTTTATCACTTAAAATTCGTTAGGTATTAAAATGCTATCGAAGACTTCCGAATCAGCGTCACCATACAAATCGTGAATTTTTTGGCTGTGCATTCTGATGCGTTTTTGTGTTTGTACATTAACGCTTTGTTCATCCGCTGTAGTCGCCTTGTGGCAGCATATGTTCCTAATAGAAAAATAGCCAACTGGCATTTTTCTATTAGAATGAAAATGATGGAACTGACACTAAAAACTGTAATTGTTATTGGGCTATCTGTGTAATCATCAAATTTTTTTTCAGAATGGAAATTATCGTACAATCTGCGTACGATAGTCGTGTACCATCGTACATCGTATGTAGTTATGAGATTATCGCACATGTACGTAGTTATGATTCTTTGAGTTGACTAATACATATTATTGACTTACATACATATTTTTATTTGTGACAAAGTTCATCAAAGTTCTTGAATAATTTACGCGTCTTTTAGTTGCTAACACAGTCGGACTGCAACTCAGTAATATTGAGAGAGAAAATGTTGAATAAACTTGTGACAATTTAGAGAAAAGCTGATATAAGATTTAAAAAGTTAATGGTAACATAATTTAAGAATCATAAAAGATTTAAAAAGTGGCATGCAAGTGGGGCATGGCACAAAAAAGGTTGGGAAACACTGCATTACAGGCATGCATTGCGATAATTATCAATATACATTAAATATAATAATATGATGGTACAATTTGATTTTCTTCGTATATTCTGCCACACACAATGGCGCGCAAATTTATTTTATGTTTTTATATGAGACAATGTTGGAAAATTTCACCTTTGAGCGCCGGGTTTTCGTTAAATTAAATGTAGGTATTATTTCTTCATTTAATTATATCTTCTCATAATAAAACCGGTTATTTATATTTAAACATACTTACTTTAATAATAATAGCCTTTAAATATAGCCTTTTTTATTTCCTTTAATTCCAATTCATTTATTGCTAGTAAGTAGTAGTGTTGTCGCAACACTTTCTAGATGATCTTTGTTAATAGTCTGCCAGTGTTTTCCTGCTATTTCTATCTAGTCAACAACCCACCTTCTTTTTTGCCTGTCCACTTTTTTTTCCCAGGTGATACGTAAACATACTTTAGGGGAATTTTTATATGAGTCACTACAGTAGCCTTAACGTTTACCATATGTGTCGAAACGAAATATTTCAAGTTAAAATTATATGATTTTCAGTATCAGTTATTAACTAGTGAATATATTAAACATAGTAAGTAATTTTTTTTTGTAGGTTTAACTTAATGATTTATTTTCTTCGGTTACCTATTGTAATTTAAGAAATAATCTACGAATAAATTTCATAGCTTTTGCCAGCTCTGAGTCGTCTTGTTGTCAGCTCAACAAAGTGTGAAATCTAAATTTTTTCTTACTTTGTAACATTTCACCACGCGATCAGCCGTTGAAATCACGGTCCTGTATGGCCACGAATGATGTGGAATGGACCTTGGCACAGCAAGGGCCATTCACATTGGCCAATTCGCCCTGATCTGTGAAGCTGGGGGAGGTCGGGTACAATGCTTGCAGGGATGCGTCGGTGTCCCTTCTTTTGGGCACATGAACCCATGTTCTCCCGCTGAAGCGTCTGCGTGACCAGGTTTACACAAGGCGTTGCACGGTGCAACGGCGACGCGGATAAGCTGCGGGATCGACCTCCCTGGCCTTCTCCGCCTCTTCTTTATGGTGCATGACTGCTTCGCAGAGTCTCTGGAGGATTTCCCAAATGCCGTCACTGTCCGTGCTTGTAACTGCTACTCTCAACTGCTACTGTCAATGTTATCGACAGTATCGTCCTCACCCTGTAGCACACGCAGTAGAGCCCTCCTTTCCACCTCCAATGCTAGGTGCGAGACACCACCTCGCCAACGAAAAACAAAGTAAGTTTTATCCGTTACTATTTTTTTTAATGTTTTTCGAATTTCTTAACAATTTAACTCTCAAAAACTTATGTTGTACCTATTTTATTACTATTTGTAGAACATAAAATTGTAGTGATTATAAATAATATTTATTTTAGGATTATGTCTCCAGATCTCTATCCTATATCCCCAGCCTCTTCTTCCAGGGTCGCACACAGAAGCCAAGACAATAAGGGTGCGGCCACCGAAATAATTTTTGTTACACAACAACTTATTCTTTGTATAGTGGGGTATCGGTACAATAGGTGCAAATTTAAATAAAAAAAACATATATTTCGCTTATTGTTCACGCCTCCCAATATAATATTTACATTTGTGGTTTAATATTACTTTGTCTGTCTTGAATTTAGGGTGATGCCACCGAAGCTACGTCCGTTCCTTTCCTTTCCCTAAATAAGCAAGCTGAAGCAAACTGGTTTTACATATTTAGGAAAATATAATCTACGTATATAAAACTGGAGAACATTTTTTTATTCGGTCAAAATTACGTTGAAAAATGAAGGCTGAAGCTTCGTAAAAAGGTTTCGCAAATAGACCGGGGGTCGGCGAGACCTGTGTACTTCTCGTTCTGCTGGTAATATAGGTACATATTTGATTGTTATATTTTATTTGGTTCTGGTTAATGTTGACTACTTGCCTTGTTTCATTCAGAATATTATTCTATAGATTTGGTGATGCCACGCCTAATGGACTGAATCGGTGTGAACTATGCAGATACTGTTCCCAATCCCAAATTGCGGGGAAGATTGAATTTTGCCCAGAAAGATTTCGTCTAAGGAAAACCATTTGGAAACGCGAAGAATGAAATGTTAACTCATGTTTTATTGTTTTGGTAGCTGCAATCTATTTTGAAGTGAAACTTCTTTTCCGAGGTTGGAAAAAATTTTTTTTTTCCTTTTTTTCTCTCCCCCCCCCCCCTTCCCTTCCCCCCCCCCTTTTTTTTTGGGGGCCCCCCCCCCCCCCCCGGGGGGGAGACCCCCCCCCCCCCCCGCGTGGGGGGGTTTTTTTCCCCCCCCCCCCCCCCCCCCCCTCTTTTTTTTTTTTCCCCCCCCCTTTTTTTTTTTCTTTCCTCTCCCCCCTGTTAAGTAAAAAAATTTTTTTTTTTTTTTTTCTCTCTTTTCCCCCCCTCCCCCTTTCCCCCCCTTCCCCCCCCCCCCCCTCTTCCCTTCCCTTTGTTTTTTTTTTTTTCTTTTTTTTTTTTCCATTTTTTTTCTTTTTTTTCTTCCTTTCCCTCTTTTTTCCCCCCCTTTTTTTATTTTTAATAATATCGTATAGTATCAATTTAATTCTTGAAACCCATACTCATAAAACTGAATTCTATCACTCCTCCTTTACTGTGGAAAGTATCCTGCTTTCCTTACCAATTGATATCAGACGAGCTGTCTTTATTTAAAAATCTTCATTTTGATCATTTTTCTTCTGCCTAGTAATTAGCTAAGAAAAAATGATCATGAAACAGATTCAGAAATCTGAGGCCCAGACCTAAAGAGGTTGTAGCGCCACTGATTATTATTATTATTAGTAATTAGCTACTGCAACTGCAATTATATATATTAATTGTGACTCAACCTTTGGATTAGCTTTTACATTTTTGTTTATACATATTATTATTTTTTATTTAGACTTTACTTTATTTTAGTTATAGTTGCATGTTCTTTTGTTAATTATTTATGCACTTCTTGTACTTTACCCTCTGTAGGTGTATCTTTTAGGTTGCCTGTTCTGTTCTGTTCCATATTAGGGTTGCCTGGAAGAAATCGCTTGTTGGCGATAGGACGTTGCTTAATAACTTATGTAACCTGCTTTTTTTATATGTATGTTTTTGTATAAGGACACGAAGTGTAAATAAATAAATCGTTTTATTTCCACCTATTCTTGAATAATGTGGAAAAACGCTAGATGTTCGGCCATCTTGCCGTCTTTTGTTTGTCGAAGGCATTACCAGATTAAAATATGTGTTTGTGAGTTTAATTTTACCTTCAGAAAACTTTTCTAGTAGTGCAGTAGAACTGTAGATTAGAATTTTCAGAATGAAAAATAAGATAAAATTACCTTCTCGGGCTAGTACTCTTCGTAAAGTTGCTAAATGCTTCGAAAACCAATTTGAATAACAATATAGAATTCCTTAGTAATCACATGTATTATATTTGATAGAATGGGGTAGTGGTACAACTAGTAAACTTAAACAATTTTAGGTTTTACAAAATAGATAGCTTTCTTTATCCTACTCTTATTAAATTAATCAACATTTAGTAGTTGCACCAATACACTACATGCCTCTTGGTTAAATTATATTCAGGTATAACTCAGATATCATTTTTTGTGTATACGAAATATGATATCATTAATTCATCTACTTCACACAAAGGCTACAATTTGACCATAAAGCTCCTGGCTGTCTCTGCCTGTTTGGTTGGAGAATAAAAAAAAATAGTTTATATATTATATTTTAATATTATTTTATGTAACATTCTTTGGTTTTTCTCTTATGGCACCATGTTTGAGTTTCTCTTATCTATTTACAAAGTATAATATACCTTATATTTAACTACTACTTAAAATAAAAAAAAATCGGTTTTTTAATTTATAAAAAATAGTACAAAAAAGGTAAAAATTTCAGTTACATTATTTTTACAGTTAAAATTAATAACTAATAATATATGTATAGTCCTTACTTATTAATAAACTATAGTCCACTTTGATGGTCGCTCACAAGGTCCTGAATCAGGACAAAATCGATTAAATGTTGAGCTGCTATCATGACCTAAGATTTCTCTCTCCTCTTGAATCCTGAATGAAAATGTACTCTCATGTGTGCCAATAAAATATGCTGCATAGGAACATATAATTTGATCAATAATTGCTACTCCTCCGTCTCTGAATTTCTCTATATCTGCTTTTGATGGCATATAGTAGTATACTGAAAAACCTAAGTGAGTAAGCTCTATTTCCAAGTCTCGTAAAGAAGATATTGCCGCATCGGTTGCTATATATACTTTGTTTATATATGAATTAAAGTGCTTCACTGCCTTTTTTATTTGTTGAGCTGTGCCCTTGATAGATGGTACATCTTTTTTACGATACCGTGCAAAGTCCTGCCTTCGCCAATGAATACTTATGTAGTTGTTGCACATTTTTGTACTACATTCCAAGTACTTAGATACAAACTCTTCTGCTCTTTGTACTAGTTGATCATTGAATTTCATGCTTCTTCTGCAATCCCAATAAGTTTTTGTTCCATAGGCATCATGTAAGGCTATTTCTCCATGAGCAAACATGATGTATTTGTCTTGTGGGTGGAGTCCAATTAATTCCCAAAGTTTAGAGATTTTACCTTGAAAATTTATGCAGATCACTTCCTTGGCTGTTATGTTGTTATAACCCCAGAAACCCTCATAATTACAACCTGAACTGACTTCCCATTTTTCAATAAATTCACCGTTTTCGAATGCATCAGCAAAATTTTGCAAGACATAAATACGATCAATAATAACAGGGTGTTGTTTGGCTTTATCAAATAGGTCATATAATTCTACGATTGGAGAAAATGACTGCATTGATTTAACATCGAAGAAACTGCCCCATGGCAGTGGAACGTTTTTTTTGGTAACAGATTTCCAGTGGTATAAATTATACCAAGGAGGCAAAACTAACCTCCAACTGAGGCGCCTACCACTTTCTTGGGCTTCGGCCAGCATAATAGCAAATCTCATGTACACATCGCGACGTAAATTAAAACCTTCCGATGGGTTCACATCATAAAATATGTATTTTTCATAAGAAACTTTATGGCAGCTCTGATTTTCTACCTCGCAAATTTCCAGCGATTCTTGTTTGCCAAACGCCAAAAATGTAAGGAATAAAAACGATTTGGTAATCATTTTTGTATTGTAATGAAAATTAAAGTATTAAAGCGCTTTTAAATACTTGCATATTTTAAAATATTTTCGTTATAGAATGTTTTTGTTTACGATTCTCAAACCCCAGATAATTGATAAATTAGAGACTATTAGAAAATTTAGTATTTCATATACTATGTACAAAGGTATTCTGTGTATATTGAAACGACACTATTTTAGATTTTTAAATATTTTTTATTCTCTGGTGAGTAAGTCTTTTGTGATATGTCACTGTCATTGTCTGGTCTCTTTAGCCTGTGACACAAAATTATAGACTACAGTGATGTCATTTTTCTATTCACTGAGTGCATGTGTAATAATTCCAAAATATTTAATCCTTATAACTAAAATTTACTCCATTAAGAAAACATGGAGCTAAATGATGTTATTTTTAACCAGCCCGTCGTAATAGATAACGTAATTGCGCTGTTTTATCTCATGTTATTTTATTATTATTATACCGTCTAGAGTCCCACGTATATAATGTCCATTTACAGTTAAAAACTCTTATACACTAACTTTTTGCTCATAAAAATAGTTAATTGCATTATTTTCCAATAAATTGCTTAGTTTTTTTTTCTACTAGGCATTATTAGTTCATAACTGAGTCACCATTGTTCTAGTATTGATTCTTTTTATGGAGTCGCCAATAATATTTCATTTGCATATTGCAGGGTTCTGGTGTAATTAAAGCAGGTTTCGCTGGAGATCAAATTCCAAAATGCAGGTTTCCAAACTAGTAAGTAATTTGCCGTGCAACAATTGAGATTTTATATTCATGTTGGAAAAAACCAACCTTTATTACTTTTTAAAACTGATGATATATTAGTATTGTCTTTGATTAACATAACTACTGATGATATATTTCGACATAAGTTACGGAGGTTTTTTAAGTTTTGATTTATTAATTTGTTAATACAGATTGTATGTACTATAGATTTCTAAATGCATTATGTTTAATTAAAAGTTAAGAGAAATTATTTGATGTTTAATTTAGTTTATTGAGTTACGTATATTATAAAAAGAAATTCTTGCAGTATTGGCCGGCCAAAACATATCAGAGTGATGGCCGGTGCATTAGAAGGAGAGTTGTTTGTTGGTCCCCGAGCTGAGGAACACAGAGGTCTATTGAGCATTAAATACCCAATGGAACATGGTATTGTTACAGATTGGAATGATATGGAGAGAGTGTGGAATTATATTTATAGTAAGGTAAGGGATATTAAATACAAAAGCAAAATACTAGAATTACATTATTAACTAATTCTTAGTAAAAATTAATTATTCTTTCTGTCAAATTACTGGTTTAAGAATTTGATCCAAAGCTTTTAAGAAAATATACACATTTTAATTATATATTTTTATTTAAAATGCCTGAATACCTACTATGTAGTTGTTTTCATGTTTATTTATTATCAACAAGCTGCCCTGGCGAACATCGTACCGCCTAACAGTCGATTCTTTATTTTTTTTAAATACTTATTCTGCTATTCGGGACTCCGGTCTAGCTAGTAAGATAAAAAAAGAAAGTTGATAAGACAACAAATACATTATGTCGAAAAATAAAAATTTACCTTCCCGGAACCCCTCCACTAACATTTGAACTTTATGATATGGTATTAAAGTTAAAATTGACTTTTAAGTATTATTACGAATATTTTGTATGGGAATATAGAAAAGTGTTGTTTTTAGACTTTTTCACTCAATTTTTTATTTTTTTCTCTCCGTAAGAACCATCCTCGTACTTCAAGGAATATTATTTAAAAAATCAGACAAATCGGTCAAGCCGTTTTCCATTGCATTGCCATTTTTATATATATAGATTGCATTTAGGTAAATCAGATTATAATATATATTTATTTTAAACCATTAGTAAACATTGAATATAAAAATCACAATATATAATATAATTTTAGTTCACAGATTATAAATTAACTTCTGTAAAAGTACTTTAGTGAAGGCATTCCAAATTATTTGAACACTTAATGCTATCATGCCACACCTTGCTGCCGAATATTAACAGTGTTGTGCTCTTTTAATGTAGTCAATAATGAACTGAGTGCAATAAAAATTTTGAAATAAGACTTTTGTTATGTATGTATTCTGACCGAATACATTTTTTTCCCTTCAAAAGTGACTCATGAGAGTACTCCAGTTAAAACAGTGCAAGGGGACTCATTATTTTTTATTTTGTTTAGAAATGGAAGAATGCACATTTAATTTTAGTGGCAACATGACAAACATAGAATCAAGGTTGAAATTCATGAATCACAGAATAATACATGTACAAAATCAAGCCACCACAGCTCCCAGTTTGGTTAACAGCGCCTGGCTAGTCACTATTAATAATTATATATTGGATATTTTCAGGACCAACTATCAACCTTCTCTGAAGAGCATCCAGTGTTACTTACAGAAGCACCATTAAATCCTAGACGGAACAGAGAAAAGGCAGCAGAAGTTTTCTTTGAAACATTTAATGTGCCTGCACTTTTCCTATCAATGCAAGCCGTACTTAGTTTGTGAGTTTTATTTTAATTGTCTGTAACATTATGTTAATTATGATAATTTAAATTTGCGGACTTATAAAATTACTATAGTATACATACTCAAATATTATATATATAATATATATAAGCGACATATCGCAGCCAACTAAATAAGCCAATCAATTAACAGCCTAGCCTTTTAACTAAACAGTGTCATTTAACTAGCGGCCTGAAACATTCAGCGGTAGCGTTTGATAAAACATTTAATAAACTGGCTAATGCTTAGGCCATTCGAGCGATAGAGTGACCATGCTAGAAAAAAAAAGATGAAATATCTGACATAAAAAATATTTCTTTAAAAATTAAATTGCTTGTGTCAGTCACAGCAAAATTCACATTATTATTGTCACTACACTCTTCCATTGTATTTGTTGGTTTTCATTAAACTTTGGAAAACACCATCAAAGTTGTGGTTTGCCCACGCTATATTGACAGTTTGAAGAGTTTCGTTTCGAGTTTGAGAGTGGCAGAAAGTGGAACTCAATTTAAATTAACAGTCAACAGGCTAGGCAAGTAATTCAAAGTCATTGATCCAAGTCATTTGCCTAGCTGTTTGATCTACTGGCTGAATATCTTTCAGGCCGCTAGTCAAACGGCGCTGTTTAGTTAAGAGGCCTAGGCTGTTGATGGAACAGCTAATTAATCTTGGCTGTGATATTTATAAATGTTTCAGTTGTTTTTGAGATATTGGTATCCACATATTTCATATTAACAACCTAAAATGATCATAAGTATTTAAAGTTATGTTAGGTATCTTAAATTTATTTTGTTTGATTTTCAATTCTAACGTAAATACCTAGTTTTTTTTAAACATACAATTCACATATTATTTGACGGGAATGAAAAACGTGGAACAGCTTGTTTGAGCGCTTTTACTAACACTACAATACTGTATAGCTTATGTTCTTCATAATGTTTATACTCTATGGCCTCACAAATCAGGAAACATATAAGAACAGGCGTTTTGTATTCCCAACGCCAAAACGAAGGACTGTGTTTTGTCAACGCTCCTTTGCATTTAGAGGCCCCTTCCTTTTATAAAAATCCAAATTTCCAAATCTATGGATTCTGAGATCGTAAAACTATCGAGATATAAATTAGCAAGTCACATAGAAACTACACTAGCCAGATTGGATTTCGAATCTACAGAGGCATTACTACATATCTTGGTATGATTTTGGGGTTTTATAAACTAATACAGACACAGTACACGATCATAACAACAGCTACACTCTCAAATACATGCGCATACACACCCATTCACACACTTAATTTGTAACACTAACTTTTAACTGTTTTAAACATGTACCACGTAATAATTGTTTTCTAGTTACCCACAACACAGGGCCTCCCTAGTGTGGGGACTAGCGATTTATGAATTCTGTCACAAACCCTTTTGTCATAAATAAAGTTTTTATTATTATTATGGCTCTTTATTGTAGATATGCAACTGGGCGAACAACAGGTGTGGTACTCGACTCTGGAGATGGTGTGACCCACTCGGTACCAATATACGAAGGCTTCGCAATGCCTCACAGTATTATGAGAGTGGATGTTGCCGGACGGGATGTAACGCGATATCTTAGGTAAGTTTTTAAGCTATTGCATAGCTTCTATCGTGGGCCTCGAGCGTGGAGATCGAATCCAGAAATGCCGTAACCAAAAAAAACCTTACGCGTTAGAGCGGGGCAGAACGCATACTGCGTATTCACATCTCTCTGACGAGATTGGTGACGTAGTGTAAGCGCGGCCGGTGCAGCCGGTACGCGATAGAGTGAAACAGACTATATAGGCGAGTTAGTCTGAGTCTGGTAGAGTGATAGATTGAATTAATTTATCAAAGAAAAAACTTGAATTAATATCAAAGAAAAAAAATACTGCATAAATAAATAATTATAATTGCATAAGTTGAAAAAAAAATTATGGAATAGCTTTACCGCGGCAGTCCCCGAGTGCCACACGTTTATTTTTATTGTTTTCATTTGACTATCTCATTGAAGTAGCTATTTTCTATCCCTTCACATGATATTTTTGTGAATATACAAAATAAATAAAACTAAACATATGCCGATCGCCTTAAATCCAAGTTTTTGACATTAAAATAAGTAAGCTGAGAGTTTCTCGCCAGATCCACTCTTGCGCTTTACGCTCTATTTGGTAATTTGCAGTAAATTTAGACTTGGGGCAAGTATTACGTTAGCACTACAGAGGGTGACAGGTCTTTTGGTGATTACGTCAACAGTAATTATTTACTTTTTGAAGTTATTGAAGTTATACTTCTTTAGGCGCGTTATGAAAAATTGATGTGAGTGAAATTTTACGATGCGCGCGCACCGTGACACAAAATTAACAGAATGAAGTTGCCCACGGAAGATGCTCTGGCATTGGACATAATTTAAAAACAACATTCGAATAATAATAGAATTTGTGTTACACTTAATGTAAGAGAATAATAATAAACATTTATTTATTTAATTTTTCAAATGTAAACTGAACTTTATTGACTATAATGACTCCTTTTCCAGTCTTTGATTATTTAATTGTAATTAATTATTTGCATGAAATCAAAATCTTTAATAATGCCAAAGAAGTATAACTTCTTACGCGCGTACATAAGTACACGCACCCTTTTTTTTACACATTACCTACACATTGTCTATGCTTGAAAATTAAATGCACTTTCGAGGATTCCTACAAAAAATTAATAAGTTTATGTACTATTATTTTTGAGAGCTTTCCTTTCTTTTGCTCACAAGAGGAGGGAGAGGGGGGGGGGGATAAATTGCAGTAAATCTGCTTACGTAATACTTGAACGACTAGGTATGCGACCTAATCCGCTGTTTACTAATCATTTGCATTATATGTGATATGGTGAACTTTAATACATACATACATCAGAATAAATTGTGCGTGTACTAGGTGTACACACGTAAGAAGTGAAACTTCTTTATGATCTTATTTTTCGAAAAATGATCTACTTTATGCAACTTTACAGAAATTCGTTAAATTAGATAAAGTTTAACAAAAGGCTTTTATTATCATAGACATGAATACAAATATTTCATTTTACCTTATCACTACGAAGATTATTATAGAATTTCATTAATTGTAATAGAATTATTACTATCATTGAAAAACGTGACGATTTGCTACAAAATTTCTCCCATACGTCGATAAAGAAGTTTCATTCCAACGCCGATAAAGAAGTTTGACTTCAAAAAGCAACATGGCGCGTAACCGAAAAATGCGACGCGTAACGAAAAAATGTTACACTAAATTTTTTTCCAACCTCGATAAAGAAGTTTCACTTCAAAAATCTAAGTTATATTATATATCAAAAATTGTTCGAAAGTTTTAAAAATCTCATGCCTACCTTAGCTGACAAGGGGGGAATATAATTTAAGTAACGCTTACTAATTCTGATTACATTGCATTATACAATATTGTAGGTTGCTGTTACGCAAAGAAGGTGTGAATCTACGTACTTCAGCGGAACTGGAAATCGTTAGGTCGATCAAAGAGAGAGCTTGCTATCTCTCTCCGAACCCGTTGAAGGAGGAAACCATGGATTCAGAGCGGGCACAGTACACGCTACCAGATGGCACGCAATTGGAGGTATGAATTTTTATTAACATTTAAAGAAAACAATTTTTGTACCGGATTGAAGTTAGGTATTATTATAAATTTACAATTATTTTACAAGTCACCGTGACCACGCACGCTGTAAAGCACGCGAAACGTCGGTTAAATTTAAAATTATGTAAAATAATTGTAAATTTATAATAATACATAACTTCAATCCGGTAAAAAATTGTTTCGGGGGCATCCATAACTTACGTGAGGTGTTTAAGGGGGGGAGGGGGTCGAGTCAAATCTCATTTAATCTTACGTTGAAGAGAGGGGGGGTCTCGGCAAATATCACGCAATTTTATTTCTGATTGAAAAAAAAAAATTAGGAAATCGGTTGACCCTAAAGGCCATCTCTGCAACTTCCCGCTAACTCCATACCTAAACGCTCAACATTTCACTTATTTTGTTTTAGTCTTAAATAAAAGCACGAAGCAATTTTTTTCTTTTTGAAGTGAAACTTCTTTATCGAGGTTGGAAAAAAATTTAGTGTAACATTTTTTCGTTACGCGTCACATTTTTCGGTTACGCGCCATGTTGCTTTTTGAAGTCAAACTTCTTTATCGACGTATGGGAGAAATTTTGTAGCAAATCGTCACGTTTTTCAATGATAGTAATAATTCTATTACAATTAATGAAATTCTATAATAATCTTCGTAGTAATAAGGTAAAATGAAATATTTGTATTCAGGTCTATGATAATAAAAGCCTTTTGTTAAACTTTATCTAATTTAACGAATTTCTGTAAAGTTGCATATAGTAGATAATTTTTCGAAAAATAAGATCATAATGAAGTTTCACTTCTTACGTGTGTACACCTAGTACACGCACAATTTTTTTTTCAATAACAATCCAACGCGTTTACGTAAGAAACCCACATTTTGAAAAATCTCACGTGAGATTAGGGAATGGGCCCTCCCCCATCCCCCAATTAAATTGAATAAAATCTCACGACATCTCACCAGGGGGGGAGGGAGGTACCGAAAATTTAAAAAAACACCTCACGTAATTTATGGACGCCACCTTCCTTTAAATGTGTAAGATGTCATGTGGAATATGGTGTAATGGTTGCAGCTACTTACAAACGTTGTGTTAAACAAAAAACTTGGCGATTAAAAAGAGTGGCGGAGAGTTTATTGCCAGTTCTTCTCTTCCGTTCTACGCCCTTGATTTGAGAACTGGCTGAAATTAGAAGCATTTTATATATATTTTTTTGACGTTCATAAGTGTACATTGTGTTACCTAAATAAATAAATGACTTTGACTTTCAGATTGGCCCGGCGAGGTTCAGAGCACCAGAAGTGCTGTTTAGACCAGATCTCATTGGAGAGGAGTGTGAAGGTACTTTTTTTAATTTATAGACCTAACTTGCTGTGCCCATAACTGGGTCGATAATCCCTATTTTATAATTGACAATAATGGGAAATATGCTTCAATTGATTAAAGTATTTATAAGTAACTAGCGGAATCCTGTACACACGTTTGAATTACAAAAATTCCCAAAAAAAAAGTAAAAAAAAACATCAAAATCGTTGCAGCCGTGGGAGTTTTTATACAAAAACGCACAGACGGTTCAAATATAAAGACTAGAGATTTAAAAACTTGATAAATTATTTAAATAATCCAAATTGGGATTAATTTGCTCCAGTTCGAGTATTCATGGCACAATTTGAGTCATACAAAACTTGGCGATTAAAGAGTGGTGGTGAGTTTCTTGCCAGTGCGAACTGATAGTAAATGTAAATTTTGAATCAATTTAACATCTTTTCTGTTGACGTTCATAAGTGTACTTGGTTACCTATATGAATTAAGTTATTTTGAGTTTTTATAATCTCGTATTTGCATTTTATTTAAATAAAATCAAAATGATCAGAATACTGTCGAACTATTATTATTATTTTTGAAGTTATACTTCTTTAGGCGCGTTATGAAAAATTGATGAGAGTTAAATTTTACGATGCGCGCGCACCTGAGACAGTGTGTGAGAAAGTTATCAGTGTGATTATAGCGTGCGCGAGCGATATGGGAACAAGACAATCTACAAGTAAAAAGAAATAGAATACGCGTGAAGTTAGCAGCTATGCCAATAACTTTGAATGACCATAATGACATTTACCTTTTAAACAAATAAAGGAGTTTTAATTATTTTTTCAAAGAAATTTAGCAATGTTTTTTCACAAAGACCTATTGTTACTTAGTTAAAAGGTTATGAAACATACCAAGTTGTTAAATTGAATTAATAATATAATAAAATAATAAATAATAATAGTAATTGTTATTAATATTAATTAATAATTGAATAATATACTAAATACTATTAAATTGTTTACGTTAAATATTAATTATTAATTAATTATATTAAAAAAAAATAAAGAAAGCCAAAGAAGTATAACTTCTTACGCGCGTACATAAATAAGTACACGCACCCTTTTTTTTTACGGCTCTGGCACGGTTTGTGCATTAGCCAGCGTCAAGTATAAGATTTTTATAATTCGTGCTTTGTCTTTAGAAATTCGACCTTGTCCTCCATGTACGGTTTAAGCACTCGCCCGGTACCGCACAACCCTCCCAAAGGCCGAGAACAAACTTAAATTAAATTAAAACTTGCCCACGAACCGAGAATCGAACCCGTACCGGGGTACCCTCACCTAGCTGCCACTTAATAAGACCGCTAGGCTATGAGACCCAACTGTCGAACTATGATGTAAAAGTGTCAATATATCAATGTGTGAACTACGCAAGCCAATCAATGTCAAATTTTGACGTTTAATTGAGTGACATTACATAAAGTTTATAGATTATTTGTGTCCTGTGGTTCCTTCAGTTAATTTGGAAGAACTTTATCTGGATCGGGGTACAGTCCATATATTCTGAATTTATTTAAAGTGTAGACACTAGCGTGAAGGAAAATCACGATTATGATTGATCTAAGAGATTTTATAAAAAATAACAAATTTGACACAACTTCGTCACAACACAAAAGCACAGATTGAAACTAAAATGCCAGTTTGACATTTCAATATTGTATTTCCCACCTTCGTAACCATTTCGATCCATATCTTTACATCGTCTCTCGTTTAAAAGTACGCGTGTTTACATTTAAATTGTTTTATTTTTTTTGAAGATTTTATGGGATGGTAACAAGACTTTTAAGCCAACTCTTTTTTCGATTTTAAGTTGAATTCAGAATAAATGAACAGAAGATTATCTATTTAATATCTGACAATGTTTTTTCTGACATCTTATAAATCGATGAACGCACGAAAGTATAAAGCATGACTCATTACCCCGTTACGCTCATAGTTCGCTTGCGCCGCATCTATATCTCTCAGAGCGCGGCCACACGATGCGGTAACGATGCGGTGCGGCGCCGGATGCGTGCCGAAACGTCATTCTACATACAAATTACTATACCATGTCAAACGACGCGTTGGGCCGCGCGGCGTCGCACCGCAAGCGCGCCGGAGTTGTGTCCTGCGAGACGAGGCGGGGAGAGGTCAAATATATTGCCACACCGCAACGCCCGTGTGGCACCCTATAGCTCGAAGACATTGCGGTGCGGCGCCGCACCGCATCGTGTGGCCGCGCTCTCACTCGATTGGCCTATGCGTCCGAGGAGAAAAAATACAGCGGTAGCACACAACTTACATTACACGTGAACTAACACAATGATGATTTGATTCAATTTAATTCATTAAAGTATGCAATCATTTCATCAATGTTTTGTTATGACGTCACGTTTAAAATATCGTCCTTGAACCCATTTTCAGACAACCATTATTTTATAATTTCTAGGTCTTCATGAAGTACTTATGTTCGCGATACAAAAGTCTGATATGGATTTACGCAAGGTTTTATATCAGAATATAGTGCTCAGTGGTGGTTCCACGTTATTCCGAGGGTTCGGGGATCGATTATTGGCCGAAATACGACGGCTGGCACCTAAGGATATGAAGATAAGGGTGAGTTTTGTTTTTGATCTGTTTGGGACCGTTCAAGTATTACGTAAACACTATAGGGTTCCGTGATTTTCTTATTTGGTGATTACGTCAACAGTAATTATTTACTTTCTTACACATATTATTTATACGAGGATTCCTACACAAAATTAATACGTTTATGTACTATTATTTTTTAGAGATTTGCTTACTTTTGCTGATAAGAGGAGAGAGAGAGGGGGGAATAAATCAGCCGTAAATCTGCTTACGTAATACTTGAACGGCCCCTTTTATATTTTTTATTCTAGCGACTATTTACATATTATGATTACAGTCTAAATGTTGCCATAGTAACGACATCTATGGGAGCGTTCAAGTGTTACGTCACGCAATTTTTGGAGATTATTGACCCCCCTCATTTTAACGCGCCGTAACGTTTTTCTGTACGCAAGTATAGTAAAACGTTTCGCGACCACCTAGTGACTCTTTATACCTAAATGTTACCATTATGTGGTGTACAATAACGGCTTAATACAATCCCCGCCCCGCATCGTTAAACCCCCCAATTACAACCATTCCATTCTTATGACGTTGTCACGTTCAACTATCGTCAGTAAACCGACTTTACAGACAACCGATTTTTTTGATAGAATCTGAATCAAAACTTAGCGTGAACTTTGACACACGGGAGACATAGTAAGCGCCTTGACTGTGTCAAAATTTATCCTAGAGGTCCGAGAACGGGAAGAAACGTGTTTGTTTTATTGTCAAAGTGTGACTCTCTGTTATACACTTTGAAGTCCCAACACAAGGAGACTAAATCTCTTAAGTTTTGAACATTCCTTTCAATCATATTGTTTTAAAAGAAATAAATTTTCCAGATCTCAGCGCCCCAAGAGCGTCTCTATTCAACATGGATCGGGGGTTCGATTCTCGCATCACTCGACACGTTTAGAAAGATGTGGGTCTCGAAGCGGGAGTATGATGAGGAGGGCCATCGCGCTGTGCATCGCAAGACATTCTAAACATTGCTTGAAAATATCGTATAAGTGATATTTGACGTCAAAAATTGTTTATTAAATTAAAAAAAAAATCCCTAATGTTAATTCTTTACTGAACAAGTTAAGATGGTTTTTGATATCAAATTCACGCTTGTATTAGTGCGATATCATGTACGCTATATGTATATAAGTAAACAATCGAATTATTGTGTTGTTTTAATATCCAAGTTGAAAAAAGAGGTCTTAGCTATTTCACGAAAGTTCTGTCAATGATACAGTTTTGACAGCTAAAAGTCATTCCATACTTGGATAAGATGAAAGGACGAATTTTGAACGATCTATGTTCGCGCTTCCGTTAAGTTTTAAATATATCCACAGAGCGCTTAAGTATAATATATATAATAGTTACTATTCGATTGTGCATTCGTGCTAAGGCCTCAATAAAACGTATAACAAGATTTACAATTGGTTATCATCTACTAATTTCAATAATTGTGACGATATTGGCGCCTAAATTTAATACAGATTCACAATATGCAGCTTTACTTTTAAGTTTAATTCCTAACGCTTTTAGACAATAGATTGTGTAAATGTCGCGCGTGTCAAAATAAAAAAACAATAAGCTTGACAATTGACATTAAAATTGGTCAACACTCAATGACCATACAAATTTAATGAGTCATCCTTGTCGCATGCTATGTTGCAAAAATCCAGATGTTTTTATTTCGTATCTTAATATTGTACCTTTTTGCAATAATATTTTTTTTTATATACATAGCATGAAATCTTAAGTTAAAGGGTACAGCTACATAAACTAATTATTTGCACATTTAATGTAGCTTGCCTACTACATATTTAGATGTAAGAAACTCATAATTTATTTAAGAGGCACTTTATTCCAATAAAAATTTTCAGAACTCTTGCGTTTTATTTTTGTCCTATTTTCTTTTTGAGGTTAATATCTGACCTTTAATATAATTCTTAAATCGTACTAACTAATCATTAATTTATTACATCTTTATTTTTTTGTATTAAAATTAAAAAAATATTTTTTACTTTGTAAATTTTTAGTTTCTTTTTTTTTAAAGGCTGGTATAAGTTTTTTTTAAATAATTTTATGGCCTGGTAACGAGACCTTTAAGCCAATTTTTAGTTTATATATGTACAAAGACAATATAGAATCATTGCTGAAACAAAGGTCGCAAGCATCGTACCAGAAGTTATCAGCTACAAACACTTAAGCGCACTGATCTACCTCTTCAGATTGTGCATACTGCATACAATTCGAAAGTAACTGTAAATAAAATATATTTTTTCAAAATCTTCCATAGTCCGCGTTGCTATATATTTTTACTGTGGAATCGACTTCCAGCAGCGGCCTCACCAAGGAGATTGCACCAGGTATTTAAAAAAGAGCTTCCTCGTCTTTCAAAGACCGGCAACGCGTAAACTAATAAAATGGGTATTTATGGGCTATAGTAGTTGCCTCTTATGGTTGACCCGCAGACTCTATTGCGCCGCTATTAAAAAGAAACACGAAACGGTTTGTCTAAGTCACGGTTTATTCAAGTATTCAATACATAAATAGTAATGGACGATTTTTAAAGACAATAAAAAGAATAGATTTAAAAACCCAAGCTTTGAAAGTCGCGCGCCTAACGACTAGTTAGTTTAACATTGAGTAATACTGCTCACAGCAATAATTAATGTTAAACTAAAATAAAATATTACATTTATAATAAGTAATTTAAATTTATTATATTAAATTAAGTGAATATAGGATAACTTTCAAGTTTTAACAAAATATGTACCTACCTATATTTTGATCTTTATAATATTGCGTTATATGCGATAAGAAACACTTCACAGTTGTATGATAAACAAAGGATAAACATTTCTTGCCGACAATACTGTCAATAATAAAACATAAGTCGGTTGATAGGCGGTAATTGATAAGTAACTTTTATTCAGTTGATATTTGATAACATAACCGCATGGTTTACACATCAAAATGGGTAAAGTTCCAGTAATAACATTTAATAATGGAAAAACCATACCTGCAGTTGGATTAGGAACGTGGAAGGTGAGATGTATTAAATATAATATTTTTAGTTTATTCGCCAATTGAGACTACGGAACTGTATATACTTACATAAAATATTTTTTGGTTATTTTGTAATTAGTAGTCGCCCTTTAGCCAAAAGTTGTACGACTATAACTGAATTTTCTTTCTCTTTTTGTATTATTAGGTAAACCCAATTATCTCGTGGAACAAAATATTTATTAAAATCGGTATAAAAGTTTCAAAATTGGTATAAAAGAAACAAAAATTAATATAAGTAGGTATTTTTACGCTACAATGATATACATATGTGCGTACCAATATTGTATACTTTGAGCCTCTGAATAAAACTTTTATATTTGAATTTGAAGTGCATAGGTCCGAAATTATAAGAAAAGGCCTTTAATAATTAGTTAATTCTAAAAATTTATAAGCGTATCTGATCTTAAATTAACATAGACAAAATTCTAAAAACTATTTAAGATTGTTAGACATAAATGTCATCATTAATAGTAAACGTCAAACACGCCGGTATTTTAATTCTGAATTCTGATTAGAATTTAGTTTAATTTCATTATTTAAATTGGTTTACAATTCACATAGCTTGAACGCCAACCAATCGAGTTTTTATCTAATTAACTGTGCGTGTTCAAGTAGTCACGTAGTGGAAGTTAGTAAAAATGGCATCGTCTGTCCCTATAGTGAAACTTTCTAATGGTTTTGAGATTCCTATGCTTGGCCTTGGAACTTGGCAGGTATTATAAAATAATATATTATAATTGTCAACCAAGATAGATATTTGTGTCAATAAAATTACTGTGTAATATAAATAATACATTAGTAATGTTGCTTCTAAGAAGTTATACAAGTAGGAAAAATATTGTTTTTTAAAGTTTTCTTTTTTTTATATGTTCTCTCTATATTAACTTTATTTGAATGTTCTTCCTTTATATCTCCAATATAACACTACTCCTTGATATAGATGTGATATATTTAAGTAGAAATATTTAGCTTTTGATTTGAAAAGCCAGTTCAGTTGCTCCAGAGATTACTTGGTATATATATATATATATATATATATATATATATACAGTTTTTCATAATAATAAATATCCTGCAAAAACCCTTCATTGACTTACTAAATGGTAGATAAGTATATGACATGTTAGTACTTGGAAAGTTTATTGGCATTTTATGAGCATGTGCACAAAGAAGAAAAAATATGGTTCACTAAGTTTGAAATCTTAATAACCGGGTTGAGAGTCACTCATGTAACCAGTTTGCACATCCTTTATTTCATAATATTAATGTAAATGGAATAATTATCTTTTAAATAATCATGCTAATGTATTCAAGTTACTTCATTCACATTTTTAACATACTTGTTCAATTTGAATTGCGGATTAATTGGTTTATACTAATGGGGACAGGTTACAATGTCTAGTTTATTAAATTTCTTAATTCATTTATAATTAACAATAGGCCTACACCCCACATGCAAATACTAATACATTTATAATTACTCTTTACATAACTTAGAAATTGATTGCAGGCAAACGTTTATAAATATAATATTAATTCTATCAATTATAACGACAGACCAGTTAACTTGTCATTTAAAATATTATTTGATCTATTTATTTATTAACACTTCGTGGAATGTATACAGAAATAGATTTCAATAAAGATAATTAAATAAAAAGGAGGACCATTTCTTCAAACTTAAATTATATAAGGCAAGGAGTGCAAAAATATATATATGACATATAGTTATTGAGAAAAAACTAATGGAACAAAACTAAGCAATTAAAACATATGTAAACAGTGAAAGGGACAATAATAACACATGCAAAAGAAAAATTGCATATTAAATAATATATAAAATAAATATAAAATTGTAAATACAGTTTTCAATATGTTAAATGAATATTTATTGATTGAAAATACGGTGCATTGTAGGAAAAATCGTGATTTATCTGAATCCTTTGATATACAATATCGCGAAATTTTAATGTAGCATCTCATTGATATCAACGGTAAATTGATTTTTATTGTCCTTATAAAATATGCAATTTATATTAACTATTGGCCTGTATAATATTGTGGCAATAAAATTTTGCCTATAGTACTTTATACTTAGGGTAAGATTTAGAAGCGAGACAGTGTGAAGTAAGACTCACGCATACAGAAATAATATGGGAATCTTCCGTATGTCAAAATCCAATACATTTTTCTACGATACTTATGATATAAGTGTGTTTGAATCTTAAAGCCAAAGTTAAAAACGATGTGATACGGAAGCCGTACATAAATAAAACACGTAACACATACCAAAAAGTTAAAGTGGAAATATGACCGGCCCATTTCCACTGGACCAAGTGGGTCACATTTGTGATGGCAGATGGGTCAAGACTCTTAGGTGGGCCATTGGCCAGGAAAATATCCGTAGGGAAATGGCAGCTATCACCCGAGTTTTCACAAATCTGCGTTCGCGTTTAGAGGAGTGCCGTGATTTAGATGATGTTATTTAATATAACCACCCGATATATTAATATATATATGTAACCAATATTAGTCAATCACAATTACTTTTATATATTAGATCATATATTACGTAAATAAATTTAAAAAATGTTTCCGAATTACCAGTTTATATCTCGTTATTACAAACGACCAAACGATCTCTCTATTCGGTGTGCCTTTTGGCATAGGCCTCCCCAGCTCTCTCCAATGAGTTCATTGGTTACTCTGGTTCAGCATGGCCCGGCTTATGTCTTCTAGCTATCGTGGTTTTGGGCGCCTTCTGGTCCAATCTCTTCGTCTTACAGTGCCTCCTTCGAGGTTTGCGAGGAATGTTTGATGCCGCGCTTCTAAACAATGTTAAATATTTGTTACTTGTTTTTCTTCTAAAACAGATTTTAGTTATTTATAAATTATGTAATATTTTATATTATGTAATATATGTCAAGGGTATCGTTAAGTTCAATTCTAGAAGAGCGATACGTTATCGTTAGGCATATAACCTTATTCGCAAGATTACATCAATAAAATAGAATTAAGGGATTTATTCATTCGATAGCTACTTTGTCGTTATGAATACAGCTTATATAATCTGTGGTTTAGAAATTTTAATCTTTACAGCCAGGAGTTAAGTTTTGTGGTGGTTGTTGTATGTATCCACTATCCATATATTATGTATATATGTGTTCAGATATATTAAATGAAACACTGTTTGAAGCTGGGTAACAACTGGCTTTAATTTTTTAAAACATGAGCATATATATAAGATGACATCAAAAATATCGCGGGTCCTCACTGGGTCCAAATAGCTCGGGATAGAGAAAGATGGCAAGCCTTGGAGGAGTAGGTACTTACTAACTGTAAAAGATATTCACTAACACATGAGATAATTAGATATTTTTGTATTAGGAAATAAGATAAGGCTTAAAATAAAAAAATATATAAGATATCATTAGGGGTTCCGACGCTGGATTAACAAAAACCTAACTTAACTCATTGTAGAGTTTGTAAATTAAATTGCAATTTATGAGTATGGTACAAAGAAATGTCTCATATTGGCTTCAAGTGTGCGATAATTGTTTACGCTTTTAATTATTTATTTAACTAATATTAGGTTATATAACTCAGGAAAAAAATGTAAAACAAAAGATAATTCGCTCAGTGATGCCAACTCTTATTGAATGTTTCCCATAGAACTAACGTCAATTCCTAAATATCAATGAAAACCTCTTAAGTTTTTGTTGTACACGGTTTGTGAGGTAACTTCAAAAATGCATTAAAATACATTCAAGTACATACATATATACATACATTTTTGATGTTTCAGTTATATTCACGTTATGAGTATAATTTGGTTAAGTTTGTGATTTGGGTTCTGATGTTGGGTTGGTTAGAAACTTTATTTTTCATACTATCAATAAAGGCTACGAAAGAATTAGTATATTGCTTATGTGTAGTACTGAAATAAAATGTCCGTTTATTTTTGTAGTGGAAAATATTATCGGAAAAGGTTCATTAGCTGTCGTCAACCTTTGCGCTTGTGCTAAGCGACTTGTTATGAATATTGTTATTTTGCTATATTTTTTGACATGACATCGTGATGTGTAACTTTAATATGTACCTAAATGCTTAAGATACCGCTGATTTTGATAATATGTATTTGGGTATAAATATGTTTTTGAATTACATTTAAATCTATAAAAATTTCCTATTTTTTATTGTTACAGTCCAAGCCGGGTGAAGTAGAGACAGCTGTCAAAGCAGCCATAGACATCGGCTATAGACACATAGACTGCGCTTACGTCTATGGAAATGAAAAGGAGGTCGGTGACGCGATTGCCGCCAAAATTAAGGAGGGTGTTGTCAAACGGTACGTTTTCGTGTCTACGTCGTCTATTGTAATTTGTAATTTTAAGGGCCATAGAGAAATTAGGAGAAAAACGGGAAGTACGACTAGCTTAATATTTTTTTTTGTAATACAGCGAGGATCTCTTCATCACTTCAAAGCTATGGAACACCTTCCACCGGCCCGATCTGGTGAAGAAAGCTCTTAATGAGACCTTGGCGAATCTTCAACTTAAATACCTTGATCTGTACCTGGTGCATTGGCCACATGCCTATAAGGTAACGTTATCATATTTATTTTGACAGTCCGACTTATTAACATCTTCCTTGCAAGAACAATAAGTCTAAACACAATACAAAGGGGATTTGGATGCAGCGGGAGGCCTTCGAATCCTACGACCACAAAGGCGTCTGCTTCCAGGCTGAACATTAGTTATTGAAGTAAGGGAGCGTAAAAAAACGTCACACAATTTAGATTTGTGCCCGAGTAAGTTTGTCTGTAATAGTAAAACGTTTCATGATAACCAAGTATATATATACCTACATAGTTACCATTAATCTAGTGTAAAGTACTGGAAATCGAAAATAATATAACAATAACTTATTCAATCCCCACCCGACTAACACTTAAAAGCCCAAATCTTACGAAATACTGGATGCAGCTAATAGTGAAAAAAAGGGGAAGACATACGATTTAGTCAAGTCACGATTGATGAGTGACCTCTAGGATAAGGTCAGGAACATCGAGTTATACGGAAGAGTTTTAAAAGATGACAGAGAGGTAGCCAATCTTGTACGAGGGGCTCGGCCAGCGTATGTCCACAACTTAATTCCCAATGGCGGATTGATCGGCTTCTGAATGAATTGGCTACCAGAAGGCTGTAGTGTGAGAGGGAATTCCATAATCATCTATTGTCAAGAGTCTGTAGCTTGTTAGGGGAGGGCCTCAGAATTTCAGAAAATGATTTATGAGATAAGACCCCAGGGGTTCATTAGGAGTGAACTTCTCCATAAAGAACCGGCATACGGAGCCACTGAAGAAATAGCGTAACCGTGTGAAGCGATAGGACTGCGCCCACCCCAGCTGCCTGTGGATTTAGACACATGGTCATATTTCCTAAGACCAAATATGGACCTTATGCAAGGGTCTCCAGGCCTTTGATCAATGTAAAGTACTATTGGTTCGAAATTAGTGAAGCATAGGTACAATATATTATGATATAGAAGAAAGAAAGTACGCTATCATAGTAAGTCAGATAGGAAGGCTTAGAAGGACTCTCGAGTAAAAGAAGTTTTGTAAAGTTGACGGCTAATCTCCGTTTTACGTTGTGATCCACGACTTTTGGACAACGTTGGTGAAGAAGACCCCAAGGTTTGTAACATTACTATATTGTAGGCTATATTAGTCCACGACCTCTGTCAAGTGAAGTCCTCCAGGGAGCAAAATCCCTTCTGTCTCCGAAACAAAGATAAGTTTTTCCAGGTCGAATGCCATCCATGCCTTAACCAAATGAAACGATTAATTCTGCAAGGCCAAAGTAAAAACCACCCCCTACTCCCCAGTTGGCTATGTTTTCGGAAGATCATGGGCCATTCATCCCTGTATGGCAAGAGTTGAAGGCTCATACAGTGTACCGACTTGGAAAGACATTTGCTGAGGTGCATCAGCGTTAAGGTGATTAAAACTGCGTGGATCGTGTGCGATGTCAGGGATGATAAATATATCTGAAAAAGAAGAGTGAAACACGCGTCTCTAAAGAACAGTCCAGCATTTATATTATTTAACGTTATGTGAAAAGTTAGATGACATCTTGGTGCCTGAATTTCAAAACTTTCTGGCTATAAGCAAAAGACATCGTTCCAGCAGGGACGAGCAACGTGAAACCAGTCCAATAGCGGAATTCTGAAATGACAAGATATTCATAGAGGTGTCAAAATTGGCTCCACGCAGTCCTAATTTAACCCCATGGATTTTTTCATAGGGTTACTCAGCTTGCTGAGATTGTCTGGCGAAGTGAAAGAAAAATCCGTCACGAAATGGCAGCCATCACTAAGTTCACCTCGCCGAATGCCGTCATACGTAATTTTACCAATGTGTAGTCGATTAAATGCCCCGGGCACGCGATCGAGAGGGTCTACATTTGGGCGAGTATTTTTTTTAAGAAATCAAATACCCAAGCTGCGAGTGTATACTTTAATATTGAATAAACCGACTTTTTTGATACACACTTACTTTTTGAAGTTGTACTACTTTACGAGCGCGTCTATGAAAACGTGATGAGTGGAAAAGTTTATTGATTGCAGCTGAGGCGAACCTACGACACAAAATGGGAGTGTGATATGCGTGCGCTGAACGAGATGGGAATAAGACAAACTACAAGTAAGGAAGCGTTTAGAATATCGTGAACCTACTCAGCATCACGCAATTTCAGCTTAACAAGAATTTTGAATGACCCATGCAATTAACTCTGACAATAACATTTTTCTTTAAACAAATAATAGGAGTTCTGTAACACTGTTTGAAAATTTAATATTAATTCCTAGTTATTTTCATTATACAAAATATTTGTGAAATAATATAAAATATTACAATAAACTGTTATTCAATCCCTCCCTGATCGTAACGCTTCATACAATGAGGTTCCCCAACAATCCGTTATGTATTATCGAGTATTATTGCCTTGATTAAAACTGAAACAGGAACCATTATTCATTGCTTTTGTTAATTCCAGTAAGTTACGGTGACCTCTTTGAAATAGGCTACCGAGCCCTACGGATATATGGATTACGTAGAACACTTGATCAGACTTAATCTAGCCAAATGTAAGGACAAGAGCCCACCCACAGTATTGATGAATCAGTGGAAGTGCTGATAATAATGTGGTCATGTTTTTGAGAGTGGGTACTATTAAAATGTTTACTTCCTGTTATCGCTCAAGCCTTCAGGTAGGGAATCTTAATTATGTATTCGTGCTTAAATCTTTGCTTCTCAGGAGTATTGGATACATGGTCAGAAAATCATTTCATCAGATTCAACCTAGCAAATTTCATAAGGACAAGAGACAAAAAACAATTGCTGAATCAATGGAAGTGCAACTAAATTGAATACAAAAAATAGTTGTAACCTTGTCGCCGTGATAACATCACTTTTGGGGGTCCGGAACAAGGCCACCATTATATTCTCGAAGAAACAATGGAGTTAGAAGTAGATTCCATAATTTGATTGTGATGGAGTAGAGGTACGGAATTTAATTACAATATGAAGTATGGTTATGTTCACAAGCAAAGAAAGTACATACTATCATAGTACAGGTTACTTAGGCACCTACAGGGTAGTAACAATTTGTAGCAGCTCATGACCACATCAATCTTGCACTTGCGTTAGATCCACGACTTCTGTCCACCCTGAATATATGCCTATGCTTGTCACATTAAATGACATTGGTATTTTATATTAGTATACGACCTCTGATTAGTGAAGTCCTCCTGCAAAATCTTCCTTCTGTCTCTCACACCCAGATGTAATTTTCATCGAATTCCACGCTTACCTTAACCAAATAAAATCTTTTGAAAGAATTATCTCCAAGACGCAAATAAACCAAAATCACAAGGTAATAAATCATTGGGTCTCCGGACAGACCAAAGGCCAAGCACAGATGACCCTCAGCTGATGGAGGACCCTAAGTTGAAGTCTATCTCTGACCGGATTGGTAAAGAAAACAGTTGCTGAGGTGCTGATCAGTAAGGTATTAAAAAACCTACAAGTGAGACACGTGTTCGATTTCAAGGGGATAAATATATCTTATCCAAACATAGAAACAGGTGTCTCAAAAGAAAGTTTACATTTTTATTTAACGTTATTGAAAATGTTAACACTTCTTGGTGCACTAAGTCTTAAAAACCTTTCCTACTATAATTAAAAACATGCTCCAGTTTTGCATGGACAGAGCTTAACATTCGCGAATACTTCTCTTATTTGTTGCCACGAGTTCGTGAAATTTTTGGAGACCAAATAGATGCAAACCAGGAGTAGGTGATTAATTTAAAATTGGCCTACACCGAAAGTCCTGATGAAGACATTAGAGTACTTAAAAATAATAGGATAATGAAATAAAAATGTTCTTAGTTATCTGGCAGTCTTCTCTTGTGCAATTGAAAGAAAATATCGTAATAAATGCATTCATTTAATTAAGTTCACCTGCCAACCGTCAAAGTGAATTTTATTGTTCGTTAAATGAGTCCGCTTACGCGAGGGTCTTTATTTGATTTAATTGTTTTAATAATTAAATCAACCAAAAACTATTTTTAATAATGCCAAATAAACACTTTTTTGATACACGACTTACTTTTTTTTAAATCGATCAACTAAATATGAACTTCCTTTTGGGACAACCTGTATTTTTAATAAATCTATCGTGACACAAGAACAAATAATTATAATGTTCCGGAAATATTGTATGTAATGCTACCAAAAATCATTAATTTACCAGTGGCCGAGATGTTTGTAACGCGTGTCCTATAACGCGGAGATTTCTCAAGTCCATAATTAGTTTTGCGTACCTTTGTTGGTTCAATTGTGTTATAAAAAACTAAATAACTTAATTAAATTGTGTGTTCCTAGTTTTTTAATTGTTAAGAAAAACGATAATGCTACAACGCGATTTCCGGGGATTACTGCTACTGTAACAGTATATTGGCACGGCAGAAATACCGTAAATGTATGGTTTTGCTTCAAGATTTGTCTATAAAAAAATTCACTGTTTTCAGATACCAAATAGATCGCGGAAACATTGTGATTCCTAAATCAGCGAATCCAGGCCGCATAGCCTCCAACTTCCAGGTGTTTGACTTCAAGCTGTCCCAGGAGGATGTCCAGCTGATCAACACTTTCGACTGCAATGGACGATTTGTTCCCATGAGCGCGTGAGTATTAGTGGAATTTGGTATCGGCTCCGTGATACATTTTTTTCTTAATCGCCAAAAATTTTTTGACATTGGAAGTCGTATTAGCGACCTCTGAATCTGGAGTAAGAAATGACGATTACTTTACAATGTTTTCTTTAAAAAAAAATGTGTAAAGCCTAGCCATTTGGCCAGCACTGCAGGGCCCATTGACTTTACAATATAAACAAATTTAAATTATTAAAAAATATAACTAAATCATAAAATCACCTTGAACTCAGTTAGCGGTCAAAGGTGGCTGTCGTGGGCGATAATTGTTCGACGAATTTATATGAAAAAAAATACATTGTAATTATAAAATATAAACGTTTTTAATAGTTAATGATAAGAGTTTGGAAAAAGAATTTTTTTCCTGAAAAAGTTAATGTAAAAGTCAGCTAATACTTGAGTAATGATATGAAAATAAGATTGACAAAGGTACAGTTTAGATTTGTTATATATTTTTTGCTAGTTATCCTAACTTCCTTCAGTACCTTTGATCGGAGCCCCTTCACGGGTAAAGGTCTCCTCCAGCTTTCTCTAGATATCTCTATCCGTGGCATTCTTTTTCCATTCGCTTCCTGCTAAGGCTTCCATTTCTTCTATCCACCTTTTTTTTCCCACCCTCTTCTTCTTCCCCTTGGTCCTTTCCATATAGTTGTCTCTAAAGTCCACCTTTTATCTGTGCTCTTGCTATATGCCCTGCCCATTGTCAAATTCAAAAATCAAATTCAAAAATCATTTATTCACGTAGGTAACACAATGTACACTTGTGATTCGTCATTAAAGAAATAAATATTAATGCTTCTAATTTTACATTTACTGCCAGTTCTCAAATCAAGGGCGTAGAACGGAAGAGAAGAACTGGCAATAAACTCTCCGCCACTCTTTTTAATCGCCATTTTTTTTTTTTTTTTTTTACAACGTTTGTAAGGAGCTGCAACCATTACACCATGTTCCACATGACATTTTAAGTAATTAATAATAATGTCACTTCTATTTTAGAGCCCCTCTCCTCCAGCAAAAATATGATTTGTTTTTGTCAAAACTAATTTGAGCAAACAACAAAAATTGGCCATTGAAATGAAGTTTATTTCTGGATTTATTTAAATTTTATTTTCATTGCCTCCGTGTCCAGTTAGTAACAATAACACTTTTTTTTTCAGTGCCGTCGGACACAAGGACCATCCATTTGAAAACGTCGAGTTTTAAATCGAAAGTTGTTATGCTTTAAGTTAACTATGTGATAGTTCTCAAATATATTTACTCATTGTTTATGCCTTTTCTTTTTTACCTTAGTTTTTGTCTGATGTGTTAAGCGCTACAACCGCCCATGGACACTTTGCCAAAGGGCTCTCGATCACATTAATGAGTGAGGCTTAGAGAACTTGTATGCCAAACAGGCGAATCTGGCAAAATTCAGGAATTAGACAAAAACTTATAATAATAGACGCAAAAAGAATATTTCCTTATATATTTTTTTTAAATATGTGCCATATCGTATAGGTTGAACACTTAGATTCTTTAGTCTGATGTTTCGTGCGCAATTATTTTGATAAACTATTTTTGCTTTGTCGACTAATATTATAAATGAGCTTCATTAATTGTTAGGTCGTTCACAAGTAATTGGTAAATATTACGTCAGCGACTGTATACCAATGGCGCAAAAACCTTTTCGGTCTTGGCTTCAGATGCCTGTATCTATTCCGTGATCATTTCTAATAGCCAAGTAGGTGATTGCATCGTGAAGAACATTCTGTCCACACGCCAGCGACTTTTTGGGTATAAGGCATGTCGGGTTTCCTCACGATGTCTTCCTTCACCGTACAAGAGTTAAAAACACTCAGTAGAGAGCTGTCAACAACATTATCCAGCTAATAAAAATACCCGTGCTCAAAGCGTTAAAAACCTTATTGCTACACTAATAATATACTATATCCTATCTAATAATAATAGTATCAGGTAAATATCAGAACACACGAACAACGTTGGCCTATTGGCTTCAGCGTGCGACTCTCATCCCTGAGGTCTTAGTTTCGCATTAAACTCGTATATGACGAAAGTACACTGTGTTCAGATCACGTACATGTAATACAGATATACAAATCTGTGGCCCAGACCTAAAAAGGATGTAGTCACGGGCTATCTGGAACTGGTAGTAATGAAAAAAGTTGGATAATCTATTTATCGAGGAAGGCTATATGTCAATAGGAGAGATGAATAATAAAACACATTATGAAACATACATCAGTTTACTCAAGTATAAAATTAAATACAAACTCATCATACACTCAATAAATTATAACAAATATCACTATAAAAACTTACAAAATAATACAAATTAATCTGTTGTTGCCGTAATGAGTTGGGAACGAAATTGTCCTTTGACAGCACATAAAATCGTGGTGTCATTGAATCTATATCCTAGCCATGACAGATGACAGCGTATTCGTAATAATGACATACTTTGACGTTTAATACTTTGTCACCGTAAAGGAGGCATTAGAAATTTTACGATCGTTTAGATGCGTATACAATGATGACTTTCGACAGATAAACGTGCGTTCAATACAATTTTATTTACATTAGACGCATAGCCGAGTATCCGTTTAGTTCCAAATATGCAAATTACTTAAGTTTCCCATACAAGTCTATCGATACTCTTCTGACGACATTTAATGACTATTTAGTTGTATGCGGGCAAACTGCGTAAAATCTTTGTATGACATTTCGTAAATATTTTACGCACCAGCACGCTACATGCAAGAGGTAACATAGACATGAGAAATAATATTTTTTAGAGTAATACACTTTATTGTTTAATACACTTCGAATATTTTTGACATACATATTCGAAGAGTATTAAATATTTAAATGACATATTTTTTTGAGTAATTTAATCTGCAATTGTTCCAGCTGACGTCAGCTCTCAAACATGGCTTTTTGGGTCTCGGCAACTACATAAATGATACAAAGATATCTTTTGGCGAGTACAATTTCTCTAGTAAAGCCGTGTTATATGGGTACAAACGTAATTAAACGATCGAGTCCCAGAACATACCAATTCTACGAGAATTAGTTTTAGTTTGTTTAGAAGTATTTAGTTTTTCTTTGAAATATTAAGTGTTAATTGTCGTTTGTTTAATGTACAATTATGTTTTCTGTTTACAATTGTAATCTGTTTTGGCTTTGTATATTGTCTAAGTGTTTGGTTTTATAATATGGATGTTAGCTGTAAGATTACTAATAAATAAATAAGTTTAATGCATAAATTTCAGCCTAATTGCCTTAGCTACCAAGAAATATATTTTACTAAAGCAGCCATTAATATTATACGTTAAATAATCAAAAGCTGCGAATATAATTGAAATTATAATTAAGATGATTTCCATAACTCTCTATCAAGTGGTCTACAGAGCGCTTCTAAAGTATTGCATACAAAATAATTGATCTTTAATTTCCATTGTATGCAGCAATTTTAGCGCTGTCAAATGTCAGACATAAACACGAAATGACAGCGTCAAAATTTGACGCCTGACAGATTGCGCAAATTATTGTTTTTTATTCCATTATTATAACATAATTTTACACGTGAAAGATTTTTTGTATCCCGTGTAGCAGTCAATACAATTTTATGCTATTATTTTATATTGCGTGTTTATCACATCTGTTATTTGTCACTGCTATTTTGCTTAAGCAGCAGGCAACCTTTTACGTTTATTGTCTAAGTAAAAAAAATGTATAAACACAATATCAAATAAGATAAATATTAAGACATAAATTGTGATACAAATGGTAAAATTATCTAAATTTAGCATTTTATGCTATTAAAAGCCGTTTATACGACTACGATACGATTTTTTACAACAGAAATATTTTATCTAACTTAAATACATACTGAAGCAAATCAATTAGACCATAGTACATGAACTCACAGGCAGCGTAAACAAAATGTATGTCACAACCATAATTTAGCCAAAAACAATAATTTTTTTTTGATATATTTTTCATCTATAAGATGAGTGAAGGTTTTTAAAATATGTATTTATACACAAAAAATGCATAAGAAGACGGCTATAAACAAAACGAGCGCATTTGAAAATTTGACTTTAAATATTTCGATATTATAAGTATTAGCCGAAAGAAAAAAATATTACATGAAAAATTTTGCGTCTGTATTTAGAAAATCGATCGAACGATCGCCATCTAGCGGCACTTTGTGAACGCAGTTTTTTTGAATATATGAAAAAATATTAAGTATTATTACGATAACATAAAAGCCAACTATATACAAAAAAAAGGTATTTTCTTTTGGTTTTGCAAACGGAAAAATCATAAAATGGCCTCATTCATCAAATCATTTTTTTTAAATCGTTAAAAAAAATACCAATTATGTATTATAAGACGAAAGGTCTTATTAATTCAGAATTGACTTAGTTTTAAGTAAGTCAAATGTGATACATTTTGGACATACAAGGGTTCTAATATATTTTTATATAACAGGGAAAACGGGCAGTATTCTCATCTGATGTTAAGTGATACCGCCGCTTATGGACACTAAATGGCACCCGGCTCCCGAGTGCGTTGCCGGGCTTTTTAGAAATGTACGTTGTTTGCTTGAAGAACCCTAAGTCGAATTGGTTCGGAAATACTTCAGTGGGCACAGCTTCAGTTACAATTAGCTGACCCGGAAAACGTTTGTTTTGCCATGTATATTATTTCTAGGAAACATTTTTTAATTCAACAAAAATAACTATCTTCAATAATAAAAAATAGGGGTGGATCGTAGAAGAGTGAAAATTAGGGGTTTTATTATTTTGTATGCTGTATCATAAACAAATATACACAAAAAAAATCTAAAAAAAAAAAAAAATTTGGTGTGCACACTCCTTATCAGTTAGGGGTTTGAAAGATAGACAGTAGCCGATTCTGAGACTTACTGCAAGCCATTTCGGAGGAGTATGGGAACGAACATTGTGACACAAGAATTTTATTATTAGATATAACAATTCTCGCTAAATTTTTTAAAATTTATAGGTCCTTATCAGTTAGGGGTTTGAAAGATAGACAGTAGCCGATTCTGAGACTTACTGCAAGCCATTTCGGAGGAGTATGGGAACGAACATTGTGACACAAGAATTTTATTATTAGATATAACAATTCTCGCTAAATTTTTGTAAAATTCTTTTTAATTAGACCATATTGTATATTCAAACTCTGAATAACATACAATCATAGCACAGTGGATGAAAGAAACATTTAAGATGTACTAAATGCAATTAAAATGCGTACTGTACCGTAGTCGTAAACTTACAATTAACCAGTTCATACACACATCACATTTGAGCAATCAAAAACTATTGCTTCGTTCTAAGGGATGTTATATACAGGGAGTTCTACGAGTTTGTATGTAGGAGAAAATCGTGCGCTTTTTCGCTTTATTATTTCTATCCGACAGCGACAGAAGGGTTGTTACATTAAATTTTATCAAAAGCGCACTATACACAAGCCAGGATTTATAATATTCCTCGGCTTATTAGCAATATTATTTATTAGCATTGATATTATTAGTTCAATATAGTGTTAATAAAATAAATCTTTTTAGGTCTGGGCCTCAGATTTCTGTATCTGTTTCATGATAATTTGTCAATCTAATAGGCAAGTATGTGATCAGCCTCCTGTGCCTGACACATTCCGTCGACTTTTTGGATCTAAGGCAAGCCGGTTTCCTCACGATGTTTTCCTTCACCGTATGAGCAAAGAAAGTCCATTGGTGCACAGCCGGGGATCGATCCTACGACCTCTGGGATGAGAGCCTCACGCTGTACGGCCAAGAGGCTTACCTGATGTTAAGTGATACCATAAACACTCAATGCCGGAGGGCTCGCGAGTGCGTTGCCGGTCTATCTATATCTGCTGTAACAGTTATAGTGATCCACAATGGCATGCAGTCGTTTGCATAAAATTCGATTGATTGTTTAATGTTATCTATAGCACGTTATAAATTTAAAAATACCGCCTGTCAAATGTCATTGTCGATGTAATCGTCATAGTCATATAATAGTGACGGATCTGGCAAACTTTACAGGGCAGCCATTTCAAAATAATATCATCATGTTAGTTTTTGTTATAACTATTTTAATTCATATTCTGTTATTATGAAAATTGGAATACAAGCAAACAAAAGGGTTGGATTTAAAATTAAAATAATAACATTATTTTACACAGTTTTCTAGAAAAATCACATGTTTCTATCAAATCCGTCACTTTACCGACTGATTAATTTGAAATTTAAAACACATGGATTTTTTTAAATGTAGCTGTAATATTTAGTCAATGAAGTATCCAAATATGATAAAAAGTGCATTTTGTTTTTTTTCAAAACCGACATTGTTCTACGATCATGACGTAATGTCTTTGATACTTGAAAAATAAATTAAAAGTAGTGGCTTCAGAACCTCTCATCTGAGGTCGAAGGTTCGAATGTGCACCAATGTACTTTCTAAGTGTGCGTCTAACACCCGTTAGTACGGTGAAGGAAAACGTTAGGAAACCGGCTTGTCTATGAATTTTGACATGTGTTAGACAGAAGGCTCTACTTGTCTTTGAAATTAAAATAACCAAAGAAACAGATACAGTCTGAAACCTATAAGGTTGTAGCGCCACTAAATTATTAATAATTCCTTAAATTGTGGATTTGACAGAATAAAATTTAAAAACACAATCCCATTTTAGGATCACTTCGCGGATCGGATTTACGCGAACTTGATTCGATCGAATTTCTTTTTATAATTAAATATAAAAGATATTTATTAAGAATTTTATTATTTATTCAAGTTTTAGGTTCGATTTTAATAAAACATCAGTTTTTGATGAAATATTTGTCTCAAGTATATTTTCGTGCTTTTAATTTTTTTTATGAATAAGAATTACACTGGATTATTTGTTCTCTTTTAAATCGTTATTATTTAAATTTTAAATATTTTATTGACTTTTTAATGAATTGTTGCCGCTTTTTAAAGAACATATTTTTTACTAAAATTTTTAGTTATAGGAACAATATTTAAATTGAATAGCTACCGATATTATTATTAGTTATATTAATATAATTCTCATGAATCAATGTTTTAAAATATTGCAAGACTACATCAAGTTGTGTAACGATTAAATATATATTGTTCTTTTGCTTAGATATTTAGACTCACGTTATTATGTATTCATAAATAATTAATTGGGGTAAATCTGATAAAAACAACTGTTTGGAACGGTCACTGTGTTCACACAAATCGTATCATTTTTATGTAACAGGCGGCAAACGGGAGGCTCACTTGATGTTAAGTGATACCGCCCATGGACACTCCTATGCCAGAGTGTGTTGCCGGCCTTTTTTGGTACTCTTTTCTTGAATGACTAAGTCGAATTGGTATGGAAATTCAGTGGGCAGCTGGTGGTGAAACCAACGGAGTAAGTTATACGGGTGGAATTTCGTATTCTCCATCGATATATTGCATATAATCATAACAAAATATTTTGGCTGAATATTTTAACCCGGCCCTGGTATGACATTGTATAGTGAGGAAATACCTTTACTCTTGCTACACACAAAATCGGACAGATAATGTCGTACCGACAAATTATATCGTAACGACTTTATTTTAGCGCTACTATACGACGAATGAGTATAGACATTACAAAGGCCAAAGGCCAAAAATATTCTCTAAACACGCCCCAAAAATGTTATGCGACGTGAAGTGGCAACATTCGTGTAACAAGTATATAGGAAGTAAATAAACGTAGACAAACAAATAATCGAGACATTTCAAAAATTATGTAAAATTTATTTTTGACGTAATTTTCTTAAAATGATAGGGCGTGGCACATCACAGTGTTCGTATAGAATTGTGTTACCTTATATTTACAATTGTAATGGATAATAAAAAAGGATAAAAAATACATGAAGTCCCATGCCCCATCAAACAAATTTGTTTTACAAAATTTTTTTGATACCACTTCACGTCCCACAAATACAGTCTTTTCGTCCCACGCGTGGGAAAGCTTATATTCCATTAAATATAAATCACCCCCTACTCCCCTTTTAATCTCTTACTAAACTCCTCTTGCTGTAGTTCTCTCCACTCTTTTTTCGCCTTCATTCGTTTCAGTTGACCGTCCCTGGAAATATGAGAAATTAAATTAATTATGCAAAAAAAAGGGCCTTTTTAGGGCCTCAGATTTCCGTATCTGTTTCGTGATATTTTTGGTTAAGACAAAAGAAGGAGATAAGAACATCGAATGAATTTTTAATATCACATTAAAACGCACACTCACACACTTTACACCCTTACACATTCCCACACACACACCTCAACCAATCATTTACTCGTAAATTGTCTTAGTTATTTCAAATATTTTAGTATTAATTCTTCGAATCGTATATATGTAATCCGTTTTAGCTAAACATATTTTTTAATTTAAAATTTATAATTAATTTATTATTATTATTAAAAAAGCCGTGAATTGTTAAGATTGTTAATTAAATTAAAAAAGAAAATTGGGATGATAGATTCCTGATTTTATCATAAAGTTTTTTGATTCCCCCAAAGACCATTTGGGAGCGTTCAAGTATTACGTAACGAATTTTTTGGGGTTTCCTTGTAAAACGTTACGATGCGGGGCGGAGATTGAATTATGCGTTATTGTAAATATTATTTTCGACTTTGCAGTACTTTACACCACATAATGGTAACTTTTAGGTATAAAGAGTCACTAGGTTGTCACGAAACGTTTTACTATTGGGTACAGAAAAACGTTACGGCGCGTTACATGGGGGGGTTCCCATTGATCTCCAAAAATTGCGTGACGTAATACTTGAACGCTCCCTTTGGAATAGAAATCAAGCATTACCTGTTTTATTTATTTTTACTTTATTACCTTATTCAAAAACATACACGTAACAAAAATAAAAAAGCAGGTTACAAAAGTTATAAAGCAACGGGCGGCCTTATCGCTAACAAGCTATTTCTTCCAGGCAACCCTACAGTGGAACAATGAAAAAGAAGCACCTACAGAGGGTAGAGTACAAGAAGTGCAAAAATAATTAACAAAAAACAACTCAAATAACAAATCTAAAGAAAAATAATTTCTTACCATTGAAGATCAACTAATCCGCCACGCCTCGCAATGGCCGCTTTGACCCGATTGGCGAAATCCACCGCACTTTCATCATCCCTTCTCGTCATGGCCGGCAAATACCATACATCGCAAACAATAGCCCAGGAACTCATCATGTTCAGTAGATAATGCAGCATTCCATATCTCGAACTATTCCAGAATGCGTCACCGAAACGTGGATCATATCTGGAATAATGTTAATATGATGTTATATTTGATCTCTAGATCAAATGGATAGATGTTGAGCCGGATATCGAATATTCGGCCAATCTTGAAGCCGGATATTCGGCCGAATATACTCTGCTTTTCAAAGAACCGGGTGAGCTATACTCGCCAAAAACTCATACCTTTCTCCAGTAGTAAGTCTCAAAGAGGCCCTCGGGGCCTTTCGCATTTTCGCATTCTACCAGGAGCTCAGCGGTATAGCCATCTAGGATACACTGATATGAGATGTGTTCGTTCCCATACTCCTCCGAAACAGCTCGACCGATTCTTATAATTTTTTTTAATGCATATTCAGTAAGTCTAAGAATCGGCTACTATCTATCTCTCAAACTACTAAGTGATAAGGGGTGTCTTAAAAAAAAAAAATATTATGTGGCATTAAAACATATAAACAACCCTTAATTTACACCCCCCCTCTACGATCAACCCCTATTCTTTTTTTATTGTAGATGGTTATTTTAAATTAAAAAATGTTTCCTAGAAATAATATACATGGCAATACAACGTTTGCCGTGTCAGCTAGTAAATATATAGATTTAAAAATCATAATGTATGTCAAATTTAATCACATTTGACACCTGTCAGACTGACGTACGTGGTCACGTCTAACAAACAGTTAATAGGAAGAGACTTTAATAGGAAAAACACTTACTTGATGGCTACGGGATAAATGGTGCCTCCGACTTCAAAGCTGCCTTTCTTGAACTGCATAACTGAGGTATTATTAATACATGTGCCCTCGGGGAATATAAGAATCGGTGGATTATCCGGTACTGAGATGTGCTCTTTTAATCTGAAATAGGCATATATATTGTAACATAAATTATATAACAAAAATAGCAATTATACTAAATATAGCCAAAGATTGAATACATAATATTTACAAAAGTTTTTTTTGAAGTGAAACCTCTCTAGGCGCATGAGGGTAAATTTTTACGAAAACGTCACGAAGGTGTGCAGCGTTTTTGTCGAAGAGGGAGAGAGTGATTGAGACCGATTGGGAGAGAGTGAGGGCGAATTACCTCATAGAAATTCTATTTTTAAAATTAAAATTTCGTAAAGATAATTTATGAAATATTAGTATTTTATATTTTATGCAAAATAATTAAATAAAATTAATTCATTAAATTCCTAACATATCTTGCTTTTTCCCACCCTCTAAGTCTCTGAAATCTAAAGGTTTAGATTTGTGTAAATATGAACAAGACTTAAAAATTAGTTTGCCAAAGAAGTTTCACTTCTGTGTACTTTGTACGCACGCACTTTTTTTAAATATAAAAAGCAACACAAAATTTATTTCCCCAAATTTGCCATCTTTAAGTAATCGAGAACATAAAAATACAAACTTCACTTTTAAAATACCGTCGTACCTTAATTAGGCATAATTTATTTTGTGAGTACCCACAATGTATGTGCGCATACTAACCGTGTGGCGACAGCGTTGCGATCCTTAACCTCAGAGCGTTCAAACCAGATGTGGGGCGAAGCCCTAGCGAGCGCACGTTGCAATAGACCAAGGAAACCACCGTGACTCTGTCCAATCTATTACACAGAAACTTAATATATACTAACTATAAAAAACACGTCTTGCAAACTGTCAAAATCTATCATTTTTGTTTATGATAGGACAAACAAACGTACAAAAAAAAGGCAGCTACAGCAGTCCATGATGGACACCCATGTTAGTGGGTGAGATGGCGGCCTTTAAGTAATATTTTGCACTAGGACTGATCACTCTCAGGTCAAAAGTCTCAAAGCCCATTTAGATGGAAAGAGTTTCACGTCTCGATGGTACGATTATCGAAAGAATATAAAAAAAGTTTCTTCGTCTAAACATTCACACCAATTGCTCTTCCACTTCGGCGACAATTGCCTCGCAATGGAAAGTTTATTGTGTCCGTGTAAACAGAATTTCAAAAGCAATAATCGTATTTCGAGATTTTGTGCCCGTTGCTACCATGAGTGTAGTGCATGAGGGTGTTTTAATTATTAATACAAGAATTAATTAAACGAAAATAAGATTTTGGGTTAAAAAATGGGTTTTTATAATTTATTTTTTCCGTGTTTCACAAACATTCGTAACTTCTATAAAGTTCAATTACTTAATGTTATCGGCAGCCCAAAATTAAAAGGATTTTTGTGTAATTTTTGAGAACAATACCCTAGTAATCACTAAACTCGAATGAAAAATCTCGCACTAAAAACTCATGCGATACTCTCCATATAAATGGGCCTTTAGGATATTCAAACACTATAATAACTATAATTCTATGACTATTTGACAGGTGGAAGAATTAGCTCGCACTAAATCGCCCCAGTGATTTTCAGTCTTAGTTTTCAGACTAACTGGATTATCCTAAATATTTATAAAAGTGAAACTTAGCATATACTTTACAATTTTGTAAACTAACGCTGGCCATAGACGGACCGCATTTTGCATTCGATACCGACTGCTCTAAGCGGTCGCCGCACGGCGAACTGCAGTTTCCATACTAAATTTATATCCGCCATACACGGACCGCACGACAAGTTTCTGTCCTGTCTCGACTGCAACATGCGGTCCGTCTATGGCCAGCGTAATACGACATATTGAACAGAGCGTTCGTAAAAATTTGTTAAACTTTTTGAAAATTACTCGAATACTATTTGACATTTCTTCCGGTGTTTACAAAAAAACATGGCTTTAAAAAGCATTATGGAGTGAAATTAGTTGTAAATATTAATTTATCAAAAAATCTATAATTAAAAATATTGATTTATTATAAGTCAATCACGTGACAGAAACGTTCACAGATAAAGCTACGATTTAATAGAAAAGCGGTCCCGTTATCTAACAGCCGTAATGTAACGTTAGGTGACGTCACCCATACGTTGTCTATAAATAACATCGGAGTAGGTTTTCTAGAGAACGTTGAGTGTCACCGTAACGTCAAATAGCGGTGCTGTCATTATATATATAGATACACAGTAGTTCAACGTTTTTCGCGTGTAGCGGTGCGCATATTTAATTAATACAATGACCTGGAAGAGCGAAAATGATGAACAATTAATTAATTTTGTTAAAAATCATGAAGCTTTGTACGATATCAATTCCAAAGAGTACAGACAAGCTCAGATGAAGCAAAATTTGTGGAACGAAATTGGCATAACACTTCAAAAATACGGTTGCACTACTTTCTAGGAAACCACAGCTTGGCCACCGAATTATTAACAACAGTAAAATGACGGCCGTTAGTTAACGGCACCGCTTTTCTAGAAAATCGTAGCTTTAGTAGAAACAACGGTGACGTAGCTCGTAAATAATGTCGTCGTCTAATCCTAATACTGTCTTTGAGTTTAATGAGTCGGAAACTATTTTAATCGAAAAAGAAAATACGTTTGTTTACATGCAAGTAACATCGTACGTCATAGTGACAGGACGCCATCTTGCTTAGAGAAGCTGCTTAGCGGGTTTTTGAAATTACTTTTTGAAGGGCAATACTTTGCATCGGTTTTCTAGTCACTAATAATTTATCCATAATGTTTTTCACTTGTCAAATAGCCTATTATTGTTACGCAATTGATTGATATCTAACTTGATTAATATGAAAAAACTCGTCTTAAATTAAACTTAAAAATATCATGCAAGGACGTTCACAAAAGCTGAGACTTAAACAAGAATCCCAATACACACCCAAAACGCTTCAGGATATCCTGGTCAAACTCACTCAAAATAACTTTATTCACATAGGTAGCAAGTACACTTATGAACGTCAACAGAACAGATGTTAAATTGGTTCTAAATTTACATTTACTCCCAGTTCGCAAGTCAAGGCCGTAGAGCGGACAAGAAGAACTGGCAAGAAACTCTCCGCCACTCTTAAATCGCCAAGTTTTGAGGCATACAAATTGTTTGAACTGGAGCAAATCAATCCCAAGGATTAGGATCATTTAAGTATTCTAAAAATGTATAAAAAGCTTATTAATTAATTTATGTTTAACGAGAGCTTTGAATTTATTCAGTGATAATTCTCTAATTTCGCTTGGGAGTTTGTGTAAAAACGAATACAATTTCCAGTGGTTTAGCTTCTGTTGTCATCTTTTGTGATCAGTCAAAGGCCTTCGATAGGTCACAAAAGACACGACTTTTTGTAAAACCATACTGATTATTATGCAAAAGTTTATTTTTATTAAAATGTAAAGAAAGTTGGTCTAGCATTATGTTTTCAAAAACTTTGCTCAACGCGGGGAGCACTGAAACAGGTCTGAAGTTTGACGGATCAGACTTCCTACCTGCCTTGACTCCACAATCATATATATTTATATCACATCATGACACATCCAATGAATTTGATGTCAATTGTCATCATAACCTATTTCTTATTGACAGATTCTGTTCTTGTCAGTTGTCATAGCAACGCGAATTGTGAATGACAACGAACTGGTCACTTATCATTACAATAAAACCTTTTTTAGAATTGGCTGTTAATAAAAAAAGGTTTTACTAATCAAAACCTTAAGACTACTTACACTACAGTTGTCCTCGCTCAACGAATTTGCAGCCACACTTACCAACGAATAGGAACTGTCACACATCAGCACCAGCACATCAATAGGACTTGTATGATTCGCAACGCAAATCCCGCTCCTCGGCTTATATTTATCTCCATTATGGTAGGTTATGACCGCACTGATACACCGCGACAGAAAGTTGAAGCACATGAGTGACATCGTGTTGTTGACGCGTTGTTTGAACGCGCCGTCCGGCAGTGTGCCTATTAACGCCGTACTGATGATCAGCCACCAAACCTATGGGCCACTGCTTTGGTGATATTTGACGTGACATCGACTTTAGTTTTGACATAACGAAAATATTTTTGACAGGTCGACTTAAGTTTTGACATAACGATAATATTTTTGACAGGTCGACTTTAATTTTCATCCACCAGCTTTTGACTGTCAAACTACTGGTCTTTGTAGTTGGGAGATGTCATTAAGAACTATAAAAGTAAAGTCGATTTCACGCCACATAATGACAGTTCAAACCACATATAAAAAAAACATAGACAAAAGCACATCGTCCCTTAGGCATAGAGAAAGTTCGAACCAGAGAGAAACAGGTGTTGGAACTGAGAACATTAGCATCAATCGGACTCGTGTGGTTGGCAACACAGAAACTATTCGGCTTCGGCATGTGCTGTGTGTCGTGGAAATTCACGAGACACGATACGCCTCTCACTAAAATCCTGTTCGCCGTTTTGTATATAATTTCACCGAGGAGTCGGCGAAATTTCCCCTTGGCAACATTCCCACCAGGGACGTGACAGTCAAAATGATAAGAACCTGGTGTTACCAGGTAGGTTAGTAAGAGTATTAATGACCCACTTATTCATAAAAAGAAATCTTAATTGCAATCTTAACGAAAGTACTCGAGTCTCTGACAAATTATGTTTACGTGATGAAAAGGGGCTGTTCAAGTATTACGTAAGCACTATAGGGGGGAGGGGGTCTTTGATTTTCTTAATTGGTGATTACGTCATTACATAACAGTAATTACTCACTTTATAGGAATAGAGAGAGAGAGAGAGAGAGAGAGAGAGAGAGAGATACATTGCAGTAAATCTGCTTACGTAATGCTAAACAGTCGCAAAGATACAGAGCACTTAGAACTTTGCAATTGGAATTTCAGTTTTTGTGAATAAGGAGCTAACAAAACAAAGAAATGGAGGAAAAAAGGATTTAGTATTGTTAAACAATATAATTATTTTGGGGTCGTGGGTTCGATTCTCGGCTATACGGCGTATTCCTTCTAAGCTAAATTAATACTTGAAGGAAAACAATTTGACACAAGTGTTATCTGATCTACACTTGCTTATAAAATCCAAAAAAGTTACGCTTTTTATAAAATTAACTCCTGGATTTGAATGGCTCAATATATTTTTATATTAATTAGTAAATAAATTTAAAAAAAAATCCTACTAACAAATATCGAGATTTGAATAAAAATCACAAAATTTATATATAAGCTATACGCATTTGAAGTGTTCTGGTATTAGTATTATAACATTTAGTAAGTGATACTTACACCAATGAAGAAGACGAGAATTCTGAGTGGTAGTAGAAAGAAGTATCGAACAACGAACCCCATCACCCATATAATTGTCAGGCGCCACGTTAGGAACTCGTATTGTCTGTAATAGAAAAATCATATAAAAAACTAATAGCTATTATAATTTTTCTTGCAAAATCGGGGTTAAAATTATGTTATCATAATCTTTCTTGATAAGTATACGAAGTCAAAGAGAGTCCGCCAAGGATCGAGACCAGTCGGTTAGACGAACCGGTTGTAGATCCACTGATTGACGACGATGGTAATAATGGTGATGGTGGTAGTAGTGATGATGATGGAGGTGTTGGTGACGATGGTGGCGGTGAGATTATGATGTGGGTGATGATGATGATGATGGAGGTGACGGTGGTGGTGGTGATGACGGTGGTGGTGGCGATGATGCTGCTGATGATGAGGGTGGTGGTGATGATGACGATGATGATTAAGTTCTTAGTACTAATAGTACGTGTAGTTTATGTAATGTTAATATAATTACCTATTTGTCCTAGTAAGCAAGTTCCAACTCCTCAACTCTTCAGCCTCGAAGACCGACGTAACCTGGTCTTCTATAATTGACTCCATACCAGCTTTCACTAAATCCAGACAGTGAGAGAGATGTACTTCTAAGCTATTCTGAAATTGATGAAATAAATTTTTGAACGGCGAAGGAAAACATCGTGAGGAAACTGGCTTGCTTTAGACGAAAAGTCGACGGTTTGCGTCAGGCACAGGAGACTGATCACCTACTTCTCTATTAGATTGACAAATGTTCATGAAACAGATACAGAAACCTGAGGCCCAGACGTAAAAACTAAAAAGGTAGTGCCACTGATTTATTTATTATTATATTTAATAGATATTGCGAAAAACTAGAACAAGGAATTATTCCGGACTGATTCCATATTACTACCCAACAGAAATATATTTTTTATCAATCGTAATTTATTGACATTATAAAATAACAATACGTTGTTTCGTAATCACGACTTTAATAAAAAGCATTTTATTCAAAAACAAATCCGGAGTGGAACAATTCAAAATCTTTAAAGACGATCTTCCAAAATGCTTCTTTTTCAAAAATTTTGGAAATCTCTGCAAAACTCAAACAACAGACTAAAAGTGACACTATTTCCTGCTTTGGGGTCAACGGGTCAATATTGTTTTATACAACAGGGTCACGCGCAGAAGGCTTACATGTTATGTGATACCACTATAGACACTGGCAGAAGGCTCTGAAAAGCCGGTCATTTAAGAGCACGCTCTCATTCTTAAAATTGGCTTGGAAATACTTTAGTGAGCAGCTGCTTCCAGTGGTGTTAACCCTCAGTTGTGGAACGAACGTCAAGGTATAAAGGTATATTTTATCGCTATAGAATGTTTATCAATACTGGACAATGTTTCTCTCTTCTCTCCTTCAGTATTCGTTTCCAAGAATTTCCCAGTTGGTAGCCATTTCGTTTTATAAGTAATGAACTTACCTCTGGTCTATTTAGTTCGTTTGTATGTCCATTTTGCAGCCGTTCCTGGCTCTGACTTCTCTTGTAATTGAGTTCCGGCGACGGACCAAGTATCTCCTGTCGTTCTATCACACTCATCTTTGTACAACCTGAAATCATTTTATAAAATTTGTTAACATTTTTTATTAAATACTGTAAACTCTATATAACGACACTCAAGAGACTGTACTTATTTTGACGTTACAAAGAGTTGCCGTTAAATGGAAAGAAAAATCAGTATTAAAAAAAGAAATTATATTTCATACTAGTGTTAGTAATTACATGAAAACGTTCGTATTTGAACAGTATTGCGTTTACCAGTAGTTAGGTTGTGTTTTTTACTTATTTAATTTTTATCTAGCGATATTGGGGCATCTTCGTGATAAAGCACATGCGCAATTTGTAAAAAAGAACGGATTTCTTGGGAAGTTCGGTACGTATGACGAGTACCGATAGTCGAGTTTATGTCTGGCAAGAACAATAAAGCGACAAAGCAACGTACACAGTTCCGCAGTTTCAACGAATTTCGGCAACTTAAAAAGTACTTTTTAATACTTAATTGTCGTTATTGAGGGTGGGTATAATGCTATGTAGAGTATATCATTGTATGGAAGACAAGCTAAACCAACCAAAACCAAGTGATTTCGACGCTTTAGGGGATATGTCTTTAAATTTAGTTTACTCTGTATCTTGCCATAAGCGCGCATGTGCCATAGTTGTTCTTTGACTAGTTCTGTTTACGAATTGACGTCAAACGTCCGCCCGAAGTGGGATAGTCGTAGTAGAATAAAATATAAAACAATTTGGGGCACAGCCTGCCAGACGCCCAAAAAGGACAGTCATCGCAACCCATAGACACCCATTTTTAGTGGGTGCGTTGCCGGCCTTTGAAGGAGGAGTATACTCGAATTTTGAACATTTGGAGGTCATATCTCTCAGGGAAGGCCTCCACCGGGAGTCGACTCCACAGTTCGCTAGTTCGCAAAAGAAAATGCCTTGTGAAACGGAATGTGGAAGACTTCCAGCCATCAAGGTGATGTTGGTGAAATTTAGAATTCATAGGACTCGTACTGTGTTGAAACGAGGCAGGAGGGATCAACCCAAACAATTCTTCAGAACACTCACCGTAGGACACTTTATAGAAAACGCAAAGAGACGCAATGTCAGTGAGAGAGAATCAAGCAATCATCACTATTATTTATGTAAAATTATAGTGTATCAAGTCATTAATAGAGTGTTTAATATACTTTTTTTTTATTTATAGAGAAAGAGAGTATTCTGCGTCGACGTCCGATGTATTTTTTATGTATTAACATCATTTTATTCATTCAAAAGCCACGATTTTATTCATTCTACTTCCGTTATCTAAAAATGAATATTTGCAATAGTTTTACGCAAATAACGGTAATTTAACATTGGCTAATATTATTTTAACGATCCTTACATCCTGTTTTTATAGTTGAAAGATGTGCTAAAATATTCACAAAGCTACATAAAATTCTATTTACAATACAATATGTGATAGAACATAATTGTTAATTGTAAATGTCAAACTTGTATGTATACTAATATAAAGAGGAAACTTTTCTGTTTTTGTATGTATGTTTGTAATGTTGTCACACAAAAACTACTGGACCGATTTCAAAAATTATTTCACCATTAGAAAGCTGCTGACATAAGCTATATTACATTAAATATACATTTTGGGCCCTAATAAAAATTTAATCACTAGGGACTGACCATAATCTGTCATCGCGTGCGCTGTGGAAACTATTGACAATAGAATAAAAAAAAATTTTAGGTACCTACAGTACAAATTCAGTATTATAGAACGTATCAATATCTACAAAAATAATGTTTTACTCATGGGCAATTGTGATGGCCTATCCCGAGTCGGAATTCCAAAACATGAAAGTATTGTGTATAGGGAAGTTCTAAGACACTGAAGTTCTACAAATAAATCTCTTCACTAATAATATAGAAGAAAGGTTTGCATTTTGAAGCTTTGTTTTAATTTTAAACAATTTATAATAATCAAGCTAAAAATTCCTGGACTGATTTAAAAAAATATTTGAAATCAAGAATTTTTCAATACCTGTAGAGTATTTTTAAATTTACTAAGTCTAACGTAACTAATGTTATGACATTAAAAATATAGTAATTATTCGTGTAAAGTAAAATCTGTATATTTATTAGATTTTGAAAAGTGTTATTAAATATCTGAAAGAAGTAATTAAGTTAGTAAAATAAACTTATGAATATTTAGAAGATTTTCCACTCAATTCGTATCTACGTGAGTAATTGTGTGTCTATAATAAAGAAAAATCCTCCGCCTGCCTAAACAACTGTATCGAATTAAACACTATTCGATGCGAAATTTTTCCTATGTTTATGCATAACAAATTAATATAATATATATTTAGTAGATTGCTTCCTAGTACCTCTAAATCAAATTTTAAAAACCGATTTCGATTCGCGAGGCAGTTAGAGAATATTAAAAAATGAAAATAAAATTTATTTTACTTCGTCCAGCAAAGCGGGCGCGAAACGGCTAGTACTATATAAAAACAAAACTGCACGGAACCATCAGTATCTAGAACGATTCATGAAAGTTTCGATATTTTAATTATTCATGAAAGTAAATCACATCAAATATAATGCATTTTCTATAGTATAAGTCAAAATCAAATCAATAATAATTTGAGTGTACGACCAACCAGGCTACAGAAGATAAACATCTCCTTATATGGAAATTGTATTCGTTTATACAACTCCCAAGCGAAATTAGAGAATTATCACTAAATAAATTGAAAGCTCTCGTTTAAAGTAAATTAATGAATAAAGCTTTTTATAAATTTGACGAATATTTAAATTATCCTAATCCTTGGGATTGATTTGCTTCAGTTCAAACAATTTGTATTACTCAAAAGTTAGCGATTAAAAAGAGTGGCGGAGAGTTTCTTGCCAGTTCTTCTTGCCCGCTCTACGCTCTTGACTCAATGTTAGTAAATTTCATTTCTGACGTTTAACTTCTTTTCAAACTTATTTACCTAAATGAATAAAGTTATTTTGACTTTGACTTTAAATTCATTTTAAAATAAATCTCTTCTTACAATTGTCAATGTTCAGTCAGAATGTTTGAGATCATATAATCAAAAAACAGAAGTGATAGTTCTAGTCTGTACTATCGGAAATAAATCGTTGTAAACCATAGCTAGAGAGAACGCAAATAACACTACAATTTCAAAACATTAACTTCTTACGTAAGGGATTGCAATACCCGTGTATGACGTAAGATATAAATGTATAATCAAACGTTCAAAGTTACTTAAAAGTTATTCAGAAACGACCTAGCACGACAGACTTTGGGTTCCGGCTAATCATAATTGATCTAGTTTATTTGTATAAAATACTAGCTGATCCGGCAAACGTCCTTTTGCCATATATATCATTTATAATAAAAAATAGGGGTTGATGTAGAGGGGTGAAAATTAGGGGTTGTATGTATTTTTTAATGCTGTATCATAAAAAAATAAAGAATAATTTTTTTATCTAAAATTAAAAAAAAAAAATAGGGGTGGACTACCCTTATCATTTAGGGGGATGAAAAATAGATATTGTCCGATTCTCAGACATACCCAATATGCACACAAAATTTTCGTTTCGGAGGAGTTTAACCACAAACACCGGACACGAGAATTTTATATATTAGACTAGTGGACCCCACAGACGTTGTCCTGCATGATATTTAAAGCGATTAGGATATTAAGCATGAAAGTACCGACTGCAGTGCCATCTGCCGGGCTGATTTGTGAATCTAAACCATTCCCAGATCCCCTTGAACACACACAAAAAATTTCATCAAAATCGGTCCAGTCGTTTGAGAGAAGTTCAGTGACATACACACTCACAGAAGAATTATATATATAAAGATTGACTTTATTATTAGATTAACTTTAACTTTCATACTAATCTTCTTACAAAATTTTCCTTTCTTTACCTACGGCTCGCTTGTCTGCTACTTTGAATGGTCCAGTGGTTAGGCTGTCTCGCTCTTACAACTTGATTACTAACATCTATGATGATTGATGTGTTTTACAACAATCTTCCAACTTACCGTAAAACGTTGTTTATGCTCTTAATAAGGTTTAAGTTTTCATTTAGTTTAGGTTATTATTGTTACAGTGTAAACTCTTTATAACGAATTTCAAGGGACCGAGCATTTTATATTCGTTATAGAGAGGTTTCTTTATAGGAAGAATTAATGTATGGGTATTGGGTTAAACTAAATAAATTTAGCTATATTTTACGTTAGGGTGCGTACAGACTATGTAACATATTATATAACTTGTGTTTTATAACACGTCCACATTATGTAACCTTGTTATTTAACATTATAACATAAAACAATACTGTACACATTAGAATAACAATGCAATATAACAATGTTATATATTTATTTATTATTTATTAACACTTCGTTGCATATACATTAATATAGTACAATTGACATAATTAAATAAAAAAGGAGAGCAACTGGCGGCCTTATCGCTTTCGAGCGATCTCTTCCAGGCAACCACTGTGAGAAAAGAAAAAAAAGTATTAAATTACATAAGCAAGAAGTGCAAAAATAGGTACATGTATTAAATATAGTTGTTCAGAAAAAGAAACTAAACAGGAACAAAGAACAAACTAAACTAATAGAGGATACCATTGTCGTTTGTCGTTCTCCAGTGCTATCCACAATGTCGACACGAGAGGACGTCTTGCTGGCTGCGGCAGCGACTGTTGTAATTTTAAATAACAAAAGAAAAACAAAAAAAACGTAGATGCTGGGTTCGTCCTAGTATACATATCAATAACATGTTATATAACATTCAGTGTCCACATTATCTGAAACATGTTGTATAACATGTTATGTTATATAGTCTGTACGCACCTTTATAGAGTTTTTCGTTATAACGAATGGCTTTATAAAGAGTTTTCATTGTATTTTTTATTATTTTAGTTTTAGTTATTATTAATAATTATTCATTTTTATTTTTTTGTTCTTTTTAAATTTTTCCTTTGAAAGATTACTTATTTTCTAATATAATTGATGTGTATGTGTATGGATGTTAAATTTGTAATGTCATATATTCTTGTATTTTTTTAGGCATACACATTGTTTTAGAACGTATAAATAATAAGGTCTCAGATATTTTTTATAGAACAGAATGCAGACGGGCAGTTAAGATACCGCCCAACACTTTCCCAGAAGAACTCGCAAGTGCTGGTCTTTTAAGGGTACGCTTCTTACTTCAGTAAGATCAGTAATCTCAGCTCAATATAAACAAAAAATTTTCACCTAATACCAATTTTCTAATCTAATCGATAGAACGGATTTAAAATTTATTACGAAACTTATCAAAATTATAGATTATAAAAATTCAAAGAATTAAGTTAGCTCTTGATAATGATTAACCTTATTTGCCTATTCACAATATTGCATTTTACAAATTTACATGCTGCAAGTATTCGACATCTTTGTGAGAGGCTGGTACCTTTAATAGGAATGTAGAAGTCAAAATCATTTATTCATATAGGCAACGCATTGTACACTTATAGAACTAAAAAACTCTCCGCCACTCTTTTTAATCGCTAGGTTTTGTTTTACACAACGTTTGTAAAAAGCTGCAACCACACCCATGTTCCACATGACATCTTAGAGCTTCGTAGGGATTTTTCGGTGGTCAGGTTTGGTTTGAGTGTAATTAAGAATGAAACGGAAAGCGCATACTTGCTGGGAGAGATCATGAGGCTATACGTCCCGGACAAATATTGCCGCTGCCGGAAACATAACCTTTTCGCTGTGCGTTCGGCTCGCACTGTCCAGCGACAACAAGCGCCCATTCCCCGGCTACTCTCACTGCTTAATGGGTTTCACCGGAGAGCGACCTGTTTGGGAAGCTTATGGGGGTGGTATACTGGGCTTTCAGAGTGTACCTGGAGGGGCTAAGAGGGTAATGCTACCCTGTATTGTAAATCTTAATTGTATTTTATTGTATTGTTTATTGTTTTTAGTCTAAGTTTGGCCATTGTGCTGTTATTAAATAAATAAATAAATAAATCTCAAGTAATAAATAATAATAAAATTAAAAAACTTGTGCTCTATTAGCAGGAGGCATGGTGAAATAGGAGCACGCACTTATATTCTCTTGGGAACAACACGCAAACACATAATCGAAATAACTAACATCGCCGCATACACGAATTCAAGTACGACCAGTCACAATCACAAGTAGCACCCGTTCACGAGTATGACGCATGGCCAGCCATCGGCCCCCTCGCCTTATTTTAGTGAGAGAGACAACCCGACGCATAGACGCCTGTGGTAACAGGTCACCAACCTTCCATCGCGGACAGATATTATACAAAGAGATAACTACTATGACTTAACTGTAGTAACAAACAAAATACAACTACAGCGTAAAAAAGAATTTGACAGGCGAGAGATGTTTAAACCTCTCCTGAACTGTCTTCTGCGTGCATGGCCAGTCTCAATATACCTACAACTTTTCTATATGCATTTTACCTTAGGGGCCGTTCAAGTATTACGTGAGCACTAGAGGGGGGAGAGGGTCTTTGATTTACTTATTTGGTGATTACGTCAACAGTAATTATTTACTTTCTTACACATATTATTTATACGTGGATTCCTACACAAAATTAATACGTTTATGTACTATTATTTTTGACAGCTTTGCTTACTTTTACTGACAAGAGGAAGGGGGGGATAAATTGCAGTAAGTCTGCTTCCGTAATACTTGACCTGCATGTCTCAGACCCAGTCTCGTCTGGATCATAGATCTCGATATACATACACATAGTACCACCTACTAGTCAATTAGGAAAAAAAATTGAGGCCATGGTTACCAAACTCACCATTAACACCGTTCTCTTTGATGATTGCTGAAGGCGGCTTATCAGGCGTCGGCGGTTCTTCATCTTCATCAGAACTGTCGTTCCTCTGCAGCTTCTTGGCCACTTCGATGTGTTGACGTCCATACTGGAATGTTAAAATTCTATTAGCTTCTGATGGCATGGTGAACGTTTGCGACGTTCAATCCCACACTTCAAACTTCGGATGTCTTAAGACCATAAAAAAAGTGCGTGCGTACAAAGTACCTACACAAGTGAAACTTCTTTGGCAAACTAATTTTTAACTCCTGTTCATATTTATACAAATCTAAAACTTTAGATTTCCGAATTTAGAGGGAGAGAAAAAGGAAGATATGTTAGGAATTTAATGAATTAAATTGTCATTATAATATTAAAAGTGACGAAAATTAATACAAATTATAAATTTATTTCTTCGATAATAAAAACACGTGGCATTTTAATTCACAATTCGTCATTTGAGATTGCAGTAAATTATTTTGCATAAAATACTAATATTTCATAAATTCTCTTTACGAAATTTTATTTTTAAAAATAGAATTTCGTATATTGCTACGTTCGCCCTTTCGCACTCTCTCTCTCAATAGCTCTCTCCCTTTTCTTCGACAAAAACGTTCAAAAAATTTGTCTAAAATTATCAAAGAAACAGATACTGAAGCCAAGTCTATGACCAATTCAGGGCAGGTGCATCATTCGGATCAAGACTTTAGCTGTCTCCTCTCTGAAGCGAATTCTAGTTTCACCTTAAGGTCCACAAATGATGAGGAATTATCATTACCTACTTGCTGTCTACGTTTCATATACATTCCCGCGGTCGCCAGCTCTAAATGACGTGGTATGCATACTGTATAAAGCTATAAAACTTACGTGGTAAACATGTTTAATCACGTCAACCCGGAAACTAATACTCAGATAATTCTAGATAGATTTAATATTTTGTTTATAGTTAGTGTTAGTTTGCTTGTCTATAATTTTATAATATAAAAATGAATTGCAAAATGTGTTGGTAAGTGCATAACTCAACAACGCCTGGACCATTTTGGCCAATTTTTTTTGAAGTTATACTTCTTTAGGCGCGTTATGAAAAATTTATGAGAGTGAAATTTTACGATGCGCGCGCACCTGAGACACTAAGTTGTCAGTGTGATTATAGCGTGCGCGAGCGAGATGGGAATAAGTCATAAGACAATCTACAAGTAAAAAGAAATAGAATATGCGTGAAGTTAGCAGCTATGCCAAGAATTTTGAATGACCATAATGACATTTACCTTTTAAACAACTAATAAAGGAGTTTTAATTATTTTTTCAAAGAAATTTAGCAATGTTTTTTCACAAAGACCTATTGTTACTTAGTTAAAAGGTTATGAAACATACCAAGTTATTAAATTGAATGAATAATATAATAAAATAATAATAATTGAATAATACACTAAATATTAAATATTATTAAATTGTTTACGGTTATTTATTTTAAATTAATTATATTTAAAAAAAATAAAGGAAGCCAAAGAAGTATAACTTCTTACGCGCGTACGTAAGTACACGCACCCTTTTTTTTTATAATATTCCTTGAAGTACGAGAATGGTTCTTACGGAGACAAAAATTAAAAAAAATTGAGTGAAAAAGTCTAAAAACAACACTTTTCTATATTACCCATACAAAATATTCGTAATAATACTTAAAAGTGAATTTGAACTTTAATACCATATCATAAAGTTCAAATGTTAGTGGAGGGGTTCCGGGAAGGTAAATTTTTATTTTTTGACATAATGTATTTGTTATCTTATCAACTTTCTTTTTTTTATCTTACTAGGTAGACCGGTGTCCCGAATAGCAGAATAAGTATTTAAAAAAAATAAAGAATCGACTGTTAGGCGGTACGATGTTCGCCAGGCCAGCTAGTTCCTTATAAAACTATAAATACAGACATTAGGTATCACCTCAATAACTCTATTTGTTTACAGTGTAGCGGGGCTGGCTAGCAACTATAATTTTTAATTTAAAAAACTCGAAGGAGAAAATACTATATATATAGTGTGTGCACCAATGGATTTATTTCGATCGAACCTACGAATTCAGGGATTAGAGTCGCACGCTGAAGCTACTCTAGGCCAACACTGCTCACCTTGTATACTCATAAACTAATACATTTGAAATTAGAGTCCCTAAACAAGATCCCTTACGAATCTGCGAGAATCGGACCTGGGCTTGGACCACACTTGGGCCGTAGTGGGGGTGATCAATCGCCTGAACGGCAGGGCGGGAACTCACGAAGTCTATATTAATCAGTGATAATGTAGCATTCAAATGGTGTAAGAATTTTTAAAATCGGTCCAGTACTTTTTGAGCCAATTCGTTACAAACATACAAATCTTTTCTCTCTGTAGAGAGGCTACAGAGGCATTACTACATATCTTGGTATGACTTTGAGTTTTCAAAAACTAATACAGACACAGTACACGATCATAACAACAGCTACACTCTCAAATACATGCGCATACACACCTATTCACACACTCACTCATTCACTTAATTTGTAACACTAAATTTATTATTATTAGATTACAATTTCCATAGTTTAGTGTCGGTATTTTCCTTAAAGAATTAATCTTATGTTTTTTAATATATTATCAGTATGGAATAATTACAATTAGCAATTTATAACGCAAAGTTCAAACTACATACATCAATCACGCAAAGTCAAAGTTCAACTGTGTTCACACCGCATTCGATAACGTTCTTGTAATATTCACTATGCTATGTAGTCCGGTAGATTCTGACATACCGCGTTGTCTTGACTACCTTACATCTGGGGTCGTTAGACCTGGAGTAAAAGCGTCGGCAGCCAATTGTAAAGGGGGGCAGGCGGCCAGTAGAAGGACAATGTAAAGTCTTTATAACGAATTTCTATGGACTGAGCATTTTTTTCGTTATAGATAGATAGTTAGGAAAGAGAAACAAAAACAAATTTAACCAATTACGTTAGTTAACACATAACGCTTTTTTTTATCTTGACAGTTTCAAAGTTTGTTTAAGATAATACACGATAGGTGACAATGGTGCGTTTAGTAACTGAGAAAAAAAATCTGAGAATAATGGCAACGGCTGTGTATGACCTCAGGTATCTTTTTAGAAATTTCGGCACATCAATAGGTTAGTTTTGTAAGCTGATTATAAAAACAATTACATTTAAGTATTTTGTTGATGTCTAAATATAAAAATATTTCTTCGTAAAAGAGAATGGCGGTTGCTTTATAAAGAGTGAGATTTGTGTTAAAACAAACCAATTTTACGTCATAGAGCGTTTTTCGTTAAAATGAATGACGTTATAAAGAATTTACCCTGTACATAAACAGAGGATGGTAATAGAATAAGTTCTTACTGTACAATAAATAGTGTAAACATGGTACCTATACATACATATATAATTAATATCCGTCTCTCAACCCTGAAGTGGATAACCAATGTGCCAATTAAACACTAAACTAAGTCTAAGTGTTTTGTTTAATAATTTACAGTATGTTAGCTGTAAGATTACTAAAAAATAAATAAATAGATTTCTATATCTGATCTTAATAGACATGATCAGCCTTCTGTCACACATCAATTTTCTTACGATTTCTTCACTGTTCGAGCAAATGTTAAATGCGAACATAGAAAGTCCATTGGTGCACAGCCTGTGATCGACTACGACTTCAGGGATGAGAGTTGCACACTGAAGCCACTAGGCCAACACTGCTTAACACAATTATAGCTCATCAGTTTTATAAATTCAATTTCTCAATACAATTTAACGCCCTTGGAAACAATGCATTGACCTGATTATCGGTATTAAATCTTATCGTTCACAAAGGGTTACATGACGTGGTAATGTGCTGATTATATATACAAGAAAGCGGCCTGTCCCTTCTTCGGCAGGATTTCTTTTTAATATTGTGTTAATAAATATAAAAAAGGTTGCGTGTACTATACGCGCGTTAGAAGTTATACTTCTTTGACATTATTAAAAATATTTTTTGATTGCATGCAAATAATTAATTACAATTAAATAATCAAAGTCTGAAAAAGGAGTCATTATAGTCAATAAAGTTCAGTTTACATTTGAAAAATTAATTAAATAAATATTTATTATTATTCTCTTACATTAAGTGTAACATAAATTCTATTATTATTCGAATGTTGTTTTTAAATTATGTCCAATGCCGTAGCATCTTCCGTGGGCAACTTCATTCTGTTAATTTTGTGTCACGGTGCGCGCGCATCGTAAAATTTCACTCTCGTCAATTTTTCATAACGCGCATAAAGAAGTATAACTTCAAAAAAAACATATATTAATCGCTTGAGATATCATGCAGGACAACATGTGTGGGGTTGCGATGCTGGATTAACAAACCAATAACTCGACTTATTGAAGAGTTCTTAAATCTAAGTGACACTTACATAATAATATGTTATTGGACATAATCGGAAACGAGAATGTATAATACAACTACCAGACCGACCAAGCGTTGCTGTGAAGGTTTTTGTTATATTACATAGTAGCAAACTATTCAAGGGAAACGGTAGGAGAACACCAGTCATGGGGCCACCATGCTTTTTTGGTGGTTATGCCATTAAATTGTAGCTTATGTGAAATGTTGGTACTTTCAACACATCTATTAGAATTGTGACTATCAAATAATAAACAAATATTTTGCAATAAAATAATATTGCGGGTATAAACATGACATGTAAGCTATCCTATCTTTTAAGTTGGATCAAACTACACACGGTGTGCAAATTTGATTGATATCGGTTCGGTAATTTAGGAGTCCATAGCGGACAAACAACGTGCCACGTGATTTATATATATTAAGATTTATATAAATTACGTGAAAATTACGTAATTAATTTTAAACTAAAGAGCTCATTTTGGCTTTAGGCAACAGTTTGAGCTTCTAATTATTAACTCACTCACTCACTCAAACATTTGCACCAACACACTGACACTCAGGCGTGTTGATAACAGTTGAAAAAACAAAAATAAATAAAATAAAAGATGTAATTAAAGAATTTATAATTAAGTTTGTTATGGAAGAGCTGGGAACTGACTTAAAAGGGTTCCCGAATCTTACACATGTAATGCATGTACTTAAAATGAAAAA